GCTAGTAAAAATACCCCTTGAGAATTTTGAATATCCTTGGGATGTTGAAACCATCATGTTCCTATTGCTACACCTTCCAAACCTGTTTCAGGTTTTGTTGAAGGTTAAACAGCTGTTTAAGAATACCACCCAGAGATCTGCCTGGAGGCTGGATAGTTGTGGGTGTCAGGGACTGTGGGAAGATATTGGCATGCACCTAGAACAGTGGGCACATCCAGTGCTTGGGAACTTTGCCCCCGAACAAGTTCAGGATCTCAAACAACTGGTAAAATGTTTGAAAAAGGTATGCCATCATCCTGTAATTCCTGAGAGGCCCAAATCACTGCAAAGCACAGAGGCTTGGCCTGTTGAACCACACTCTATGCTGCTCCAGTCCCAGGAACAGGCCCTGCATCTGAACCGGAGAACCAACCCATGCCAGTATCTGTCGCAAAAGGAAATGATACGAATGTCCTCTTGTTTAGTAAGGGGGGAAACTCCTACCCCTGAGAAGGGGAAGGAAGAAGAAGAGGACAAGCAGATTATGAACCTGTGTGGGGAGACCCCATTGGATTTCAAACCCTTAACCACTCAGCCATTGCGTTAGTGAATCAGCTTATACTTTTACACAAATCTAAGGGTGATCTGTAAATATAACTGAGGGCAGTCCTTGACTTAAGCAGCCTTATACATATATTTATTGTAAAATGAAATTGAAAAATCTCTTGAATGCCAGTGTTGTGCAAACTAAAATTAGTCTTAGGCAGAGACTAAATAAGAGAATGAGTTCCTCCAAGAATTTTTCTTCCCATTTATTTGTGTTGAGAACTGAACTGATGAGTTACAAGTTTTTCCGCAGGACTGATACCCAGCCAAGTGGCTTGCTGCACTCTGTAAGCCAATATGAAAAAGATCAAATACCTTTGAAAGTGGTAAAGGTTTATGTCAGGAGAACTTATTTGATGGATCCTTTAGTTGATGTCATAGTTTTTAGAAAAAGAGATGTTCTACTTAAAGTGATTGGATTTCTTAGAACGCTGTGTGCTTGATTCTACAGCCTTTGATAAATAGGGAAAAGAATTAATGAAAACCAAGCTATTATCAGACAGTAATAATCCTATTACTGTCTTCTGGAAAAATACATTAAAAAGAAACATAGAAGACCATTTAAAATTCAGTGGTATGCTTCTACTCTTACGTTGGTAGGTGCTATATGTGCCAAAATTCAGTGACATAAGACTTTCCACCATAGCGTCCTCCCTATTACATCTAACTTGCTTTAGCCAAAATTTAAAAATAACATAGAAGCTTTACTACAGTTTCGTTCCAGTCTGGGAAGGGGTTGATGGAAGAAGTCCACAGTTTTCTGTTTCTGAAAGTAATCCAAGGCAGATCTAAGAGGCTTTCATACCTGAGCAATATGATGTTTCTTTGGCTCTTTACTGTCATTTTTCAATTGGTAAAGATTTGAATAATGAAGACTGTCAGAAACAACAGCCAGAATCTTACCATTCATCACTGCTGTCCTCCTCAACAGCAAGTTCCATAAATCTGGAAATATATATCTTAAAATCCAAGATCTGACTCTGAAAGGCTCAAGGTCTACAGATGGAGTAAATGTGATTTGAACAAAACAGTGTGAAGCACAGCAGTAGATGGCATGGTCAGAAGTAAATGACTGCTTACAGTTAGAATTTCCAGCAAACTCTGTTACCAACAGCTCATGCACTGGCTGTGAGAATCAGCTCTGGCTAAAATTAAGGATGAAGAAAGTGTCTGCCGGTAAACAGACGTTTTCAACGAGCACTATGAAACTTGAATGTAATTTTCAAAAGGGGATGTAACGAAGTATAGTGCAGCAAAGGCTGCTGTATTTAAGATTTATTTGTTTTTTTATGGCTTTCGGTCTATTGAAAATTTATCTTCTGTGATACAAGGCAAGGAGTGGCTTAAGATAGGCGAGGTATCTTGATGTGGGTGTACACTTGGAACGCAGTCCAGTCTTCTCCCACTGCACGTTGCGTGGGGCTGCAGCAAGCAGACACTCTTGGGGCTGGTTGCAGAGGCACAGATCCTGTCTCTTCTGCATTCCAAGTGCATTTGCAACACAAGCCCAATTTCCTGTGGCTCTTCTAAGTCCACTGAAGTGCTTGGAAAACATCAACTACAAGTAATGCTATTTGTCTTTCAGAGGTGAAAAGCTGGGTACAGTAGAGTAAACAAGGTGAAAGACTTATGGACCTTGGTTTTAACTATTTTGTTTGCCTGCTCTTAGCTGGTTAAGACTAGACTCTTTTGCCTGCCCTTCTGCAGTGGATTCCCTGTCACAGTGTTTATTTGGATGAACCTATTACATTTTGGTATCATCTCCTGTGAAAACTCTGTGCTACTTAGGCAAGTGAAAGTCCCTCTGTGTGGAAGGAGACAATTCCATCAGAATTGTCCGTCAACTAGTAAAATAGCATGAAATAATTTAGTTAATATTAATGATAAGAATGCGGATTTGTCATTATCTAAGAAATAATGATAATATAGAAAGTAGAATCTTTTTCCTTAATAGAATGTAAACAAAATTGTTGTGAAATGAAAGAAGCAGTAATATTGCATACCTAATGTTTTTTTTTTAATTGCAATTTTCACTAGATGCTGGAACAAATGCTGAGCTAGCCTATATCTCGAAAGTCTTGCAAAAAGTTAACTGAGTTCTGATTGCATTGGGATTTCCCTTTGTATGTTTATTCACTTTCCTGCTCTGTTTTTTAGTGCATCCCCTGAGAACATTAATCTGCATTCGTAACTGAATAGCTGTGGAGTTCTTGTTATGACTGGATTCTGTCAACAAGAAACTTTGCCTCTCTCCTGAAACCGAATGCAGAGAATTTGGAGGCATTCCAAATCAGGTTTTTATGTGACGCAGAGCAAGCAGTTTGCTTCAACACTTACCAGCACCAATGGCTAAGCTTGTGGGTTCTGTGAAGTATTTTTGGGCTCTGTCCCATTCATATTTCAGCTCTTCATTTCTAGGTAGTAATGGCAAGGAATGCTGGAATTTGAGTTTAGTTTGTTGTCTGCTGCATTCCTGTGAATATGGTTTCCCACACCAAAAGGAGATTTCCCCATAAATTGAAGGAATAGATGTGCAGCTTAGCTTTGCTTAGGAGTGACCTAATTTGAGATGAGAATGGAAAGTGTGAGTAAGCAAAGGAAACAGAGGTTTTGGATGTGCATTTCTTTTAATGCCATGAAGTTATACTGTAGGTGGGCCATCCTTGAAATTATCAGTCAAAAACACTTCAAACCTACCAGCGTTTTGCACTGCAATTTTTGTTATCAAGTTCTTGGGATAATTAGCGTAATTACTTAATTTACTGACTGAAAATCTTTCTTATTACATGCAGCTGTCATTCATGATCTTGCCACAGTTTGATTGTTATTTCCTCAGAGCATTCTGGTTTCAAGCATGCATCCAGCATCTGCAAAGTGGAAACTGTGTGTGTCATCATCAAGATCAGTCTTCTTCAATCCAATCAGTATGGCCATATTTCGGCTAGAAATACCATATACTGTGTAACTGTTGGAAATGATGGCTGGCAGTAACATGGTGCTGTTCTAATTTTTAGAAAGCCTTTCCTTTGTTTTCTCTATTACACTGTTATATGTTCATAATTTATTTGCATGCATGTTTAATCAATTTCCAAAGTGTTGATTACTTAGCAACTTCACTGATTTATGTGTATGCCAGTATATTCCCTTAGCACTTACTTGGAGGGTTCACCCCATAGTAACCATTTTATTCTAATAAATATTTATATTAATGTGAGCGCTGGCAAAAATTTACGTTAGCCCTCACTTTAGCAAGAATTTATAACCCTCAGGAGTGTACATTTTACAGTTCCTGTAAAGAAAAAAACCTACTGCAGCATGTACAAAAATATAGGAAAGTTTGCAGGTAGCACGACTCTAAACTTCTCTCAGTGCTAACCAGGTACAAATATACCAAATCTGTGATGGCTGTGTTAAACTTATATGGTTGTGCAGGATGCTCTGGTCTGCCATAAGGCAGACACTAGGAGATACATATAATAAATATGTAAAGTTTACTGCTATGCATTTTTTTCAAGTGTCAGTTACAGAATTGCTAACAAATATGTGTCTGTAAAGTTCTTTATTAAAGAGATAATGCATGCAAAACGCACATGAATGTTTTGCTTAACAATTATTTCAGCATGCAAAATATCCAGAATATATATATATATATATATATATATATATATATATTTTCCTCCCAAGGATCTCATTATAAAAGTGTATAATTCTTGGGGGTGTTAAATCTTACAGTAGAAAGCATGTTTGTTTTTCATCACCATGTTCTACTGTTCACCCGAGGCAACCATCACTAGGAAGAGATGTGGAGAAATCAGTTTTCTATTACATTCTCTAGGAACTTTCTGCACATTGGCTTGTTGCATTTTGTGTTTTGAAGTTTGCAGTAACTTTTTTGTCTTGAGAATGAGATGAGGATTGGGAATCAAAGTCTTGTTTATTCTTGAGAGGTTCTCAATGCTGCTATTAGATGTCAGCTAATAGAACCTGTGAATAGGGGACCAAACAAGTGCTTCCCATTTACTGCCTGAGCTTAACAAAGCTTTTTGAAAAGCTCACCAGGCTGTCACTCCTGTGTGTTTTGTTTTGTTTACGAGGCCTTTCATGTTTGTTTGCCTTATAAACTTCTAAAGCTTTACTTGTGCAAGGACTTGTGGTGATGATCTGATGTATTTGTGAGTCTTTAGACTTACAATTAGAGAATTAGAGAACATGAACGTTTGCTTATTTGCTTTTTCCCACATCGGTGGCTTGGCAATACTCCACAGTGCATTTGTGTACAGCACATGACCAGTAGTGTAACAGGGCTGAAAAATTCACGCATCTGGGTTGGAAGCATCATTTGTCACAGTTATCTGCGCGCTTGTTTTTCTTCTAGTTACAATGACTTATTTATGTATTTGTTTATTTCGTCCTAGAATGGTTGCCTGGGGAAGACAGCACTGCTGTGTTGGCAGAATACAGCACGTTTTATTGAGATTCAGGATTGCTTTCCCAGTCCTTCTACTTCATTTGTTCTTGGCTACAGCAGGCAAAGGTAAGACATGTTTTTCCCAATTTGTCTAGTATTGATATTCCAGTGATCAGCACTAGTCTTTATGAATAGGACTCTTGATTGTATTCACAAGCAACTTTCTGCCATCTTGAAATCAAAGGGAATAATGTTCATTACCAAGAACTAAAACATTTGATAATCATTTTGGATACTAAATGGGCTCTAAGTTCACAGTATTTATTTTCACAAAAAGTCATCAGTAGTAATTTCTTTTGGGCTGTGAATGAGGAGAAAATGTAAGTACATAATAACAAAACATTGCTATCCTGCTATTTTTTTTAACTGGAGATGTAACTGTTGTCAGAACCTCCCTTTAAATGTTTTATACTGCTCTTACATAAACACTTCAAGATCCTTTTAATTTTACCTAGTACACCTATAAACACAAAACAGCTGATTTTGGCTGTGGGTCTGAGCACAGCTAGGGAAAACTAGATAAGATCCAAAATATGTTAACAGAAATTATGTATTTGAATTTGACAGTCTATGCTCTTTCTGTAGCAGTAAATGAAAAAGAATCGAGCAACTTCAAGTTCCTGTCATTTCTAGTAGAAACGGAGTAACTAATGTTGGTGATGTTTGTATATGAGATAAAGTAGGATCAGCAAGTTTGTGTTCCATTCATTACTGTTCTTGAAGCTCACAGGTGCAAGTTTTGTTATGCTGGTCCTCGACAGATACAAATAACAGTGCTTGTCATTTGTACAGCTTCCTGTATTGATAATAAATCATGCTAGTGTTGTGCATGAAATAGTTTTAAAAAAAAAAATTCAGGTTTTTTTTGCCATGTACAAAATGGTTGTTTTTAGAAGCTCCTGCATGTGCTGTAGCGTGTTGTTGTACTCCAGAAGATGAGAGTTTTTTGCAGACCAAACACACTTAATAAAAACGCCTTTTTAATGACATTGTACTAGCAAGGTGGTTTTATTTGTTGATAGAATAGACTAATTCCGATTTTCCAAATGTAGTGATTTTTGTAAAATGAACCTTTTATTGAGACAGAGTTTGAAGTTCAAGTTACAAAACTGTTGCTAAAATGATCAAGTTTTAACCTTAGGTAGATTGAAAAGCAAAAGGAACAGCCCAAAATATGGACAGATGTCCTACAAATATTTTGCCAGGGACATTTCAGCTATATCTAGAGTTTTGAGAATGCAAGCAAAGAAGGATTTTTTTCTTTCACCTATATACAACTTGCAAGTGTCAGTAATCCTTCAAGATGACATAAACTGTTGCAAGAGTCAATTTCTGGTTCCACAGTATTTTGTTGGTAGTGTTTCTTTTGGTAGGCTGTTGGCATTGTCAGCATCATCTCTGCTCAGTTCTTTCTTCAGTTAAGATGCTTTCCAGGAAATATGAATGGATAAGAATTATCTGTGTTCTTTTCAACATGTAGGATGCGGATGCTGCATGATGTGGAAGAGTTTATCCCCATCTATCTAAATATAACTGTGACTGAAAAGGAGAAAGCAGATGTTAGCTTCAGAATTTCAGGACATTCAGAAGAATCAAGCAGTCTACATATAGAAAGCTTATTTTAAACTTTTTATAAAGATTAGCTATTAGCTCTAGATGGAATACGTGGAGATTTAAAATCACAGAATCACAGAACATTTCATACATACATTTCAGGACTTCTTCCACTGCTTGATAGAACACGTTTACATGAATGTTTTTTGTTTTAGCACTACATCTAGTTTCAACACTTTCATCTAGTGATGTGAATATGTTAAAAAGGAACAACTTGCATTTCTGAAAGAGGTGAAGTGCTTGAATATAGCAAATGCCACTCAGAAGTTAGTCCCCAGTTTCTACTGGATGGAGTTTTCTTGACTCCAACTTGTGATTTTTGCTTAGTTTTCTTACACTGCATATGTTTGGAGCATTCTTTCTCCTATGCTGTGTTTTCTGTGCTGTGGTAAGAAAAAATATATTCAATGGCCAGGTTTCCAAATGTAGTTTGTATTATCTGTATTCGAAGGAACTAGCTGTAAGCTCAGAATGACCCAGTCAGAGAACAGCCAGTTCCAGCTTCTCGGTTCTGTGAACAAGAGTGGGCTGCAGCACACTATTTTCTAGAGAAAATAAATGATGATTGACTGAATTTCCAGGGCTTTGAAGTAATGTTAGCATCTGCTTATATTGCATCCACCTACATATATAACAGGCCTAGCTAAGATAATGTTGATAATTAATTTCTAACTCAGTGGCTTTATAGTGTCAAGCATCTATAAAGAATGTACTATAATTTTGCAGCCCTATAATTAATTCACTGTTATAAATTAATAACAATAACAACCCCTAGTTTAATGCCTAACATGAAATCAAACCTCTGTCAGAATTTGTTCGTTTCCAAAATTGTCTACTGCAAGCTTTAATTAACATTTCTGCTCAGAAATGGGCTTCTAACTCTTCAAATATAAAGGGATCCTGGATAATTAATAGTGACTTCATGTTTTAAGTCTTTGTCTTGACTTCCTTTACCAGCCACTATGGCCATCTCTGTAGGCTCAAGATTCCTTACAGGAATTTGGGAGGGCATGTAAGTCATGCAAGCATATTGCTGGCATACTGTCTGTGAAGAATAGCATCTTCATCCGATCTTTCAAAACCTTCAGCGTAATTCCTATTTAATAGTGAAAGACTTGAGCAATTATTTTTCTTTAGAAGAGCCTGTGTTACAAGTGTTGACATATAACCGTATCTGCCTATCCATTTTGTTTAGTAAGTCAATTCTTAGCTAAGTATGCTAGATTTTGCATATGCACTGTGACAAATGGCCAAACTGGATGAGTGAATTCATGCTTTAGGTGGAGCAGTAATTCTGTTGATTGCTGTTAGGACTGTTCTACATCTACAGTGTCAAACTGTGAAAATCCATTGGCTGCTAATTAGGAATTTCATGCAATTTGGCCTGAACCCTGAGTCTGTTCAGGTTTCTTTGCTTGGTAGCCTTGTTTAGTACCTTTGTGATAGATGCTGAACTTCAGGAATGATTTGAGGTTGGATTCTGCTAATTAGTACTATTACAAGGGGAGTTTCAAAGCTGTAGTAAGCAACAAGAACAGTTATCAGTGAGTTTACGTGAAAACTGATTAATAAATGTGTTTTAAACATTTTCTGGTAGCCTGTACTAAATTTTCCCCCTCTACTCTGGAGTACTGTGTCTAGATCTGGAGCCCCCAGTCCAAGAAAGACAGAGAGCTGTTGGAGAGGGTCCAGAGGAGAGCCACAAAGATGATCAGGGGACTGGAGCACCTCCCCTATGAAGACAGGCTGAGGGAGCTGGGCTTGTTCAGCCTGGAGAAAAGAAGGCAGCGGGGTGACCTCATTGCAGCCTTGCAGTACCTAAAGGGAGCCTACAAACAGGAGGGGAATCAACTCTTTGAAAGGGTAGATAACAGCAGGACAAGGGGAAATGGTTTTAAGTTGAAGGAAGGTAGATTTAGGTTGGATGTCAGGGGGAAGTTCTTTACAGAGAGAGTGGTGAGGTGCTGGAACAGGCTGCCCAGAGAGGCTGTGGATGCCCCATCCCTGTAGGTGTTCAAGGCCAGGTTGGATGGGGCCCTGGGCAGCCTGGTCTAGAATTAAATGTGGAGGTTGGTGGCCCTGCCTGTGATGGGGGGTTGGAGATTCATGATCCTTGAGGTCCCTTCCAACCCTGGCCATTCTGTGATTCTGTGTACCACAGTTGCCACAGTAGGAAGTTCTTCCTGTGTTTTATTTGTTCCTATTGAAAAAGCAGTCTGACATCTCTGTGGCCAAGAGGCACAATATTTGAGCAAATCCCTGTGTCATCCCTGATGATCAAAGAGCTGGCTGTGATCCTGACAGCTAGCTAGGACAATGACTGTGATGTACCTTGAAAAGAAAAGGTGGAATCAAGTTACCTCAAAATTTGTCTTTTGATAGGGAAACTAATGAAAAAACATGATTTGTATACTGACCAATTTTTTTCTGCTGTCCAACCCTGATCAATCATGGTTAATCACTTTTTCTATAGGGTACATAAAAGCTCTGTGTATATTGACAAAGTAATGCCTTCCAAAATCTATCATTCTAGCATCCTCTTGCACTTTCTGAGCATTTACTAGGCTATTTCCTTTTTCCACGGCTCCATTACTTGGCCCATGAGAGTTATTTTTGTTTGGGTTTATTTTTGTTGATGTTGAGTGGGTGCATCATAGAGCTGGCAATCTTGATAATGATCGCACGATTGGAATGTGCTTTTTTAAGATGCAGTCTCCACTTTGGAGTGCCTACATCTACAGCCACAAAAGCCTGTACCGGTGGGACAGAGGAAGAATTGAGACGTCTGCAAGAACTTAATAATTATGGTCGAGTTCTACTGTTTGAGGCATTCTATGACCCTGCTTGTTTTACTTGTGTTGATGTAGTCTAAAATCTTGCTTTTACCAGTAAATTTATTGTTTGCATCTAAAATTATGTTTACATCCCAGTTAAACTCCAGGCTGCCATTTCTGTGCCTAAGTAAATGTAAGATTCATAGATCAGTTATCTCTGCAAGTAAATGTCCTGGTAGAGAACATTGTATAGGGGCGAGATGGGTTTAAATTTAGTCAGTAACTCCAAACCATGTTTCCTGAAAGTTACCCAAACTCACTGTCTTCTGGAGTATGGCTGTTTTCTACCTTTCCTGATAAAGCTGAACCAATATACAGTGAAAGATTTAAGAATATTAGAGTTTTTGTTTGTTTGAAAAAAATAAAATGAAGAAGCCTAACCCTGTTCAGAGATGCAGAACGTAAGTATGGCAGTAAGGATTACAGTCTCTTCTAACTCTGTCTATATTTTATCCACTACTGTAATTGCAAAATACCTTCGGAATAGGGACCAGAACCTGATTCTCTTTTTTTTCTCCCACTTGTAGGTTGAGCGTTATGTTGGGGAGCTATGTGTTCATTCTTTATGTTGCACATGAGTTTTGTGTCGAAGCCTTCTTGATTAGCTAGGATTGATTACCTGCCTCCAAATATGCTGGTCCTCCCTCCCTCCCACCCAAACAAACAAAATAGGAAGAATCAAAGTTTTTTGGTAATGTGTTGGTTTGAAAACTCCTGGGTAAATTCATAGGAGTAAATTCGTGTAGTAATATATGAAAGTATAACATTGATGTAGATGATTGTTTTAAAGAAGTAATTTTGCAAATCACCTTTTCTTTATTTAGATCAGGAGGATTTCCTAGGACTATATAAAGCGGTCTTTAAGACTGAATGTGAAGAACCTTGGATTATGTCACCAAGAATTTCTCTGCTTTCTTTGAAAGAATTCACTGTCTGTGTGCACCTCAAGCTCAATTCTTCCAATAGTCCCTGGATAGCGTATGTATACAACCAAGAGACAACTAACAGCAATCCCTCTGCAAATAAGCATGACCTTGGACTTAGCGGAGATCGTGGTAACTTGAGGATCTGGTTGTTTGGAAATCAGATAAATACAACAGTGGCGATGCTTCAGGAAAACATCTGGCACCAAATATGTACCCAGTGGAAAAGTGAAGATAAGGAAGTGAAGCTATTCATAAATGGAAAAAAAAGACTAAATGAAAAACTAATTAGAAATATGTCTCTCCCTGGAAAAGGGCAGTTCTTACTTGGCTGCTCAAAACTGCCAGGTACAGCTACATCACCTAATCAGGGTATGACTGGGGAGCTGTACATGTTCAGAATGTGGGATAAAGCAAATATAAATCTTGGCAAGCACTGCAGAGATGGTAGTATTGTACGCTGGAGAAAGGAGGATTGGATGTTTAATAAGACAGTAGAAAAGGACAACTCTTTGCCATGTGGTAAGTATCACTGCTTCCCTGTTTTTAGAGTAGCGTCATTGCAAAAAGTCGATGTAACATGTCTAACATTTTGTCTTCTGTATTTTAGAAAGTCTTTCTCTATTGGTCATTTTTGTCTGTTTATGGAGATGGTGAGAATCTGCAGCTCTCCCTAGCTTTCATGCAGATTTAGAAGTTTACTGGTGTGCTTTTTATAGACCTTCCAGCCAACCAGCCTGTGGAAGGTGAATATTTAGCATGTACTATTGACACAAAGAAAGAAAAAGCACTGACAACACCAGGCAGCTTTAATTGCTGGTGGTAGTATCACAAGTGGATTTTTTTCTAGAAGTTCCTTTGTCCTCCTTTGTCCTTCCTATGTAAAAATTACCCAGTTAGTAGGGTTCTCTGCTCTGTTAAAATAGCTGTGTTATAGCAGTGAGTCTTTGGAAAGATCTGATTTTGTATCTGCATAGAATGTAACTGGCAAAGAGCCACACTGCCTGCATACTCACAGTGAGTGAAAAGGAAGTGTTTCATTGAAGTTGTAACTGTGCCGGAGGACAAGTTTGTAACAAGAAGTTTGTTATAACCTGGTTGGCGTTTTGTACCCCCGTGAAGCAGCTGTTTGTAAAATGCTCAGTCAAAGATTACCAAGATTTCTGTGATTTCTCAAGATCTTTGTGCAATGTAGGCCGTTATCTAATTGGTGTCTCAAAGGCAATGACTCATTCCATTAGTAAGTTTAGATTGACGTAGTGTCACATCATTAGCTTCTGTTTCTTTACCCCCTCCTTCAGGCTTTCCTTTTCTTAACTATATTCATTTTCTTTTGATTTTAGTTTTATACTAATTTCTTAGATTACCAAAATTTTGTTTAGTTGCTTCTTAACCATGTTAGATCTAATAAGGACCAGAGTCCTGATTGTGTTAAGATTTACTTTTGTGATTAACACTTAAAGACGTGCAGAACTTAAAGTAAATTACTTCCCAGAAGTGAATGGGCATTACTTTTGCTGTAGCTAAGCATCATGTGCATCTGAAGATTTGCAAGAAAGGACCTGACTGCTTCCCAGTTTGTGATGTGATGCCAATGACATTTCTTGGAGTCAGGGAACATAGCAATATGTAACTTTCAGGTCTGAGTGAAAGATGCGGCTCTTGCTTCTTTCAGTAACAAGACTTTTGGGTCCCATCTGCTCGGTCTATCTTTTGCAAGCTGAACAGATGTAAGTATTTCACATAGGCCAAACAGGTGAGATGGAGGTGTTCACTCTTCCATGTGCCAAATTCAAAGAGTAATTTGTCTTACTACTTGACTAATTATTCCTATTTAACTACAGATTTTAACGTGGACAGTTATTGTGGATGTTATTGTTTTCCACATAATCCAAGAAAAAGTAAGTCATATTCTCTGACATCAGAGAATACAAGGGCAAAAGCTCTTCTGTTGTCATTTTTTGCATGGGACCTTTAGTGGTAACTTGACAACTGAAGAAATTTACTGTTTAAACATTAATCATTTCAGTTACATATTAAACAGTAGCATTCTTTATTAAAATATAAATATCCAAACTGTTACACTGTGCATTTATGCAAGGAGCACAAAGATGACAGAGATGACCTTTTACAAGTTTCAAAGAGTAAGTCGAATATATGATTTACAGAATAATTAGAAATAGTGTCACTGGAATTAAAGTTCTGTCACTTCATTTGTGATGTGACATCAATGCCTTAAATTTTGATGCCCTAACTTTTAGCAGAAATCCAGAGCCTATTACTTTAAGTTGAATTTTTTTGCATGAATACAATACAGTGTTAGATGGTGACATCTTAATTTTTCTAGACTGTCTTGTCCAGTCTTCAAGATTAAGGTGTTGTCCCTTCTTTTCCTTGAATCCTTACACTCCCTGTATGGATGGACCTGCTGCGATGTTGCTGTAGGAGGTTTTCAGACTTGAGGGAACAAAGTCATTTAATATTGTTGGGAAGTCATCAGTGCCCTGTGTGCACACTCAAGGTTGTGGAAAACTTCAATGTGGACTGTTCTAATTTGGAGATATGAATAACCAGAGGTGTGATTTAGACTCATGCAATCTCTTTTAAAGATTTCTTGAGTTGTGTACTCTACTGATGGCAAAATCAGCTTTCCTAGAAGGAAAGGTGGAGTTCTAAGGCTTTACCTCTTCAGGAAGAAGATTGAAATGTAGCTGCCACTCATCCAGTCTACATCCTAGTCTGTTGAGTACCAAAACTTTGGTCTGTGTTATTATGTTCACCGAGCAAGTAATGAAAGCTAAAGATGTAAAAAGATGTTACTTTCACCAGTGCATATATTTTTAAAGAACTGTAAGGGTACAATGCTATAGAAACCTTTAGAAGCTCTTAAAGGAAGCTCTTAAATAAATAGATCTGAAGGGGGTGGGGCAAGATGTGGAATACATAACTATGGAGTGCCTGTTTGATGAGTCACATATTGCTCTACTTTGTACATATTAACAGAATGTGTGTTTGACCTCCCATTTCTTTGCTTTCATTGCCTCAGTCTTCTTTTGTATGAATAGAAGGAGCGTTTTGGAAATTAGCCTACAAGGGAAGAGATTCTGGTTCATCTCAGCCTCTGATACACATCTTTGTACAAACAGAGCTTGGCAAAACCTGTATTGTAAGCATGTTTCCGTAAAAACCTGTGTAACATCAAAGCTGAGTTAAAAACAGCGCACATGAATTTTCTCTTAAGGTTACAGGAGTGAACTGGCCAAAGTGACAGAGCCTGATGTGAAGAAGCACATTCACTGTTTCTAGGTGTCTGCTTCTGTAAATAGAAGACTGTAGGATATTAGCAGTTGATATTTTGTTGTTGAAGCTACTACACTTGGTTTTGTTCAGGAGTAGGTTCATGAGAAGTGTTTTCATGCAGCTGTTATCTTAGTAACACTGAATATAAATGAAGGGTCATTGCTACCCAGTACTGGTGACTAACAGAATACATGAGCACTGTAGCCTCTGATAACGTTTTAGAAGAGGATTTATTTTCAAGTGGAATTGACACTTGAGTGTGAAATGTTTTAATTTTTAAGCTGGAAGATGATACTGTGTATCCATTTGGAACATACGTTTTGTCTTTCCCATTTCTGATTGAAATCTGCCGTGCGAATCACTTCTGCGAATCTGCCTGAATCAATTGAATTTCTTTAATGGAAAAACTTTCAGCACAAAGTTTGCTACCACATCTTACTTAAAAAATCTGGTTTGTACTACTTTCGTGATACGTTTGTGTGTATTTGTAAGTCAGAACTGATCTTCTCAGAAATAGGTGGTCTTGGTTATCTAAGGTCATTCTGTGTTATCGGCCAAGTCCTGCCACCTGCAGAGACATTATTATCTAGCCACCACGGTGCCCCTTGGGATTCTTTCATTTGCATTCTGCTCTTGATCTCTTTGGGAGATGTGATGTGGTTAAGGGTGCCTCTGTATGAAAACATAAACTATTCTCATTTTTGGCACACTTGAAATTTAAAACAAGTGTAACTTGAAGCACTTTATTTCGTATTATTTCAAAATTCTACCATTGTGCCCTAGAACACGTAAGTGTACATTTTTCTGCCTATTATATATAAAATTATAGAATAATTTGGGTTGGAAGGGACTTTAAGGTCATCTAATTCCAACCCCACTGCTATAGCCATGGACACCTCCATCTAGAGCAGGTTGCTCAAAGCCCCATCCAGCCTGGCCTTGAATGCCTACAGGGTGGGGGCCTCCACAACCTCACTGGGCAACCTGTTCCAGTGTCTCACCACTCTCACAGTAAAGAATTTCTTGCTAAGACCTAGTCTAAATCTACCTTCTTCCAGTTTAAAGCCATTTCTCCTCATCCTGTAGTCCTGTGTAGTCTGTACTTCTGCTGGTGACTAGGTTTAGTATTTCCTGCCTGTTTTGTGTCTGGATCTGACTGCAACAAACTGTCTCTTGCATTCTCTCATCAAGAGATGAGAGTCCGAGAGACATAGGGCAGCAGATGTGACCCTTTGTGCTGTTCCATCCCTGCTCCTCTGTGCAGCAGACAGGGCAGAATGGGTGTCTATGTGGAGGATCCATTTCTTGGCAGTTCAAATTTTTTTCTGCTTATCCCAAGAAAACAGTCTAGTTGCTGTCTTGGGTGTGCTCAAGGATGGTTTCTGCAAAAATTTAAAGGAGATCACGGAATATTAGGTAAAACAGTATTAGTCATCTATAACACTGTTCCCCTGAGATAGGGGAGCAAGAAACAGCTGCCAGTAGCTTAGTTCTTACAAAATGTTGTTATCTGCAGCCAGGTTCTAGCTGCTTCTCAGTCCTCCACCCTGGAAAAAGTGATTTACTTCTGGTGGAGGGGCTGCCTGAAGACAGGTGAATCAGAGAGGGTGTTGCCTTTCCAAAAATTTAGGGTGTACTGACTGTAAGTTAGATTGGAGTTAGGGAGAAGAAAAGGATATTTTCATTATTCCTATTGTAGGTGAATAATTGTACATTGTGCATCTTTTAAGGGCTTTCTCTTGTTTCTAATAATGAACAAAAAGCATGTCTTGAATGACTGTGCCCATGGTGTGAGAACCAGATCCCAAATCTTGCCCTTCCTATCTTGACCACTGTGGTACAAAGCTGCTTTCTCCTTTCCCTCCCTTTGGCTGAGTTGATTTTTGAATTCTACTTTGTTGGGACAGCTTGAATGAGACATGTAGGGACTGTTCCATGTAGGTTGATATCTCTAATGCTAAAGAATGCTGTAAGCACAAGGCTACTTTCTAGACAACACAAAACATTAGTCTTTTTTCTGTCTAAACTTTCCTTTAAGAGGTGAATTTCCTCTTTAGTTTTGAAAAGAAGCAATCCTGGTGTTAGAATTCAAAAAACAGAGGTCATCTGTTAGATGGCAATTAGAGCTGGGGCCTGTAATCCAAGGGTAAATACTTACTTCCAAAAAGGACTAGGGGCTATTGGCTGTTGTGAACAGGGCCCTGAAGTGCGTCTTTCCAGGAATCGTCTACAGTGTCTGACTTACAGACTCAGCTCACAGGTCCTAATGCTTACAGGTTCAGTGCTGTTGGAGCTACATTAGTTTGTGAACATCACCTTGAGTACTGTTATTAATGAATTTAGTCTCCTAGCAGACCAGAGATGCTAAAGTTATGCTGATTCCCATTACCAAAAAGGTCATTATGGGAAATAATGCTTGTTACAACACAAATAATGTTGGTTATCAGGTAAAATTTCTGTAGCTGTCTAATGGAGCAATGGTATGAGTTGATAACCTTATTGATATGGTATGAGTTGATAAAAGTTCATACCACCGGAGCAGTTTCCTCTGCTGTACATGTATGACTCCCAGTCTTTACTCAGCTATCTGTTTGTGTTAGAGCAGTGCAAAGTTATATGAAGACAGCAAGTGACTTGCTGCTTTTGTTTTTAGAGATCTGTGTTTGTAACAGAATCTGGTGCTTACTTAATGGAGATGCTTTTTCTTGTAGAAACACCTGATTCTTGTGCAAGGGGCAAGACCTTCTGTCTTTCTTGCAGCAAAAGCAAAGAATAGTGCTGAATAATGTTATTTTGTATGTGTTTTTAAATTTTTGTTATTTTTAACATTATTTATGTTCTAATTTTTTGCATCCTCAGCAAATGTTCCCTATTACAGAAAATGTAGAAAAGTATCCCTACAGTATGGAATGTTTTGTTTGGGATAGACTATTTAGTGTGTTGGTTTGATGATCCTAGACCAACAGTGTTGCAGATAAAAATGCACTAAGAAAGTAAAATCAAATTCTATGCGCTTCAGGATTTTCTTGTTCTCATCTTTAGAGATCAATCCAAGGGAAATTAATGTTCTTTTTGGTTTTGTGGCTAGCACACATTTTGGTGATTTTATTTTCCTTTTTTCATGTCATCTTTAGGGATACTTTGGATTGGACTTAAGTTCTTCTCCAAATAGGCTATATGCACATTCTTTTCTAACACTTAAGGACTACATAGGAACACTGGTCAAATGTATGTGAAATTGAATAATATATCACAGGTACTTCTCCTCTAACTTTCAGCATTTGAAGGCATTCTGATGAAATACTTGGCTAGTGAACTTAGTATTGCACCTTTTTCTATAACAAGTCTTCCTTACAGATAATCTATAGCTACAATAGGCATGTGAATACGGTGCTGTAAGAGAAGTTGTGGTTAGATATGTGACCAAGAGAAGTCCCAGACTATGCATGCCACCATCACTTGATGCATTTGCCAGCTCCAGGCTCATGGCTTGCGTTTAGCTTATTTTGCCTCTCATACCACTGAATTTGTAACTACAAAGCTTTCGATGGCTTTAGAATTTGCTGTCTTACTGATTATCCTACAGTACTAAACGTAATTGGACAGCTTTTCTTATCCACCTCAAGATATTACTTGTACTCTCAAAATCTGCAAAGCAGGTTGAAGGCACATAGAGGATGGGAGAAGCAGTTTGTCTGTAGTGACTATGTCTAAACTGACTCTTCAAGAGTATCTGAGAATGACCTTAAGATCAGATTCTCCAGGTAGATTTTTTTTTTTTTTAGTGGGCAGAAACTGTGTGCTGGCCTTTGCTATGAGATGATACATACTTCAAGAGGTGGGTTCCTTTTGAAAATTTTATTTTCTCCAGGGCTTTTTTGGTTGGAAGGAAGGGCTTTTGCATGAAATGCTAACCATTAATTAAGACAAGACTGGTGGCTTCAATTGTCATATCCACACCTCAGTCACTGAGCCCATCTGTAAAATAGGAAGAGATACAATCTCTTCCTATTCCAGTGCCTCAACACCCTCTGAGCAAATAACTCCTTCCTAACATCTATATATAAATCTGTGCTCTTGTAGTTTAAAGCCATCAGCATTTGTCCAATCAGTTTGCTCCTTGATGAAGAGTCTGTCTCCATCTTTCAAGTAGGCTCTTTTAGGTACTGGTTTGCCACAGGCAGAGCTGTTCTCAGTCCACTCATCATCCAGTCTGTATTCGTGTTTGTGATTGCCACAACCCAGATGGAGGATCTTGCACTTGACCTTGTCAAGTTGAACTTCATGAGGTTTGCACATTTCTCAAGCATGTCATGGTCCTTTTGGATGGTATTGCTTCCTCCATTATATTGACGTCGCCAGCTTGGCATCATCTGTAAACTTGCTGAGAGTGCAGTCGTTCTTTCTGCCTGTGTTGCTGATGAAGATCTAAAATAGTACCTGTGCCAGTACAGACTCACAAGGGTTGCCATTTGTCACTGTTCTCCCCCTGGACAATGTGCTTTTGTCTACAGCACTCTGATTGTGACCATCCAACTAGTTCCTTATTCACAGAGTGGGCCGTCCATCAAATCTGTGTCTCTCCAATTTAGAGACTCTGATGTTGTGTGAGACAGGTCTATCAGAGCCATGTCAGTTCTAGCAGTGTTTGCCTACTTCTTGTTTAGATGCTCTTTGGTAGTGTGGCTGTAGGGAGTGTGAGCATCTATGTAATGTAGATGTACTCTCAAAGTATATTCTGTGCACTTTATGAATGAGTTTGTAATGTAGCATTTCTGTCTTACCCACTTCTCCCACTCCCTGCTTGCTTTATTTCTTTGCTTCTTACTGTGTTAGTAAAAACTCATTTCGTGAATAATTCACCAGCATTTTATTTCCCCACATTTTACAAAAAAAAAACAGCTTTACCAAAGCATGGTTGTGCATAGCGTTTTTGGTTGCTGCTATTTGCTCTACTTTGTTTTTACACTGGAAGTGGAGAGGCAGTGGGAAAACACAGACTAATCTGTGACTCCCATAAATACACAAGCGATAAGCCAAGTGAAAAAAGAAAAAAAAGAAAAAGAAAAAAAGAAAAGAAATGGGTACAAAGGAGTTCCATGAGCCAGCGTGAATTTAAGTGAGAGATTTTGTTAATGACGGGAAGCTAGCAGGTTCCCAAATGTGCAAAAAGTGCATCCTTAAGGTAAGAATGAACTAGGAAGTAGGTGAGTAGTGTCACAGAAGAATGTGGTATTTCCACTCTCTTATCTTTCTCTGACATTTAGAAGTTTCCTTTTTAGAGACTCCTCTCAGAAGGGGCTAAGCTTAATGAGGGCAGGTTGAACACACGATCTGTCATGTGATATTTTTCTCTGTGCTTTCTCTATTCTGAGCAGGAAAATTTTATCTTCCAAATAGAATGATAGGAGACAGCTGAGGGATTTTAATTCTTCTTCTGCAACTTGAAGACCTGCTTAACTAAGTAAAAAAATATTCTCTAATGATTTAACTGTTTACTCTTAGGACCAAACTGTAATTTGAAAGTCTGGCCGTGGAATCCTTAGGGAGAATGAATATGCTAAATGCCTTCTGCTTTGATTTGGCAGTGTTGGGTTTCTTAAGTTACCTTTTATTATTTTTTTTTTGTCGTTGTTGTTGGGTTTTTTTGTGTGTTTGTTTGTTTGGTTTTTTTTAGGAGAGACATATTCTTTTTAGTTTGATTTTGCTTTCTGTTGCAAAAGTCTCTACTCTTAGCTGTGTCACCTAATTGTTTCTATTTTTTGTCAGTTACAGAGGAAACCACCAGACCTGCAGGTGAGCACTGATTTATAAGAAGAAAACCAGAGGAGTTAGTTACGCTGACTGAAGGAAGGTGAAATACCAACCTATCTAGTAGGCCTGCTTCAGTTTTTGCAAAGTCGTGCACCAGATAACAAATCACTTAATTTCTTTTTGATCCAAATGTTCGCTCTGACAACATCAAACATTTAGTAGCTAGTTTGCTGTAGTTTGCTATATAAATAATTGTCTGACTCCTATCAAGATCAGAGGTTCAAACTTGGAACAAATTGATGTTTTGTGATGCTGCTTTTTTCAGAATTGAAAGGAGAATGATTGTGTATGGGATGAATTCTAAACAGCAATTCTCAGTGTTGCTGTGTGATGTCTCAGAAGGGTTCTTAATAACCCATGTGCAGCATTATGCGTTTGATTCCCATTCCCAGAATTAGCAACACGCTCAGGGTAGGCATGTGGCTTTGGGGCTAGCTGTATTTTTTTGGGACAACAATCTTTGTTTTCTTAACATTACACAGTGCAAACTGTCCAGTATTTATTGAGAAGAAATAATCTTTAGTTGAATTGTATTTAAACTTCAAATGTGTATGAGTTTGTTTTGTCAGAGATTTTTACATCTATCCTTTTTCCAACCTGGATTTGTTCTGACAAGCAGGTGTTGCCCTCTTCTGGTGAACACAGTTAACTTTTGGGGAATATAAGGAAAAGCTGCTGAGGATGGTTATGTATGTATCTGATCTACTATATCTGTTTGCTAATCTGTGTTCCTGGTGTTTTTTTCTCTTTTTTCTGTCTTAAACAAAAACTGTGCATTCAGAATCATCAACTGCAACATCCACTTCTGGTAAGAACATCAAGATTTTACTGATTACTACCATAGTGTCTATTATTTCCTATTAGATCAGTCTCTTCTTTTACCTGGGGTAATGCAGAAAAGTTGCAGTGCAAATGAAGTCCAACATGTAGTGTTTTCTTTTTTATTATTACTTTTTGTCTTTATTTGCTTCATTCTACTTTGTATTGAAATAGCAGCCCTCATTGGATTACTCATGACTTTTGTCAGTGTTGATTGAGGTTGGGGTAGATGTGAGTTGCTTGATGAAAAGCCTTTTGTCCAGTGAACAGTTGCAGAGATGGCAGAGGGGGAACACTGTAATGAGTAAAGCTCCCATATGTCTCTTCCCACTCTACAAGATGTGTGTACATCATTTAACTTTCAGGATCGGAGGTGATGAACATCATCATGACAACATTTTTAGAAGGAAAATATTGTGGAATATAACAAAGACTGTATATAAATGGGAAGAGTCCACTACATTTTTCCTTGAAGTATGCTGACATATTGTGCTCTAGAGAAAAGGAACAATAGACACAAACACACAACACTTTTTTTACTGTTACAGATACAATCATTTTCTAGGAATGATTCATCTTTAACAACTACAGCCAATTCAGTATTTATAGTATCAATCTGAATAATGCAGATGAAGTCAATATTTAGTTTTCATTTTGTTTCCTTATGTTTTGGCTGCTTTTTTACTTGCTGTTGTCTTTGGGACTGTCACTTAAGAACTAAGTATACTTAGCTTTTATTCTGGTATGGAATTAACAGAGCACATCTGAAAAGTCTTGGAATGGCTAATCCAGTAGAAATTTTTTTTTCATACTTGAGATTTTGATTCTAGCAATGGCAGTGATGCTTTTAGCAAAGAAGTTCAGAAAGCATAATTTCCAGCTGTTATGAAACAACTGTTTTTAAAAAGTCACTTAGTTGTCTTACTGGAATGATGAAAGTGATCCTTGAACCACTTTATATTCCTGCACTGACACTTAAAATCTGCTTTCTAAGCACATCCTGAGCAATCATTAAATTTTCTTCTGTTCTCCTAATTTCCTTCTTTCTCCCTACTTTCCCTTTTCCCATTCACTTAAAGTATTTATCACCTCACGCTAGTGTATTTATACATGGTTTCTGCAAAAATAGCTTCCTTGGAGACACTTTTCCCAGCATATCATCCCTGCTTCTGCGTGTTACAAGTTCATGCAGGAACTCAGCCTTTGGGCTGAGGAATTAGATACGTGAAACTGATCTGCCTCTTCCAAAAGAATGAAGCCAATAAAAGGAAGCTATCTCAAGGAACTCTGTTATTAGCTTTTTGCATTCATATGCTTACTGAGATGGTCAAATTAATGTCAGCTGTTTGTAATGGGCACAAAAGTTATTCCTAAAAGGCAATTTAGATCTTTAAAATTCAGTTCCTGGTGGAAGTGTTGCATTCTGCTTCTTTCTCCAAAATACACAGAAATAAAATACTACATTAATATCTTTTTTCTTTTCTTCCAGAATCCTCTATTGTTACTTTTGTCACCTATCCTATTAGTCCCTCAGGCAAGATTTTATTAATGTTTCTCTTACTTAGATTTAGTTAGATTTAGATTTTTTTTTAGATTTTTAGTTGTTTAGATTTTTATTTTATGGTTTTTAATGCCACTGACTTTTCTTCTTCAGAGATGACTTCAGATGATGCTGCAGAAAGCACAGGTGAGAGTTAGCGCGAGTGCAGTCACATCTGAAGGGAAACGTGTTGCGTTCATGAAAGTTTGCTTTTTAATATTTTTTTAAATTGAGACTTGTTTAGTCCAAATTCTTTACTTAAACTGTCTTAAAATGCAGTTGTCTCCAGTCTGTATTTTAAGTCTCCATGAGTGGTAGGGTTTCAAAATGCATTGTATTAGCTGAAAGCTGTTATATTTTTTTACGCAGAATGTTGCAGTGTATACAGAAGCCCAAACTGGGCAGGTATAGAAGTTTTTGGTACATCTGTAGATGGAATGTTTTTTATACTTCATGATAGTATTTAAAGAATTTTACAAAACTCAAACCTCTACAAGATTCCTTAAAAACACTTAAATTATGTATATAAACTTATATGCGTAATTTATAATTTAATAATTTATTGTATATAATATATTTTATATGATTAACACAATTTATTGCATGTAATATAAATTTATGTTATGTTAAATGTATGTTCTTGCAATGAGTTGCTAAATAGCATCAGTAAGCTTCCATTGGGAGAATTCGCTGCACCTTGTTTCCTGATCTGTCCATTTGAAGACAAGTCGATTCATCCTTTATCAGCACAGGGGTCTGCATGTCTGTATCTGAGTAAGATAACCTGCTATTTGTCATATTTGATGGAGAGAAATACATTTTTAGAACATGAACACTTGAAGTACCCACATAGAACAGGCCAAATGGAAATCATGCCTAAAAAGCAGCACTCAACTGAAAATAATATGGAGGCTAGAGTAACTGGCTCAGATAGGGACATAAATATCTATCTGATTGGGTGTATCTCAGTGCTGTTTTTTCATGTCCCATGAATTCCCTTATAAATAGTCATGTATTTACACTTCTGGGAAGACAGACTAAGTGGAATCTGGAAATTGCTTTTATCACTCATATTTCATGATCTTTTTAAATAAAAATGAGAAAGCTTAATTTTATTTTTCTTTTAAACAGAAATTCCTGACCTCACTGTCTATTACTCCACTGTAGCACCAGGTAGGATTCATACATCACCACTGACACTCTTCTGTGTTTCTTAGAATTACTTGTGCTTGCCTAGACATCCACACATAGGAAAGTTTGGTTATTGTATCAGAACAGTGATGTGAAGAGTCACAAAGATATCAGAAATTTTCAGGACCTATGTGTTCTATTAAAAAAAACGTCATCATGCTTTTAAGCAGATTGGAGCAATCTGAACCCAGACATGATGTTCTCAGGGCAAATCCAGTCTGTAGGAGTGTGCTGAGTTAAGCTGGAGTGTATTTACACTGAGACAGAGTAAATGATAGAATAGTTGACGTGCAGCCATACCAACTAGCATAATTTGACTGTATGAAGATGGCCTGCAAGAGGTTTGCAGCTATGTTATATGATGATCTTTGGAGGCTGGAAACAGTAGCAATTTTTGATTGCTCTTTTACCTCCAAGTACCTTAATTATTTTGTGCATTTTGGTGGCTTGTAGAGATCCTAAGCAAGATCCTCAGCAACACAAGTGGTTGTAAACAAAATCGAGTTGACCTTGCTGCTTGTTTTTTGTGGTGCTTGTTTTATGTGTTGGGTTTTTATAAATGTTACTGTCCTTCATGTAATGAATTGAATTTTGTCAAATTTAGTTCTTTGTGAATATTTTATTTCTTTGTGCATTTTTTAATAAAAGTGTTGATACATTTTTCATTACTGCTTCTCCGGCAGCTCCCAGCACAAAATGGAAGGCAAATTTATATTATTAATAATTTTTTTTCAAATGTTTTGAATATTGCATGCTGCTTGCAATCCATACCTTCTGATTGCTGATTGTTGATGGTGATAAAAATGATGAAAATTAAGTTAAAGTAAGCAAGTATTTGCGCCACAGGAATGGTAAAAGTGAAAAGGGAAAGAAAATTTTTCATCTCATTTGCAACTAGATAATGATAACAGCAGAGAAAATAGCATTTGTTTTTTGCTTATGGAGCCAGTCTATATTCTTAATCTAAAATACTGTACTTACATCTGGAAAGTTGCAATGAGAGTTTAGAACTTGACTATCTTGGTTGTATTCATTAGAAAGAATTGCTAAAATTAATTTTGGAAAATAACCACACAATAGAAAATTATTAAAAAGCAGATGTGCATTCCTACTAGAATACAGTCTTACCTATATATTAGTAACTTAATTATGTTGCATATTGTCATGTGTACAACTGTGTATGGTCACCAAACTGACTTAAAAAGACAACAAAACAACAGCAAAAACAAACAAACAAACAAACAAACAAAAAAAACCAACCAGAGACTACCTGTACATAGATCTGGAGAAACAGCTGCAAAAAATTACTCAGAATTAATTAATGAAAGCCAACGTGTCTCACTATGAATACTGGGTCTTAGATAATGTCATGGTGAGTGCCCAAGAGAAGTGTAGCCAAGGTAGTGTGTGTAATGTAAAGAAGTTTACATTTAAAACAAGAAACGGGGAAATGATTGCAAAATGTGTTTGTCAGTTTTGGATTTAAGTGCAGCTCTTTTACTCATTAGATTTTTTTCCCTCCAAAATATAGCTGGAGAAACCATTTTATGCAATGTATCATCTGTCTGTAATTATTCAGGTCAGTGATTTTCCTTTCTTTTTATAAAAATCATGCCAAACTGTTTTCTGTGTAATGAGGCAACCTTTAATTGCCATATACAAGCTAACTCTGTGCAGCTTTAAAAAAAAAATAAATTAAAATGTGCTCTTTAATTTAAAAATACTATTCAATATGTAGATTTTTGATCCTTATCAAAGTATGTGCAACCGATTATAAGAATTACGGAACTGAGAAAACAATAAAGTAGTATGCTATTAGTGTGTGCCTTATGAAATGTAATTCTGTATCAGGAACAGATGTTGAGATACTGTTTAGAGTTATTACTGTAAAAACTCAAAACACTCAAAAAATACAGAGAACAGTGAAGTTCAGAGACGGGTATGAGTCTAGTTTATTTACGGAAACAGTGAGAGAAGAGATAGAACTATTGCAAAAACACTGAGTGTTCCAAAAAGCTATTTTAAGTGTTCTTATTTCCCTTGCATTCTAACATAAGACTGTGTTGTTGTTTTTTTAATTCTCAAGTTATTTTACATCACGAAGTTACGCCATGTTAAGTTTTTATTTTCTTATACCTTTATTTGTTTTGGTTTTAGTGTTCTATGTGGGCAAGGTAGAACTTCATCCAAAAGAAGAAAGTAACACATCATTAAATATAGAAGTAGTAAGTGTTTTCTCTTGTAAAACTTTTTTAAAAGGAAGGTTGAAATCAGTTTCTTTGTCTGTGCCTAAATTGCATAAGATGCTTAGTATCATAACATGATTCTTATTATAGTATTTATGGTTTAATTTACGTACAGTAATACTCTCTCTTAAAATTTAGACACACAACACTTGTTTATAAGTGTAAGAAAGTAAACTTACTATAGCAAGGGTCGTTATTCTCTATTTAATCACTGAAAAGAGGGAGGTAAACCTGGGAAGTATGCAGAGCGGTCTAAACAGCCTAGCTACAACTAAATTCCTTGGAGATGAATTGAGGTAATTGAGAAAGCTAGCATCATTAGATATTGACAGTTTGAGCATAAATTAGGTTAGATTGCACCCTGAAACTAATCCATGTTGAGACACTCTGAAATAGGGCATCTTTCTGGTGGCAGTTAAGACTATTCGGTTGTTGTGGATGGGAAACAAAGGAGCTTGTTAATGGTTCCTTGTACCTTTCTCTTCTACATCTGTGTCTACACTCAGTCTATGATTTTACATGTCAATCTTTGCAAGCCTGATAGTTGTCAGCAGTCACCACAGAGAGCCACTGCAACTCAACTGAGCAGTGAGTTTGGGCAGGGGTAGGCCCCAGTATCTCGAAAGCAAGAGCCACATCTGTGTTGTATTCTGTTTCCGTAGTGATAACATCTCCTGAAACCATCCTGCTGTATTGAACATTATGTCTACAGCTATTAGAAGAAGTAGATTTCTGTCTCTGGAAGCTGTTTTACTTTTAACAGAATATTTCTGTGGTAATGTGAATACCATAACTGTTAGATGATGTTTTCATTAAGATGCTCACTGCTTTAAATGTAGAAATAACAGGTAATGGTGGAAAACAAAGTATAAGAATGCAGGTCTATAAAGGACTTTTAGATCAACCTTTGTACTCTCTCCATCCTAGAGGCAAGAGCAGACATATGTGTTTCTCCTCAGTTCTTGGCTCTAACTCCCAGGATTCTACTGGGAGACTATTTTTGTTACAGCATTTATGTAGCTTGTCCAATTGCTGCACTATCACTTTAGTTGAAAGTTTATTCAGTTTCTGGTCTAAGATTGCTATTGCAGATTGAGCCAACTTCCTGTTTCTCCAGTGTGATGTGTGGTGAGGTCGCTATCCTCTTTCCTTTATCATTCACAAGTTGAACCCTTAAATTAGGTGTATTCTAGATGAAGCAATTCCTTAAGTTGTGACAACACAGGCATAATAAATATAAACTGAAGTGTATTTATGGGAAAGGGTGCAGATTTTCTTTGGGCTTTCCAAATGTGTTTCTGTTTAAATGAGTGAGGTGAATGTGAGTTTATTCTAATGCTAAAGTTCACTTGTTTTATTTAGCATTGGTATCTTTCTTTCTAACAGATTAATAACAAAACCGTTGACAATCAAGTTTCAGGCTTTATTCCAATTCCAGCCTCAACCTTACAAGAACTGAGGTAAACTTGAAATCTTTGCCATATTTCAAAAACATTAAGACTTTTCATGTAATTAGCAGACTCTTCACTTTGCATTATTCCTGTACTTGATAATTTAGAAATGTCAGGAAATGTGAACTATTTTTCTTTAACACAAAGTTTGTATTGATTAGAACAGTCTTCATTTTGTTTTATATACCCCTGGAGTTTGTTTAAAGAAATACTATGTTTACTGATTACATTTCAGGTCCTTCAGGTTCATTGGGCTTTAACAAGGCCTGAATGCCTTGTTTATAAGCTGATGATCTCAGTAATAATAATAATGATAATGATTAAGACGATAATAATAGTAGCGGTACCTGAGAATGTGAACTGTGGATTATTGAGTAGGTCAATTTGACTGTTGCTCTTCATGAATAAATTGTCTTAATTTCAGAGATTTAGTCTGTCTCTTTAAGAAATTTTACTAAGAGAACTTTTAGGGTTCTAAGTTTTTCTGATTTATGGAGTTAAATCAATATTTATTTCACTATAACTTTTTTTCTTTCACAGTCTTTCTAAAATATGCACTTCCCTTCTTTCCAGAGGAATCTAAGTCTTTATCTAGGTTGTGTCCCATAGCTGTGATTCTGCTTACCTTTTTGCATGCTTAATATTCATACTGCTTTCCAGAGAATGTCTTTACTGCTATTCCAAAAACTCCCTTTGTAAATCAAGACCATGTTGTGGCCCTTTTTTTTTTTTTTTTTTTGCTTTTTGGTTTTGTTTTGGTTTGGTTTTTTAGAAAGCCATAACTCCTACTGATTTGCTTTCAGTGTAAGTTCAAAATTTTGTTCTAAATGGGCAATTTTGTTCCAAAGGGCAAGTTAGCATTTAGACATCAAGATCTATCTTTTGCTCTTTTAAATAGGTTGTAAGGATGTGGATTGATGTTAAAATCTGTGGTGCCAGTTTTAAATGTAGTTTGCAAAGTGTCTAATAAAAGGCAATTCTTTAGGTGTTCAATCCTTTTAAAGTGTTTGTACAATATTAGAACCGTTGTCGTTTTTAAAAAAGGTTTTTTTCTTGGTAATTGCTTGTTCATTTCATAATACTGCTGTAATTGTCTTTAAAACATAATTAGAAATCCTCCATAATTGTAACTTTTTATGTTACAGAATATCAGAGCTCAACAAAACCTTGCAAGAAATGAGTGAGGTAAGATTACTAATTGTTTTTACTGTTTGGAATACTTTTTTTCAATTTATTTATGATAGTGTCATAAGTCCTATTTTCTCCTGACAAAACAATTTTATTCTATTTTTCCTTGTTGTTGTAGTCATCCGTTTTGGAATGCAGTTCAGAAAACCAGAGGTTTGTTGTTGTTTGTTTTTTTTTTTTAATTTCATATATTTAGTAGCTACTACATATTTAAGAGCCTGTGATGTATCAAGCATGAATGGCTGTGTAACAAGAGAAAAATTGTCTAGGAAGTCAAGTCTGAGAAACAGGCTGGACAAATATAAGCAGGCTAATGAGGAAAGAAATTCTGATCCCATTAATCTTATTAATGATCTACTTTATTTGTTTACCAAACTGCTTTGCTTTTCATTAATCTTCTTTTGAAACACAGACTTACCTGCCATATTTCTCCTTCATCTTTAAATTAGCTGGGTCACACAGCTTCTTAGTCACTAAGTCTTTTTGAGGAAATTACTTCAAACATCATGGAATTGTTGTTTGGAAAAGATCTCTATAATCATCTAGTTGAACTGTCCACTTAACACCAGCACTATCTGCTAAACCATGACCATGTCCCTAAGTAGCACATATATCTGTTTCTTGAACACCTCCAAGCACAGTGACTCTACCACCTCCTTGGGCATCCTGTGCCACTGCCTCACCTCTCTTTCTGTGAAGAAATTTTTCTAATTCCCATCCTGATCTTTCCCTGGCACAACTTGAGGCCGTCACCTCTTGTCCAATCACAGAACCACAGAATTGTAGGGGTTGGAAGGGACCTCCAGAGATCATCGAGTCCAACCCCCCTGCCAAAGCAGGTTCCCTACAGCAGGTCGCACAGGTAGGCATCCAGGCAGGTCTTGAACATCTGCAGAGAAGGAGACTCCACCACCTCCCTGGGCAGCCTGTTCCAGTGCTCCGTCACCTCACTGTAAAGAAGTTCTTGCGCACATTTGTGCAGAACTTCCTATGCTGCAGTTTCCGGCCGTTTCCCCTTGTCCTGTCTCCACTCACCACTGAAAACAGTCTGGCCTCGCCATTCTGCCCCCCACACCTTAAATATTTATAGACCTGGATCAGGTCCCCTCTCAGTCTTCTTTTCTCAAGGCTAAACAGACCCAGTTCATTCAGCCTTTCTTCATAGGAGAGATGCTCCAGGCCCTTCACCATCTTTGTGGCCCTCCGCTGGACTCTTTCCAAGAGATCCCTGTCTTTTTTGTACTGGGGAGCCCAGGACTGGATGCAGTACTCCAGATGAGGCCTTATAGCTGTTGCCTGGGAGAAGAGGCTGATCCTTCCTTTGTCTCAGCCTCCTTTCAGGTAGTAGTTCTTATCCCAAGCTGTTCTTCGGTTTGGGAAGCCAGTCATGCTCAGGACTGGACAAGCCTGAGAAGATGTTTCAGAGTCTGGAAGGCTTGAAGTATCAGAATGGCAAGGCTGCTCTAGACAGATGATCCTGGAAACCTTAAAATTAGATAATCTCTGTCAACTTCATTGCTACTCACAGCTAAACAGATGATTCTTTAAACAGATTGGCTTGAAAACAGTATGTTCTGAAACAAAATCTGGAACTTCCAATATACTTGAATTTGAGGATTTATCTTAATGCTTTTGGATCAAACAAAAATTGAAATCCCCTAATAATAGTGGATAGAAAGTCAGATCACACTTTTGTGTCATACACTGACAGTAGCTTGGTATTCCATGTTCTTGTTAGCTGGAAAGAAACTTTGCTTCATCTTTGTGTTCCCTTTTTGTTCACCAATGTGTTTCAGCTGCTCAGGAAGAATTCTGATTGTATGTTTGCTCGTTTAGATAGGGATTCATGTAACTGAACATGAAATGTAAAAAATGTAGTTTTCTGTTTGAGTCATTTAAGCTCACTTTTTTTAAATCTTAAGAGAGAACACTAGGTTTCCATAGGCAAGGATACACTAACAGTCATCTTAGATGTGTTCTGATTCCTCTCTGGGGTTTCTCTACAGTAAGAAAGGAGATTGTTATTATATACTAACTCTTTAATGGCTAACATTGACTAGGAAGGATCACATTTAAGAATCGACAGAGTCTGTAGAGGAATAAGGAAATAAGCTGCTGCAAATGAATGTGTTGCTCTTTGTTTTAACCTGACATAGTGTTCTACATGCTTTGGAAACATCCCCAGATTTGAAAAAGCCTAGGAAAAAAACGCTTTTTCTGATTTGTTATTTGTCATTAGATTCATGTATTGCAATGACATAATTATTTCTTGAATCTAAGGCTTTTTCTTCTCATTATAGTACACACTGCAATTTCATAATAAAGCTGGATAAGAAAGGGAATATAAGCAGTTTAGAAGAGAAAGAAGAAATAGACAAAATTCGTGAGTTACGCTTTAAACAGTCTCACAGATTAACTGTCCTGTTTTTAGTTGACTGCCAAGTACCTAAAAAAAAAAAAAAAAAAAAAAACCTCTTAATTTTAAATAAAAATAAATTTTTTAAATAATGTAAATGCATAAAAAATGCAGACTTTCTGATTTTTGGGGGGAAGGAGCGGGAGATATGTATATGAAAGCTTTGGGTTGTTTTTTTTTTTTTTACATATAAAGTTGCTGACTACGTTAAAGCATTTTGGATTTTGAAAGTATTGTCTGTAACATTACTGGAAAACACAAATGCATTTCTCGAAGTTTATAATGTAGCTCAGTTTTCTTAGTTGTATTTTGATAGCATGGAGTGGCTCATGCCTTTTTCTCTCAGTTTCAAAGCATATAGCTTTGCATACTGGTTTCTCTAAAAAGAGAAGTCTGAACTTCTGAAGCATTGAGCAAAAACCTCAAAACTGATTATTCAAAATGCACTGTTGTTTAAAAAAAAAAAAAAAAAAGCTGTAAAATGTACTCTTGTTTGAATAACCTGTTTAATGGTATAAGTAGTTTTTATGCTTCATGGCAAACTATGTTAATGCTTCCTTGTCATTTCAGAACAGTGCTGCTGTTCATCACTGAGGTATTGTTCCTTGACTGCTGAAGAATTAAAAATGTAGTAAGTATAAATACAAACAGATTGGCATGCTGATTCCCTTATCTTTGTAATCGATAAATAGAATGAACTTGCATGTTGCAATATAATAACTAGGAAAGGATTCCACGAGCACAAGCACAATCTTCCTGTATAGTTCCATTCTCTTTCCTTCCTGTCCCTCCTTCTCCTCACTTTCTTTTTTCTTTTGTTTTTTTTTTCCTGTGGTGCCAGAAGCTTTTGAGTTCAGAATTATGTCCAAAAAAGACAAAATGAAAGGGTATCATGTGGACTTAATAGTTAACAACTATAGCAAAATAGAATGCATGAAGCCGCAAAATGTTACAGAAGTACTGTTTGTCACTAGGGCATGAGAAATGACCTGATGACTTTCAAAATATGCATATTACTAATATGCCCACGTGATTCATATATATTCTTATATTATAGCTAATTTTCTTTAAAATATAAATAATGTTAAATTTAACATGTATTTATGTGCTCTTTTTTTTTAACAGTACTATAGAATTGCCGCCTCATCCCATATGGATTCCATCTTCTCATTCTCCTCCTCATAAAAAGAGTGCTTTCTCTTCCCTCAAATCTAGTGCTTTTCTTTCCCCCACTGTGGTTTCTGCAAAACGAACACCCCCAATTAGACCACTGATCCCCCCATTCACAGAAAATTCATTTTCTGAAACCCTCTCCACATCTTCCACTGCAAATCCTCTCTCTGAAACTTTTACCACTACAACTTCTTTGTCTGCCACTACTGATACCACTACATATTCCTCTACTGAGTCTTTTGCTCAGCAAATCATGGCTACTTTTCCCTCCATAGCTTTTAATAAATCTGTCACTACAGTTCTCTCTTCCATACCTGCAACAAAATCTATTTCCAATGTTGCTCTCTCAATTAAATCTGATGCTACATATATTAGCAAACCTATCACAATAATTTCTCCTGCTGTAAATTTCACTAAACCTTCTGCAGTTTCCCCTTCTGAGCTTCCTCCCAAACCTCCAATAGCAATTCCACCTTTTGAAACTACCACCAGCTCTTTTGCACAGATTCCTCTTTCTACAGATTCAACCCAACCCATTTCTGATAACAGAAACATTACTACAGCACCTGTTCTTCCCCTTACTCCTTTCTCAATAACCCCTACTGTTAGTCCTGTCAAACATTCTGTCTCAGCATCTCATCCTCATTCTACTGCTGGTGGCCATGGTAGCCTGCCGAACGGAAGCACAGGTAAACATGACAAATAAAAAATATCTTTTAATTTGAAATCCATATACTGAATTTGCTTTCAGTTTTTTTAAACAAGATTTTGGTTGTGTCTTAGCTATCATCTTCTAATTACCATGACAAGCCTGACACAACTTTCAAAATCTCTGTACTCATTTTAGAACATGTTCTGATGCCTCTGGCTATGATGAGTGGTACCTCACGCTACAATATTTTGTTAACTATAGTAGTTAGGTTTTCTGGTTTTCTCCTGATTTCCTCCTTCTTGCAGGCACCCAGTAGCTAAAAATTCTAAATAATAGATTAGCATCACTTATGGTGATTTTATAATCAGTATAAAGTATGGTCAATGGTGACTATTTGAAACCTTGCTCTATATTTTCCTAAGGCTCTTAAGTATTGCTATCTGCAAACTAGCTGTTAGGGGAAAAAAAAAAGGCTGTGTTTCATGTAACATGCTTGTATCTGTGGTAAGCTTTTTTATTCAAGAAAACTGTTGTAATTTTTCTGGTTACTTCATTTGTTAAGCACAATACTTACAAAAATGAACAACTTTTCTGTTGTCACAGGAAAGATACTGTCAGCTACCACATACACAACTTCCATATATACAACCATTAATGTTACCACAGCTGAGCAAATTGTATCCAAAATAGAAAAAGATTTAGCAGCTGGAAAAGTAGAGTCAAAAGATGTAGAACGGATGGTGAATGAGGTTAGCAGTGTTCTCACAGCTTCTCAACAACTACCACCCCAAATTTCTAACAGGTAGGTCCATCTGGCAGTAGATTAAATGTGTGTTGTATTGACTGCTTCATAAGTTACCCTCAGCATGTTTCATTTTTTAATAATCTTAATCAAAGAGAATGTTTCTTGTTCTTTAACTTACTTACACAGAAAAGGACTATTATTATATTGTTACTTGCTGTACTGTAATATAATGCTATGAAAAAAACATTTTTGTGTTCAAACCACAATAAGTGAGAAGAGTAAGTTGCATTTTACATTGTTTTTGGATTGCTGCTCCATAATCGCAACTTTGTGCTTGGTAATACTAAGCATCTCTTTTTCTTAACAGAATTATAAAAGTAGTGGATTATATTGGCTTAAAACTGAACTTTTCAACAATGTCTGCTGATTTTTCCTCCCCATCCTTGGCTCTGGCAGTTGTCAAAACCAATAGCATCCGTTCCAACCAAATGTCTTTTGCTGTCCAGGATTCATCTGATCTCCAGGTAGGACAATGATAATTCTAAACTTCATGAAATTTCCTAAGTTCATGTTTAAAGTGTTTGTGTTATAATATTTATCTTCTTTATATTTATAACATGACTTTTATTTTGCATTTATGTCAAAAGTTCAGGATCTTTTATTCAGGTTATTTTCAGAGAAAAAAAGACTTTGCTTTTTGAAATCTTTCAGAATTTTTTTTTAATGTTCTGTTATGGGCTAAATAAGCAACTGAGTTAGTAGAAACTGGCATTTCGCTAATAAGCTGTTAGAGGGCACAGTGAGAATACCAAAGTGCTTGGAATGTGTCACAAGAACCCAGAATCATGAGTCATTTAATCACCTACCCTGTCTGTGCTTGTCAAGGGCTGTTGTCACATATGTGAGAAGATTAATTGCAGGAAATTGTCAGTGCCAGGAAACAACTTACTACACTGCTTGAGTAATGACATTCGTACAATTGTCACTCATGAGTAGTTGGTCTTGCCAAGAAAAAAAGTGCTTAGAAAGTTTGGATATGCTTTCTCTCACTCAAAAGCTTCTGTTCAGGTTAAGGAAGTTCTGATTTGGACAGTACAACCCATGGAGGCTTACGTGAGGAAAGATGGAAAGTTGTGGACAAATACTGGCACACTGTGTCCTCTCAGAGAATGAAATAGCTTAAGTTAGCATAAGCCATTAGTAGTACTGAAACTGTTCTTTGGTACTGAAGTTGCACTACTTTCAGGCCTGCAGATGCTTTTTATTCCTTTGAGCAGAAGAGAAGTGAGAGAACAGCAGTGTGTTCCTGGCAGTGGTTTGAGAGATGCTTATTTCAGAGTTCTAAACTGGATATAAGGCATTATTTAATTTTTCTTTAGTGACAGAAATGAGGCATAATTCTTGCATTTATTTTTCAGATCTCTCTTGGCCCTAATGCAGTCCATGACTTAAATAATCTTGGATCAATTACACTTCCTTCATCACTGCTCACCAACTTACCTCCTGAAGAGCTGGACTTGGCTTCTAGAATTATTTTCAATTTCTTTAAAAAGACTAGTGTGTTCCAGGTACCTTTTTGATCCTCTGTTCGTAAGAGTTTAAATTCAATGCTAGAGCAAAAATAAAATCTGAACTGACTTGTTTTTTGGCCATAAAATATTTTTTTAAATTTCCTTATTTGAAAAGAAATTATTTTTGTCCAATACTCACTTCACATAATACCTGAACTTGTGTAAACTGTACTCTACCGTTGTTTTTTTTGATTTTAAAATCTGATTATTTTTTATTGTTCTAGGATCTGTCCTTGAAGAATGCATCTTTAATCAGCGGTGTTATATCATCAAGTGTTGCTAACCTCACAATTAGCAACCTGAAGGCAAATGTGACTGTTACTTTACAGAACATCAGACCTAATCAGGTATGATTTGTTTTGTCTGACTGAATTCGCTTTTGTTGCCTCATTAGAGTTGTTGTAGAAGAAGTACTGTACTACGAATACAGATCAGTTGGTTCTGCTTTACTGGCATGGACATTTCATTTCCAGCTAGACTTTCAAAATCTCTCTTCTTTGTTTATTTATTGTTTATATTAATTTTTGTTCTCAAGTGATGTAATTTTGTTCTGCCAGTCAGCTCTGAAGTTTTAATCCTTTCTACCTGCCCTTCTGTTTTATTTTACAAACCTGCAAGAGGTCCAGGAGGCTCCTGGAATGCATTGATGATAACTTTCTGGTCCAGCTATTGGACAGACCGACCAGAAGTGAAATGTTGCTGGACCTGCTGCTCACCAGTGCAGAGGAGATCATTAAGGGCGTTAAGGTTGGAGGCAGCCTGGGTTGCAATGATCACGCTCTGGTTGAGTTCGTGATCTTGAGAGATGTGGTCCTGGCAAAGAGTGGCGTAAGGACCCTGAACTTTGGAAGAGCGAACTTGAAGCTGTTCAGTGGACTGTTGGTCGAGATCTCCTGGGATGCTGTCTTTAAAAACAAAGATGTTGAGAAGAGCTGGCTGTTCTTCAAGGATGCCCTCCTGAGAGCACAAGAGCTCTCCGTCCCTCTGAATAAGAAAGTAGGCAGAGGAAATAGGAAACCGGCATGGCCCGGCAAGGACCTGCTGGGCATGCTGAGGGAGAAGAAAGGTGTGGACAAGGTCTGGAGACAAGGGCATGTCACCTGGGAAGAATACAGGGATGCTGTCTGGACTTGCAGACGTGGGATCAGGAAAGTCAGTGCACAGGTGGAACTGAACTTGGCGAGGGACGTGAAGAACAATAGGAAAACATTCTACTGGTACATTGGCCAGAAGAGACAGGCCAAAGCGAGTGTACCTCTGTACCTCCTTTGGTAAATGTAAAAGAAGAACTTGCTTCAGCAGATGAAGAAAAGGCTGAGGTACTGAATGAGTTCTTTGCCTTGGTCTTCATTGGCAGCCAGGATTCCAGTATTTTTCACATCCCTGAGCCCTGCATCCCTAAACCAGTAGGTGAGGACCAGGCGGTAAACTCACCCCCACTGTGAGGACAGAGCAGGTCCAAGATGGCCTCATGAGACTGAATGTGTACAAGTGTATGGGACCAGATGGTGTGCATCCTGGGGTTCTGAAGGAGCTGGTTGAGGTGGTTTCCGAGCCACTCTCCATCCTACTTGAAAAGTTGTGGCTGTCAGGTGAAGTCCTGGATGACTGGAGGAAGGGTTATGTCATTCCCATTTACAAGAAAGGGAGCAAGGAGGACCTGGGGAACTACAGCTGGTGAGTCTCAGCTGTGTGCCTTGGAAGATCATGGAACAGATCCTCCTGGATGACATGCTTGATCACATGAGGAATGAGCATGAATGAGTGGAATGAGGAATGAGTGATCTGAGACAGCCAGCACAGCTGGCTGGGGAAGGCCATGCTTAACCAATCTGATAGCCTTCTATGATGAAGCAACGGCATCGGTGGACAAGGGAAAGGCGACCGATGTCATTTACCTGGACTTGAGCAAGGTCTTTGACATGCTCCCCCCACCACATCCTTATTAAATTCACATCCCTTCAATTTGGAGATGGGTGGACCACTTGTTGGATAAGAAATTGTTTGAAAGGCTGCAGACAGAGGTTGGTCATCAATGGCTCTGTGTCCAGGTGGAGGCCAGTAACAAGCGGTGTCCCCCAGGGGTCTGTCTTGGGACCGGTGCTCTTTAACATCTTTATTAATGACATCGATGATGGCATTGAGTGCACCCTCAGCAAGTTTGCTGATGACACCAAGCTGAGTGGTGCAGTTGACACAGTGGAAGAAAGGGATGCCATTCAGAGGGACCTCAGCAGGCTTGAAAGGTGGGCCCGGGTGAACCTGATGAGGTTCAAAACGGCAAAGTGCAGAGTTTTGCACTTGGGCCTGCATACTGTGATATTAATCTCTTCTATGCTTTTAAGTTTATGTAGTATTCATGTAATACAGGTATACTTAATGTATGCAGTATTTATTCTTCCCTGTATTTTGTACATAATTCAAATTTCTTGATCATTAATTACAGTTAAGTAAAACATCTTTTGTTTTAATTATAATTTTTATTTTTACTTCCCAAAACAGGATAATTCAACAGTTAGATGTGTTTTTTGGGACTTCAATAAAAATGGTAAGTACTTGATATCACCCAAGATATCATGTTGCTTCAGTTATGCTAACTGATATTAATAGTAGAAAGGTATGCTTTAATCAATTACAAGGCTGTTTTCTTTAACAGGTGGACATGGTGGCTGGTCATATGAAGGTTGCATTGTTAAAGAAAGTAGAGTAAATGAAACAGTTTGTTCATGCAACCACCTCACAAGCTTTGCAGTTTTGATGGTAGGTATTTCAAAAATTATATATCTTGATTCAAGAAAATGTTAGAACATGCCTCATATTCAGCAAATGAGGATTTAGAAAATACATACAACTTATTAAATACGAATTCAGTTCTGTTCACTTCTTGCTTAGTGCAAAGAGCCATAAAATCAGTGATGTCCTTAAGCTGCTTGTTGAATGGAGGCCATGAGTTCCATTAAAGTAAAAATTGCTTAAGTGTTTATTAAACTGCAGCTCATACATTTAGGCCATTGTATATTCTGTACAAAAAAAAAAAAAAGAAGTTAGGATAAATCCAATTTAAAATTATTTTAATTAGACTTCCACAGTTGTATTGACATTTCTGTGTTCCAGCAAACCTTTTGCAAGATCTATGAAGAAAATGGTTTGCTTTTTTTGTTTGTTTTGTGCATTTTAAGGTGGTTTTGTTTTGTTTTGTTTTGTTTGTATGTGTTTTTCCATTTCATAAGTTTGTTCTCTGAAATCAACTTCTCTTTTCCTTTTAGAATTTGTATGGAAATACTCCTCTAAGTCCTACTCAAGAATTGGTACTGACTTTTATATCCTATATAGGCTGTGGCCTGTCTGCAATTTTTCTTTCTATTACTCTTGTGACTTACATAGCTTTTGAGTAAGTATCTATTCAACTCAGCTCCCATTATTCTTCAATTACAATTGTCTGTAGTCTTCACAGCAAAGTCTCTTTCAGTAGTTATGGGTGCTCTTTCTGTTAATAATGCACAAATTCGTCGTTGTTGGAACATTTTGTTAAGATGTTTGAGGTTTAACTGTGAAGTCCTCCACAGTGTGTTTTGGAAATCCTCCTAGAATTTATTTGGCACCCGTTTACTCTCTCATTATCCCATCAATAATAAATACTTGGCTCTATCAAGGTTTTAGAAGCCTAGTCAAAAGCATAATCTAGGTTAGCACTAAGGAACACTCATTTTGCATTTTGAAAGTAATGTAGCAAGAAGCCACCTAACATACGAGTTAAAACATTCTGTCCCATGTGTAAATTCAATGTAAGAATCATTACATATAAATCAAAATATATAAACACATTTTTTTTCTTGACACGTATGAACTAAAGAATACCAGAGAGAAGATAAGTCATGGATACAAGAACAATTGACAATTGTCATCTCACTAATTTGCTTTTTAGGAAAATCCGGAGAGACTATCCGTCCAAAATATTAATCCAGCTGTGTGCTGCACTACTTCTACTCAACCTGGTTTTCCTCCTTGACTCATGGATTGCATTGTATAACACACCAGGCCTATGCATTTCAGTTGCTGTATTTCTTCACTATTTTCTGTTGGTTTCCTTTACCTGGATGGGCCTAGAAGCTTTCCACATGTATCTTGCACTTGTGAAAGTCTTTAATACCTACGTACGGAAATACATTCTTAAGTTTTGCATTGTTGGTTGGGGTACGTATTGGTTTTACTTTTTGGATTCTAGATGTATGTATCAACTTACCAAATATTTCTGCAAAGGTGATACAGTTTGGAAATGAAAGAAAAATAGTTGCTATGTATTACTACTGTCAACTACAAAGTATTCATTATCAGTAAATCTAACTGTATGAATTCCAACTGGCATTCTCAGCTTGCAATGTGGAAAACTGCGGCTGTTGCAATGTAAGTGAATAATGGATTTTCCTTTTGCAAATATAACAGAGCCAAATTTGAATCACAGAATGATTTGAGTTAGAAGGGATCTTTAAAGGTCATCTCTTTCAACCCACCTGCAATGAATGGGGGCGCCTACAGCGTGATCAGGGCGCTCAGAGCCACCTTCCAGCCTGATCCTGAATGTCTCCAGGGATAGGACAACTACCATCCACCCTTATCATTAAAAACAAAAAAAAAACAAAAAAAACCTTTATATCCAGTTTAAATTTTCCCCCTTATATTTTGAAACGATTTCCCCTTGTCCTGTCGCAATAGATCTTGGTAAAGAGTCTGCCCCCTTCAAAATGGCTTATTTCCATTAGCTAGACAGATGGCATCAGTTCTGTTTTCAAAATAAATGGAATTGAATATATACATTGCATTTCTGGGGTAGCACTGTTACTAGCAAAAAGTGGCAAGGCAAATGTAATTGGTTCAAGGATGAAGAGATTCGGGCCCTTGTTATCATCTTTGGCCACTTGAGTTAAACATTAGTAAAGGCACTAAAATCAACAGAATTGTTTTCTTCAAATTGAAATGAGAAATAAAATTTGAGTATGCTTTATTAAATGCTTTAAATCAGTTTGACGTGTGACAGTATTTGTTGCCTAAGTGAGAAAATCTAGAGCTAGCTGCAGAGAGGATCTCTGGTTTCATTCCAAGTTGTGTTCTTGAGCACAGCTTGAATGCCCCGTTTAGTTTCAAGTTATAATATTGTATTTGTCAAGATTTTCACTTATGTATTTGGTCTAATCTTTTAGGGTTACCAGCAGTAGTTGTGGCTATTGTGTTGGCAGTATCACCAGATAATTATGGACTTATATCCACTGGGAGAGTTTCAAAAACCAGACCTGATGAATTGTAAGTTAAATAAAAGGAGGTGCTTGCTTTCTTTTTTTAGGGGGAGGGGAAGGGGTGGGTCCTACTAAACTGCTTTTCTTTAAAGGTTGGGGAGGGAAGGAAGCAGGGAGAGAGCTTTGCAATAGTATAGCTCCATAGTATGTTGGGTGCTTTGTGGTATCTGCCTACATGAATGCACTTTGCTTTTGGTAAAACAAACAAAAAAAAACCTCACAACTTTTTACTAATGAAGCAAAAATGACTTGTAATTAAAACAAGATAAACTTGTATTTATTTCAATTTTTTTTTTTTTCTGTTGATGGTTGACAGACTTTATCTTTGTGTTTTAGCTGCTGGATTAAAAATAGAATTGTCTTCTATATTACTGCTGTGGGATACTTCTGTGTGATATTCCTGATCAATATCAGCATGTTCATTGTTGTGCTGATCCAGCTGTGTCGCATAAAAAAGAAAAAACAACTTGGTGCTCAGAGAAAAACAAGTATTCAAGACCTTCGGAGTGTTGCTGGCCTCACATTTTTGTTGGGAATTACTTGGGGATTTGCTTTCTTCACAGTAAATGAGGTTTTTACTTACCTCTTTACCATCTTTAACACTTTGCAAGGTAAGTTTATGCTTTTATGTGTCATCTTACTGCCACCACTACAATGAATAAAACATTTGAAAGATTTCAAAATGGCACTTTCATAATTCAGAAACAAAATTGTAATTTGGTAAGTTCTTTAACAATTAAATTAGATATTATGCTGCTTTACTGTAATTTTGTGTTACAGTAAGATATAGAAAGGCTGTCAACTAATTACATGTATAGTATATTTATATCCATATTATATATAAATATAAATATAAATACATGCAAACCAGATACCATGGAAAGTGACGGGATGTCAAGAGATTAACTGTAAATACTCAGTTATTGTAAGTGTTCAAAAAAATAATACAATTGATGTAGTGAAAATGGTATCATTTCCCAACTTACAACTAAAGCATGAAGGTGAGGTGTAACATTCATCAAAGGGCCATTAAGACAGGCAAGGCTGTGGTATCTAAAATATCTCCTCATAAGCATAGCTTATAGCTTCATAGATATGAAGGCATGCAGCTCTGCAGATGCTAGGATACTACTGGACATATCCAAAAGCAGATTTCAGAGGCTTCAAAAACTTTTGTATAAATATGAGGTACTGTAGCTGCATGCTGTTATCTGAGTGTACCTAAATTTCCCTATAGTATTTTGAGTAATCCAAATTTCTCTTTCAATGTATTTTAGATTACTGGTGGAATAATTTCCCAGGGAGACTAAAGAAATTCAATTTATAGCTCTGTGAATACTACTTCTCTACTTGGTGTGTCACAACCTAAATGGTTTTCTGGCCATAGAATAGAAATCATGACAGTAGGTTTGCAAGATTCCATAGTACGTAAGGAACCAGAGGCATTATTTCAAACAGTTGTTTACTTTAATACAGGGTACTAGCAAGTGTACTTATTTATGATTAATAAAACAAATATATATCAAGCTATTACAGAAGTATTACCAGAAAGGTGTGTGTATGTGTATATACAAGTAGGTCAGTCCAAAAGTAATGCCTCTCCTCTCATTTCCACGGAAACAAAGAGCACAATAAATAGAACAGAGAATTCAGTAGAGAAAATTCTCACCTGCAAAACTGTTTTGCAACGTAGTCATGTATACATAACAATGTCATGTATCTATGTAGTCACCACTATGCACTTTTGTCAGTGATGAACAAGAGTAATGGAATGTGGCTTGTCTTTCATGTTGCTGTTACTGCTGCTGAAAGGCACCACCCACCACTTCACTGTGCTGACAGCCATTGTTTGGTCTCTATAAACATTCAGCAAATAACGATGAATGTCAGTCAGTCATTTTTTCTGCATGGAGGAATTCAGTGACACACCTCTGCTTCATCAACGCTTCCATACGCCATTGTGTCAGAGTGCCCCTCTGCTGCCATCTGTCACACAGCAACAAAATATAATGGGATATTGGCAGGAAAGTTCAACTTCTACTGCCGTAGCACCGACATCTGCCTCTGATGTTATGGGCCAACATGATAAAATAGGAAATATTACATTCAGAGCAGCACTCAAATGTTCACTCCACCATTTGTAAGGGCTGCTACAATATATGTATTTTTGATAGCACCAGCAAGTGTATTGAGAAAGATCTCCACTATAGGTTACTGCAAAACTGTCACTAGCAAAATAGCAAATGTGTGTATGTTTATGTATGCATGCATATATATACGTACATACATACACCCAGAGAAGTTCAGTTTCGGATGGAGAACAAGTCATTTTTAATCACATAGATCTTTAGTCAAGACATAAGAGGATGTAGAACTCGACACTTGGAGCAGCTAATAGATACTTGTAATTTCTGTTTTTCATGTGAGTAACCAATAGACCATGATGTTTCCTATTTTTTCAGGCACAATTTTTCTTTTCCCAGACCACTTATATGTACACTTGGCTAATGCAGACAACAGCAGTTACTGATTTCAGTCTTTTCAGAGAGTTTCCCCTTTGTTTCAGAGTATTTTTCACCTTTGTGGAAAAGTTGCAATTATAGTTCCTTGGTTTTGCCCTTATTTTTAGTATCGTCAAGATGTCTCTGGTTCTTAGGTTGCCAACTGCACTTCAGAGAGACTGGCTGCAGTTCTCAGAGGTGCTGCTGGTTCACATGCCCGATTTAGTAGTTCTCAAGCTAGCAGAAATCTCCTTCTGTCAGTATTTTAGCAATCATTTTTTATCGCTATTTTTTCCATTATAGCCAGATTGCGTTTCTCGCTGCTCTCATCAGTATGTTCATTTTTGAGTACCACAATTTGGTAAATATATACCAGTGTTTCAGAACTGTATTCAGAAGTGGTATAGAACCATCTCAGTATAGAATCGTGTCTTTATATTCAAATATTCATTCTGAAAGCCAAAGATAAGATATTTAAGCTACCAAAGATGTAATTTCTCCTAGTGAGATTTTACATGCTTAACTGTCTTTAGAAACAGCATGAACATAACATACGTGAAACTCTGTGCTAGTCTCAGCAGTTAATTCTCTTTCATGTTCTTTTTCATTCATTATAAGCTTAACACTTATGTTCTTAGGGACACGCTGCAGCTGAAAAATCATGCAAAGACCAAGTTCCTTTCTTAAAACAGGGGAGGGGTTCTTATAAGCAGGGAGATTTGTTGTTCCACAGTGTGTCATTAGAAGTGAATGTAAAGTGGTAAAGTCTGTCATGATGCTGACAAGAGACAGGGATGAGCCCATCCCTTATAGAAAATATTAGGTTTTAAAGTCGTTGTGAAGGGGAAACCATTTATCTAATATTTTAGGTATGCGATGTTTTCTTTGTACAAATACTCTAAATGACATATGAATGATTTTGTGATCTATTAATAGTTCCTTTAACTTTTGGAAAGTCAGTAATAATGCTCCAGGAGTTGGCATTCCAAGTAATAAATCTATAAGCATTACTGGTTTGATTGTGGTTAACAGATGGAGCAGTGTCATACCAGGTAATGAGAACTGCATACCCTCCCAGTGTCACATCACACTTTCTGTTTGACATTGCTTTGAATTGTTTTCCAAAGTTGCAAAGTAATCTTCAGGATGCACAGAACTTTTCCCTTCATATTTGAAAGGAGAAACTTTATTCACTTTGTGGACTTGGTTTGTTCTTGCATTTGTGTATACATGATTCTTTCCATCTATGTTCAGTAGAATAGTACTTCTCAGTGTTCAGAATTGCTAACTTTTTCATTAAAGAAAACTTTTGGTTAGAAACTAAAAAGAAATGAAAGACAACAAAATGTTGTTTATCACAGATGTCATTGTTTTGCAGGGTTCTTCATTTTCATCTTCTATTGTGTAACAAAGGAGAATGTCCGTAAGCAGTGGAGAAGATATCTGTGTTGTGGAAAATTCAGGCTAGCTGAAAACTCTGGTAAGCATGAAAATGTTTTTGTTGTTCTTTCTTTTCTTCCTTCTTCCAAAGAATTCCTAGCATTTAATAATACGCTTTTTTCTTAAATTCAATGAACTATTTTGTTCTAGTTGCAGACATGATTTATTTCTCAAAGTACAATAAACCTTTGAAATTATACTCTTTAAAGACAGCAGTTAATGCAGTTCTTGCATTAAGTTGTTAACTGCAGCTGGTCTCTTCTGGTGCAGTTTATGGGCATGTCTTTGAAGAAGACTTCTGATCGTGATTAGATTAGAAGTTCGTCTAATCACGATCAGAAGTTTTAAGATTTGCTCCAGTTTGAGTCAATTGTAGTTTTGCCAGCAACTTCAGAAAAAACACAAGATAAAGAAAACTTTAAACAAAAAGAAAAAAAAAAGTAGAAATAGGTTTGATTATTTTGTTATTCAGTACTTGATTTCTCATAAAGCTGTATGCTTTTCAGTCATTTCTTTAGTTGCTGGAAAATTCTAATCTGGTACACAGTCATAACACTAAGACAGCCTGTTGCTTTAAGAAGGGATTAAACAGAAACAAAACCAAACTAGATGCAAATAATTGTAAACATCAAGAGTTATGATATTCTTTGCAGAATATTGTTCTGTTTAGAAAACTACATTAACGCTTCTATGAGTTGCACAATTTTCTCTACTATCTGTTGTAGACTGGAGCAGAACTGCTACTAATGGTTTAAAGAAGCAGACTGTAAACCAAGGGGTATCCAGTTCTTCCAATTCCTTGCAGTCAAACAGTAACTCCACTAATTCTACAACAGTGCTAATGAATAATGATTATTCAGTGCATGCAAATGGGAATGGTATGTATCATTGCAATGCTATGCTCTTTCCTGCTAACATAGTAAATTGCTGACCAATTTTTGGATGTCAGGGGCAAGTTCTTTACAGAGAGAGTGGTGAGGTGCTGGAATAGGCTGCCCAGAGAGGCTGTCGATGCCCCGTTCCTGGAGGTGTTCAAGACCTTGTTGGATGCAGCCCTGGGCAACCTGCTCTAGTACCATCAGATCTGGAGATTGGTGGCTCTGTGTGTGGCAGGGGGATTGGAACTTGATCTCTGGGCCCGTTCCAACACAAGCTATTCCATGATTCTAGGAATGATTATTCATATTAATAACAATAATATAATATAGGTTCAATAATAATATAAGGTCAAAATATTTCAGATTTCCTCACAAATAATATCACATCTGGTTTAGGAGATGGTACACAAAGGTTTAAAATATCCCTATTATACTTAGTGGGGTCTGTTGATTTACATATCAGATAGTAGGTAATATTCATTAGTAAGCCTGTTATTTACCAAAAGCTGCTGTAAGCGCCTTTCTTGTCAGATGTACCAGGGAAGATCAGATTTTTGGTTCCTGTAGTCAACTCATCTTGCACTGCCTTGATGTTTCTCACCAGTGTTTTTCTCTTCCCAAAACCATAAATGGAAATTAGATTCTGCACAGACTGTTGTCTTCTCAGTAAATTTAACAGTAGCCAGTCATGGCCATGTTGGCTTGTGAAGTGATACAAACAGTAACACCAATAACACTATTAAATGTGTGTTTTGATTAATTATGTTATTTAAAACAGATTAATTTAAATGTATTGCATTTGTGTTTGTGAACTCAATTTTCATGTTTCTTTCCCAGAAGAAATACTAGTTCCAGTTTGGGTTTTCCCATCTTGATATTTTATTCCATCTCATGATAGATGTGATATCAGGATAGTGGCACATCTCTTAAACTTACCTACTCTCTGAGAAGGAAAAAGAACAGAAAAAGGAAAAAGAAAAAGAAGAAAGACCAACTGAAAGCATTTGTGCAAATATTTATAATAAAGAATCCTACTTCTAAGAAAAAATATCTAGAGTATGGTGTATAGATATAGGAAATTCTATCCAGTGAATTGAGCATTTGTGGAGCTGGTGTTCCACTCCATTAAGAGGCTTCATTTGGGAGTGGTATTACATATGTTCACTGTAGGGACACAGAAATGTTTAAGATTTTTCAATCTAAATATGGCTTGCAAAAGTATTTGGACCAAGGCCACATTCTGATTGTTCTCCAGAAATAAATACTGCAAGTTACATGCATTTTAAAGAGGAAAAAAAAACACAAAACCTGCCATGTTTATTCCAAGTTTATTTCATATCCATGGCAAAACTGAGAAACTTGAACTTAACTATAGTTAATGCAAAACTGGAGTTAGAAGTATTTTGCATCTTACCTAGTGACACTGATTCCAATCTTAGTCTACATTCTTAGAATTGTGACCTTCCTGGTTGAAAATGTGAAATCTTTTTGTGTGTACAATATATTAAGGTCTCTCAGATCTTTTACTTGTCTCGCGTAGAGTAAATATATACAGAATGCGTACAGAGAAATCCTCATCTTGAAATTATTGCAGAGATAAAATGAGATACCGTGAGCTCCCTATACTCACTGGAAAAGTACTGTATCTTCTGATTCTGACCTTCTCTGAGAAGGGACAACTTTTTGTTTCTACAGGCCATCTTTCCGGTGAGAAGAATGGTGTTTCTTTCAGCGTGCAGAATGGTGATGTGTGTCTTCAGGACTTTTCAGGCAAACAACTTGTATTTCAAGAAAAGGATGACACTGGCAGCCCAAATAGCCGTATCTCACTTAGAAGGACTTCAAACAGGGGAAGCTTACCTTCTGCTGAGAAAATGTGATTTCCTTTTGAACGGAACACTGTTTTACAGTATGAAGTAGAGATTTACTTCAACAGTTTTACATAATGTGAGAAGACCAAAGACTGATTTTATTTAATATATTGTCTTGAAACTTCCAGGCAGCCATGTAATGGCTTCACAACGACAATTATTAATTGGAAAAAAAAATGGGGAGGAAGCTCCTGTTCTGACAAGGTATTTCGGATGTCGAATTACAGCTGGCACGTTTCTATTTTGATTCTTCATTAGAGATATTTGAGGATTTTTACGCTTAAAGTTTTATTTTTTTTTTAGTACAATTAAGTATCTGGATATAATGCATAGTAGTATTGTATAAATGTAGGAAATTACAACTTGTGTGTTAACTTTAAAAATGTTAGCTATACTGTCTTCAACTTTTTGTATGTTAGAGTTGCAGGTTAGTGCTGTACATAAGGAGGAGAATGCCAGCCTTTAAATATCTTAGTGGTAGTTTTATATTTATTTCTTGTAATATAAATTTAAATATTCTTTTGTATAGAAAAATAATTGATATTTTGTTTTAACTTTTATTGTACTTCGCATTTGTCTTTAATTGAAATAATTAACAGAATGATACAGAAGTTAATGTGTTCAGTTAGTGAAACCACTTACTGTGGTCTGCCAGAGACAGAACTGTATATGTGAACACCATTATTTTTTAATCCTTAGTGTCCTCTTTCACTGCAACACAGAGAGGTAGAGAAACTGGGTGTCATCAAAGTAGAGCACTAAGAATGAGGGAGTGATGAATAAAGTCACCTGTAAGTTATTAAATGTAGCTAAGTTATCTTAGTAGCTGGACTAAGTTGGTGGGAGCTTTTGCCATTGATTTCACCAGGTTCAATATTTTATCTTGAGTTCCAAGTATTAAACACACTGCCATTTCTCATCTACAGTGATTTTAAAAAGAAAAAAAAAAGTGTTACTTTTTTTGAATAAAAAGAATACAGAAAATAATGCTGTTATATTTAGTAGCCTAGTAAATTGTTTGTTTTGTTGTGTGGCTATTTTTAAGGGGCAGCTCTTGAGCAGTTACAATCTATTTCTGCTCGCATTTTGGTCCTTCTTTGGCAAACCAAATTCTGAGGCCCCACCTCAGTTACTTCCTGAATCATCATCTAATTTCCTCTGTGATATTTCTCTGAAAAAGGTGGATTTTTGGCTCCTCATACGCAACAGTCAGAAGAAAATAGAGCCCATACAACACTGTGAAGATTTCTGAACAGTGTGAGCAGAGGTTGTGCCTACTTCTTAGACAAGTGTGCAGTTGTGACTTTCTTTTGCTCCGTGGGTTCTTGTGGAAAGGTTGGATAGTGCCAGAGCAAACGCCAGTGCCGCACTGCAGAGTGCCAACCCTTGGAAAGGGGCTTTCTGAGGCAGGTGCACACTGGGTGGGAGAAAGAGTTCTGCTTTCCCAGAGGACTCAGTAAGGATCTCTGGAAACACTTCTCAACAAAGTACATCGGTGGAACACATTTCTGGGGCTCTGGTGCAGTTGTTGAACCAAATTACTAAACACTCATGAGGTTCTAAATGCAGTGCCTGGATTCTTTTGGTCACCTATGCCTGAGACTGTGCAGAATATGCCTTTAAAGTGAGAATTCAAAGCATTTGTTGTGTTTATCCACAAGGTTTTAACTGCATGTTAATAAAAGAAAGTACTGGAATGCTAGTAGCTAGAGTGCTTTTATGTGAATGCTTTAACTGTTGGCGAATTGCCTTTGCACTGTTTCTTGTAAATTTATTTAATGTTTGTGTATTTATATTTTCAACTGTAAAAAAAAACCAATAAATTTACAGCAAGTAAACACAAAATACATAAATTTTGTCTTTTAGCTAAATGTGTCCTTTTACTGGATTGTGTTACAGTTCTTGAAATGATGTGAGCCGGAGTATGTCACCTCATGAAGAAAGTGCTGGCATGGCCCTTGCTTTTTTGTGTCCATATCATTTTTCACCTTTCATAGCTCAAGCAGATCTGTCTTTTGCAGAGATATGAGTCTGATATAAGCGGTCGGATATAAGTCTGCCCAGTCAGTGCTTGTTCCTCCAGTCTGCTGAAACTCTTCCATAAGAATGCCATGAGTAAAAGAATCATAGAATCATTAAGGTGGGAAAAGACCTCTAAGATCAGGTCCAACCATCAACCTGTCCCCATTATACCCATTGACCACGTCCCTCAGTGCCACATCGACACAGTTCTTGAACACCTCCAGGGATGGTGACTCTACCACCTCCCTGGGCAGCCTGTGCCACTGCCTCACCACTCCAAGAAGAAATCTGTATTAATATCCAACCTGAACTGCCCCTGGCACAATTTGAGTCCATTCCCTCTTGTCCTGTTGCTGTTACCTGGGAGAAGAGGCCAACCGCCACCTCACCACAACCTCCTTTCAGGCATTTGTAGAGAGTGATAAGGTCTCCCCTGAGCCTCCTCCGGGGCATGGCTGAATTCGGCTTCAGCAATTCTGTACTAAAAAGTATATTCTACAGTTACAGCTTGGACTCTTCGTTTGTTTCTATTTTTGCATCTCAACTTATACTAGGATTATTTTAATCATTCTTATTTGATTTATTCCTAGGCATGGGAATTTCACCTTACTTGGCCATACACATACTGTAGTAAAGTTTCACACTCCCGGCAGCCTGTTGGTGCAGCCCAGTGAATACCATCAATAAAGGCGTTGAAAAACCATTTGCACACCAGGGGGCGTGGGGACCGAGCAGCTGCCTAAGCAAATTTGGGTTAGCTTAACCGCCTTCTTAGGTCACAAATACAAACACACACACACAAAAAAAAGTCATTAAATAAGTAGTCATACTGTGCTTTATACAACTCTGTGGTTGTTCCGCTTCCAGTTCCTGGTACTTCATAGAAAGCTTTGCAACTCCAAGCTGTGTTATGCTCTACAGAATACATATCCCTTCGGTACTCGGACTTTTGTGCCCTGCCAGCAGCGTAGCCATAGCAACCCTTTATCTGGGAGAAAAGTGGCACTGCTCCCTGCCCCGCCCCGCCCAGCCGCCGCCGTGCAGCCGAGACCGCTCGGTTCCGCCGGGTATCGGCGTAGGGCCGCGGGCGCTTAGGGGAAGCGGCGTAGGGCCCCGCCCGGCCGCCGGCAGGGGGAAGGGCCGCGGGCTGGGAGGGCTGGCGCGCCGCCCGCCGCGCACGCAGAGAAACGGCCGCCGCCATCTCCCGCTGCCGGCGCGCCCATGGCGGCCGGGCGGTGAGACGAGGCGATGAGGAGCCGCAGTAATTCGGGAGTGCGCCTGGACGGCTACGCCCGCCTGGTACAGCGGACCATCCTCTGCCACCAGGTGAGGGCAGCGTCGCCGGTGTAGCGGCTGGGGTTCGGCGCCTGGGTCGGGGCGAGCGGGTGGAGGCGGCTGTCCGCCCTTCCCGGGTTGCGGCAGCACTAACGGCAGCCGGGCTGCCCGCGTTCTGAGCGCTGAGTGCAGGTGTCGGCGCTGCTGGGGAGAAGCTGTCACCGGCTCCCCGTGCCTTGGCTCGTGCAGCCTGCGCAGCGCCGTGCGTTCTGCTCGGTGCTCCTGCTTCAGGTGTGTGTGCTGAGGGTGGGGGGCATGCACGGTGTTGTGTTTCTTTTAAAGTGGTTCCCTGCGCAGAGAGAAGGGCAGTGGGGCTTCTTGTGTGAATCTAGTCCCAAATGCACTTCACTGCAGTGACTTAGAAGAAATTGCAAAGCAATCATAAGTGAAACGTCTTTAGATGTAAGGAAAAAATGTTTAGCAGAGAGGGGGTGAGGCATCTCTGGTTGCCCATAGATGTGGTTGATGCCCTGTCCCTGGAGACTTTCAAGGCGAGGCTGGATCAGGCCCTGGGCAGCCTGATGTAGATGGCCTTTAAAGGTTCCTTCCAACTCTAAGGATTCTATGATTCTGTGACTCTTAACTAAAGAGGTGAGCACCCAGAGCCCAACAGGTCAATAAGATTTATACCATCAACTCAGTAAGATTTATGCTATCAGCTGTTTCTGTGGGCACAAGCTCCAGACACCTGAGAACTGTTATCATTAGGTGAACTACTGAAAACCTACCAGCAACAAAAAGCAAGGATCTGGTGTGAGCAGTATGAGACAGCACTGCTGGGCTCTCACCATGGTGGGCGGTGGGAGCTGCCCTGTACTGCTCTCCTGGCCCTGCGGGATGACCTTGGGCTCCTTCAGCAGCTGCTGGGGAGCTGGGCCTGAACTGAGCCACTCACGTCCTGTGAGCAGCCAGACAGAAGAGCAGCAGGCGGCAGAGGTGCCGCCGAGACAGGGCTGTACAGCTCTGGTGTGCGGAGGTGACCTTGTGCCCGGCATCCAGCATCATGCAGATTAAGCTGCTGTGCTCTGACAGAGCTCATGTTCTCTGAGACGTGGCTTGGAGAACGTGAAGTGTGTTTGGGAACATTGCGTTTTGATAAAGGTGTGTCTGACAGGGCAGGGGTCAGGTGTCCCTGCCACAGCAATTGATCTGGCATTCGTAACAGTTGCTCTGTTTGAACACACAGCTGAGAAACAAGCGTAAAAGTTAATGGCAACGAGACAATGGGAATTAATGATTAAGTGAAAAATGTTGTGAAGTGTTTGAGACACAAGAGACTATGCAATATTCTGGTTCTCAAACGGTGTTGCTACTGAACGCTACCAGAATTTGCTGTTCTCTGCATTGGAACATAAAAAGGCTTTGCATGCATTCATGCTTTAGCTTCCATAAACCAAGTGAGACAGAAACACTTTGCCCACTTCCTAGAAGAGAAGCAATTCTTTTTTACTTCTTCAAGACCATACCACAGCATGGTCACACAGACAAGGGCAGATCCCAGCTCAGTTTCAAATGTTAATTCGTTACCCTGTTTTCCTTCCAAATACACACAATTTAGATTTGTATTTCTTCATTGTGCTTCGGCTGTCTCCGAGTGGCGTAGCTCATCAACCTGGGTGGGTGAGGGTGCCCTGATGGATTCTATAAGCTTTGTGTCCTGAAGTGCTCAAATAACTAAATTTTGCACTTCGCATGTGTGAGTTCAGGAAAGGACTGGGCATCTCTGTTGCAAAACTGTGAGAAGCTGTATTCTGCAGCCAGTATGAAAACCCCAAATCCTTTCTTTCTCCCTCCTCCAACATCTTTTGATATGGAAAGAAGTGGTTTATCGTAATAGATGGGACTTCAGGTAATAATGTTTGTTCTTTACCTTTTCTACCATGTTCAGAACCCAGTTACAGGGCTGCTTTCAGCTGGTACGGACCATAAGGATGCGTGGGTACGGGACAATGTCTATAGCATCCTGGCAGTGTGGGGGCTTGGCATGGCCTACAGAAAGAACGCAGACCGGGATGAGGACAAGGCCAAAGCCTATGAGCTTGAGCAGGTATGCTAAAGTTCAGTGCAAAGCAACTATGCTATGTTTTGCCTTTTTTTCATATGGTCATGGTTTTGGTGTGCTTGCATTGGTGTTATGTCGAGGATGTGGCACTGTTTTCCCAGCGTGGAATACATGTTTTGTTCTTGTGACAGCAGTGTTTATGTAACACAGAATGGTCTGTGTTCCTAGCAGCCCCCCAGGAGATTTGGACAGCTGAGCAACAGAGAGGCTAACATCTCCATATATATACTGAAAGTAAACTGGTAGGAGTAAAACTGCCATTGTTTAGCACATTATTGTAAACTGCGCTTCTAAGAGATTTTATGGCCTCGTTTAGAAGCCTCCCTTATTAAACTGTGAGATCCTTCATGAGGTGTGCTGTGGCAGAAATTCAGACCTAGGTTGCTTGTGTCGTAGGATGGCAATTTATCATTTTTCCCCTTAAGGAGAAACATGCCCTTTAAAGCAGCTGTCTTTGAAATGTGAACATGTGTAGTCTCACGGAAATCATATGTGGTGTATAGACATGTTTGGTCAGAACCAAAAAAGGCAAAGCATGATTGTATTTTTAAGCCTTAATAATTTTCCGGAATTTAAGACGAAATCTAGTCTTAATGCTTATTCTGTGCTTCTCCTAATACACACTGAGGTCTCTTTACATTAGTCATCTGCTTGCTGTATAAAGAGATGAAGAGACTCCACAGGTTTTCCGGCTGTGTCTGTGTCTTGTAGTTACTTACCAGTGTTGCCTGGATCTGTCAGTCTAACAATCATTATTCTTACAGTGGGTAACATTCCTCTTACTTCCTTAGCCAGATAGAAAGAACACAGGTTACTCTGCATGCTGGAGAGGGCCTCTGGGAAAAGATCAGTTCTCCCAAATAGAAGCATGAGAACAAAAATCTTTTTTTTTTTTTTTTTTAAAGGGCATTTAAAACATTTTAGATTAATACATTTTTTTTTGCCTTTGGGAGGACATTAACATGGGATGTGAACCTGTGACTTTTGCATGTTGTTTTTAACAGCTGATAGGGCTGGTAGTACAGGAGTGTCACTGGTCTGCTTTATTCCTGCAGAACGTTGTGAAGCTGATGCGAGGTCTCTTACAGTGCATGATGAGACAGGTATGTATGCATGGTACAGCTCAGCACATACACTGCTGTTAGCCTAAGCTGAACTCTGATCATGCTTGTACCTTTTTAAAATCAGGTTTGCAGCAAATCACAGTGTTGCCTTTGCAAACTGATTTGCTCAAAGGTGCATAGCTGTTACTAAGATCTGAACTCAGCAAGGTAATTTAAGCTTACTCTTTCCCAGAGAGATGTGGATTTAGGCAGAGTCTAAAGTTCATGCACTATGATCAATCAAAACACGCTGATCTGAGGTAACAAAATTTAGGACCTCAAGTTTCTCCCTATCTAAGACAATGTGTTGTGAAATTGTTTGGAGAGTTTCTTCTGAAGTGTTTCACATTTGAAATCTGTGGTGCTTTTTCAGGTAGATAAGGTGGAGAAGTTCAAACGCACACAGAGTACCAAGGACTGCCTGCACGCCAAGTACAACTCTGCTACTTGTGCCACAGTGGTTGGAGATGATCAGTGGGGACATCTGCAAGTCGATGCCACTTCTCTTTACTTGCTCTTCTTGGCACAGATGACTGCATCAGGTAAGCAGAAGATATTTTAGCCTTGACTATCTTGTTGTTACAGTCTTCATGTTTTACAACTTTCAGTTGAAAAGGAGGAAAAAAACCGTCACTAGTGGAAAGAGATGTTTGTTAGTTAGGATTTCACGCTTACAGTAACTGCCTAGGAAGTCCATTCTCTTAGAGTTTGTTGGTGTACAAATTCTATTCAGAGCTATTCAAAACTATGTCAAAGAAGAGAGTGTGTCTGATGGACCAGCGGGTTTATTCAGAGTGACTACACCAAGCTGGATGCCTGTCTGTGTTCCTCTTCTTGTGGGCATTTGCTTGGCTTTCTGCTCATAGCAACCATGCTCTTCCTCTGTGAGGATAAGTCTCTTCTCCTGGCAGAGCGTGAAGCAGATGGTGCAGCTGCTGTGGGAGCTGCGCCACCTGGTTCTCAGGAGCTGGATGTGGTTCAGCTCTCCCTGTTCCGTAGCCATGGTGTGTGAATGCCATGTTTCCACTGAGGGCGTATTTTTGAAACAGATGATGTGTATTGGTGGCATTTGAAGTAGTTCATGGGCAGCAAATGTTGAGGCTTGTTCCCACTCCCTTTGAAATCAACTTGAGTCTTTCACTGATTTCTGTGAATAGTAGTTGGTAGTTGGTAACAAATATACAAAAGCTTGACATTTTTTGAAGAGGAAATAGTTCTAATACAGCGTATTTTCTTTCTTCTCTTGTTTTTAGGGTTACGTATCATTTTCACCCTTGATGAAGTTACCTTTATTCAGAATCTTGTTTTTTACATAGAAGCTGCCTACAAAGTTGCTGTAAGTAGTTATTTATGTGTAAGACATCTGAACCCAGCTTAGATGTGGGTTGAAAATTATTTCTTGATGGTGACTGAAAGTACAATCCTGTTTTTCCATCAGAGGATGTCAGAATTTGTCATTACATTGTGAGCAACATTTCTGGAGGTGGTGGGACAGCTGTGGGGGAATTTGCTGTTTTCTGGATGAAGTATAGTTGTTCTATCATCACAGTAGTAATTAATAACAATTCCTGACGTCTCATGAGCCTTTCTGAAAAGAAAGTGTTATCAAACTCTTTTTTGGAAAGTGATGAGTTGCAGAGGCACAGGGAGAAGCATGCAGTTTGGAGGTCTTTGTGTGTTTTATGGAGAAAGTGATTTATGACTGCAGATGTGATCCTGCTGGGATGTATTTTTATGTTCTGCTTTTTAAATGTGCAGAGGACCTCTTTGGAAGTCACCTGTTACTTTATTTTTAAGGCTGATAAACAAGTTTCCTATGAGGTTCTGGTTTTCTGGTAGCCTGTGCGTTTGGAGGTGAGGTAGGGAAATACTGGTTGTATATGTAACCATACCAGTTTTTTTCTTAATGTTGTTATTCTTGCAGGATTATGGAATTTGGGAACGTGGTGATAAGACAAACCAAGGCATCCCAGAACTGAACGCAAGCTCCGTAGGGATGGCCAAAGTGAGCATGTCTTTCTGACTCCTCTTTTGTGGCTGTTCCCTCACTCTGAATAGCTCTAGTGAACCCAGCGGCTTCCTTTGCATAGCCTTCTTGGCAACAGTTAACTAATTGTATTAAGAATTTTTGAGTATTCAACATAAAATCCTTGTGATAATGGTTTACTTTGAAGGACCTTAGTGCAGTTGTTCTGGGACTGCAAAATGTGCAGCAGAATCATTGAGGCACGAATGTGGTAGATACAGTGAACAGGATTTTAAAAGGAAAGCTCCTTGCTCTTTTCCAGATCCATACCCTATGTGGCACAGCAAACCCCACATCAGCAAAGCCAGGACACTTCCAGGTTGACGTAGGGGTGCACGGAGATGAATGGGTGGGTTGTTAATATCTTCCTAAGGCATATACATACGCGTTATAGCTGTGATATAGGAGATGTACTGATTCACCTGTTAAGACAGGCATGATGTGTCTCTACAACCTAATGGCTGGTTGGCCATTAGGCATGCAGAGAGCAGACATCTCATCTCTCTTTCCCTAGGGAAGCGATAATATCAGAAAGAGAGGTAGACGGCAACATGCTCTTCCCTGACTAGCAGAGGCTGGTTCCCAGAGCATGTTGAGCAAGCCTTCCTCTTTGAATAGCCCTGCAACTAGGAGCCACAAATTGCCACTGAAGTGGAGGGGGGTTATATTGGAACGTGGAACAGGAGAAGCATTTATGGATAAATATTATTTAGGTATTATTCAGCAGAAGCACTGTTTCCTGTTGCTTTGTGTTAGGTTTTAATTGTAAGAACGGTCATCAGCACATCAGTCCTGGATCCTACAAATGGAAATGCAAAAATATTGTTTACTTTTTCAGAAGTATTGACATGCTTCCCATTGAGGTTGGAAACAATATCTGTGGAGCAAACTTCTGTCTTGCCTAATAACCTTCAGAGGAAATGTCAGATGGCTGGGTTGTACTTGGCTTAAAAGATATCTAATGGTATTTTTGTGTGTGGGTGTTGTTTGTTTTGAAGGCTGCTTTGGAAGCAATTGACGAATTAGATCTTTTTGGAGCTCATGGAGGGCATAAATCAGTGATTCATGTTCTTCCCGATGAAGTAGAACATTGTCAGGTAAAAGCAGTCTTCTGTTTCTAGTGCTTGAAGAAAATCCATCTCCTTTTCCATTCCGTTCTTAATTGAAATGCTGGTTAACTGAATGGTAAACTTAATAAGGGTGACTTCAGACTGTGCTGTTCATCCTGTTTATAGTAAATCACATGGAGCTGGTTTGAAACATTCCTATGTTAACTCAGTTAAAACAGTTATGCAGTGAATTCTCTCCTTTTGCAAATTGTGCATTCTGTTTTGCACGTTACATAGCCTTTTGAACAAAGTAAATTATTTCATATCCCTCTCTTCTGTGTTTTGCTCAGTCTATACTATACTCCATGTTGCCAAGGGCATCCACGTCAAAGGAAATAGATGCTGGCCTTCTCTCCATAATTTCATACCCAGCTTTTGCAGTGGAGGATATAAACCTTGTTAATATAACCAAGAGTGAAATCATATCCAAATTGCAGGTAAGGATTTCCTTTATTTTATTTTGTTTTATTTTTCAGAAGGAAGGAGAAGCAGAACCTTTTTTCTTAATTGAAAATCCTAATTAATCGAGGATTGACAGACTTGGTGGGTCCGTGCATGGAACAGAGGGAGGAAAATCCCAAAGTAGCACTGGAAACTCACAACTTAGATGTTGGTAGCAGTCTGTCAGGAAAAACAGTATGTTAAGATTTCTGTAATTTTGTCTGTTTTTATAGGGCCGCTATGGCTGCTGTCGCTTTCTCCGAGATGGCTACAAGACACCCAGAGAGGTACTTCTGATGTATATTTTCAGTAGATCTTAGGAAGAATGCTATCTCTTTTGGGCATTATTTTGGCTTGTTTGCATCAAGGGCAAAATTCAGTATCACTATTAAGATATTTGGTAGTAAACCAAGTAAATCTTGGGAATGACTCATGTCTGAAGGTGGCTAGTGGTTTAAAGACCATCAGTTATTAATGAGATAAATTAATTCATGATTCTGCAAGGTATTAACCCTTAGACGTGCTTACGGCACCTAAGGAAAAGAATTGCCTTTGAGATGCTCCAGGGTATTATGAAGTAGGGCAGAAGCATGATTATTTGGGTGACACCTAGATTCTGAGTCTGAGAAGGGCTGGTTTGTCTGGAGACCAATTAAACAAGTTTGGGAATGAATGCGAAAAAAGAAATCAAGAGGCTATGTGGAAACTTTCTGCTGTATTTTTATTGCTTGCTTGGTTTTAATTATTTGTATAAAATAGGCTTTCATTGCAAATGGAGTTTGAGTGACTAATTTAGCACTGTGACTAAAAGAACATGATTGAATTTCCAGGATCCAAGCAGATTGCACTATGATCCTGCTGAGCTCAAGCTGTTTGAGAATATTGAATGTGAGTGGCCGGTGTTCTGGACATACTTCTTAATTGATGGAGTATTTAATGAGGACAAAATTCAGGTGAGGAGAGAAGAAACTGCTTAGAAATGAAGTGCAAAGCACCCCATTATAGCTTTTCTCTGTTTAATTTAGTTATCAGTTACCACCTTTAAAAGTCCGCATGACCCTTTTTTTTTATTGGCAGAACCCTTTGCTATTTGCATACATTTAAATTGTGTATTTGTGTGGATGAATTACGTTTGACAGATAACAGCAGCTGGGTGAGAATGTGGATGGAGCATTTGTTTCCACATGCAAGTCAGGCTGGAGTGTAACAGGTATTATTATTTGAATGTCTTGCAATGTTGATGCTCTTTTGGCATCAGACAGTACTGGAAATCACTGAGTTCCTGTGAAACTCAGTGGAGTTTCACGCAACAGGTTGGAAGCAGTCTCCAACCACTCCGGCCTTACTGGGAGGTTCATGTCATGAGAAAAGCTGCAGTGTTGTCCACGCTGGTACAGGGAAGGGTTCCCTTTCTCTGTCAGATTGAGTGGCTCTGTTGGCTGGAGGGTTTGAGCTGATCTGGACATGGTGTATTTGTCTGGTTCTGTTTGATCACCAACCATGTCTCACCAAATTATTGTGAGATGAGTCTAGCTTCTGTCTTCCCTGATCTCTGTGGCTTGGCTGCTGAGAACAACGTTAATAGTTCTTTCAGTCTTTTGGTACATTTAGGGAGGTTTGGGATGGGTTAGACCCTTATCAGGAGCCATTTCATTTTAACTGATTTCGTAGGTTAATTGATGATTCCTTTATGTAATTCATGCCTTTGCTGTGTCGAGCATTGAATGGTCAGGGGAACTAGATTGACTGTAACCTTTCAAAGGTTGTAGTGGTTCCTGGAGAACAGTGGTAAATTAAAAGAGCAGCAAGTAATGAGGACTAAATGTATTCAAATCAAGAGCTCTACAGCTTGAAGGAAGTAACAAATACATGTGATTTGAAGTTGCCCAGTATGCAGAGGGACTATGATTACTAAATAAAACCTCTTAAAAATAAAATGCCATCAGAAACAAAACAAGGAATTTCAAACCAAAAATACCTTTCTATAACAGATGAAAATACAGTGAAGTATTTATTAATGTAAAAAATATGGGTTGCTTTGCTGAACACAGTAGAAATAGTCTGGTGGAGAGAAAAGTAACGTTTCATAAGGAGAAAAATCAGAGTTTACTGAAACTTCAGTCACATTGATAAAACTATTTTTTCAAAAGCAGTCTCCAGAATTTAGTTGGGTGGTCTGGGACATCATGTACCTGATTCCTTTTACGGTGTACATATGGTCCGTGGTAGGATGTGCTCAGAAGGGGCAATTGGCCCCAGTTCCCACACTTTACACATAGTTGCTCGTGACACTCTGGAGGTGGTGTCTAGTTTTCCACAGTTACTGCTTCATAAGCCTAATTGCAGTAGCAGCAACGATTTGGAAAACAAGCACCCTGATCACTCAACAAGAGTGGATAAGGATAGGATACTGACAATACTAGTGTACCATGACATGAATGTGTGGGTACTTTAGCTCGTGCATTAGGCTAGAGATTACTCCTTGAAAGGTATAGGCAGGAATAGAATTTCAGAGCCAAGTGCTAGTAGTGCTAGGAAACAGCTTCCCTGTGAGTTAAAACTTAGAATGGGAGTGTGAAGAAATGGGCGAAATAAGAAATCTGATTTAAAGAAAAAGAAATGGAAATTGTTGAATTTTAGACCATTTGCATGTCCTAGTGATTACTGTGGCTAACTCTACAATGGTTGTCTTACTCTGCTTGCTCTTCTCAGAGTCCTACCAGGACAGAATTGCTCAGGCGTAGGAGTTGTCTGCCCAGAGAGGTGGTGGAGTCACTGTCGTTGGAGGTGTTCAAAAACTGTGTACATGTGGCACTGAGAGACACAGTGGGTGTGGGGGGGATGGGTTGGTGGTTGGACTGGTGATCTTGGTCTTTTACCACCTTAATCATTCTACAGTTCTAGAATAATATGTTGTCTAGCGATATGAGAACAAGAGGATTTTATGTTCGTTTAACTTAGGTATTTTATTTGCTTTACATCTATTTAAAGCTTTCCTTAGGGCAAATTTTTAAGAGAAACTGAATTCCCAGTTCTGCAAAGTTGGATTCAGAATATCGTACACAAATGTGCTTGGTAGAAAGCTAACAGTTCTTAAATCATACACTTCTAATGAATATTGCTAGTGCTGACGTCTTCCGTGTCCCTTCATTTTCATGATCAAATTTTATGCAGGATTTCTAGTGACTTCTTGATTGCAATATTTTTTCATGCTTTGGTTTGTTTCTGATTAAAGATGTGTGCTTATGCTTTGGAGAATGATAATACTGAGATCTTGCAACAGTGTTTGACAATTTGAAGCCTCTTCTTCCATCAGCAAGCTGTGATCCACTTTCCCCCCTCCCCCTTATTGTTTACTTTTTATGAATTTTCAAAAGAGAAGTAGTAAAATTATAACTTTATTGTTTCTGTTTTGCTGAGTGTATTGTCAATTTTCTTTTATAAATATCTCCAGGTAGAAGAGTACAGAGAGGCTTTGGAAGGAATACTCATCAGAGAAAGGAATGGAATAGTTCTAATGCCTGAACTATATGCAGTCCCTTCAGAAAAGGTATTGTGAAAATGCAGCATCCCCTTCAGTATGTGAAGTATAGATATGAAGATCTTATAGCTCATAAATCTAAGTCAGTAATACAAAAAAAAAAAAAAAGCAATTCACAGCACATTATTAATTGCTGGTAAACCTCTCACGGTTCCCACTGAGAAATGGGTAACTTTAGGCTTCTAAATGATCAAATCCTGGAGATAGAAATCCAAGAGTCTATGGAAGTTCTGGAGCAGGTTTAAAATTACTAAGACTTTATAATAAGGTATATTTAAGAAGTTTTGCTGAAATTTAGAAATTGAATTTCAGAGAAGAAGTAAAGCATAGGCTGTTCTGCCTGTTTATTCTACCAGTGGTTTGTGCTCGCTCTTTTTCAGAGCTTGTATTTAAGATGGAACAGGTTTCAAATGAATGGGAATTTATGTTAGATCTTAAGTATGTTTTTTTTTCTGTTGTTTTTTGTTTGTTTTGTTTGTTTTTCCCATTTTTTCTGTCACTGTTTAACCCGTTTCTCTCATCATGACAGAGAAATTCAGATAACATTATATCTCCTTCCATGCTACCTGCTTTTATATCTCTCCCTGCTGACTTCTCCCACTCCAGATTTCTCAGCAACCAATGGGGGTGTGGAGCCTTCTGGACTGATCTGAGTTTAGGGAGGGAGTATCAAAAGCTGATGTCTTTCTCACAGGTCTGAGACTGAAGCTCTGAGTTACCTTTCTGTTGGGAGCAAGTGTGTAATGGTACAGAGCCTTTTTGTTAATTCTGATATATTTATGATCGGAAGAATATGCCAAATAAATAGTGTAATTTTTGCCTTCTGTTTGTAAATTCTAAAATGGCTGTGATAAAGATGTTATCTAGAAGGTTGTATGCTCCTCCCTCAATAGATCTGTATACTGCAAGATCAAGTCAGGGGTTTTGGTTTTCTGTTTGGCAAAATTGAGAGATTCTAATCCTTATTTATCCACAGACCATTATTACTAAAATAAGAACAGTAGAATAGGCTTTGTTTTTGGAAAGCACTTCCATGAGCGTCTTCAGAAAGCTAGGTAGGCAGCAGTGAAGTTCAAGAACCATCTTGCAAGGAGCTGGAAAGCTGACACAATTCCCTACAAGCTTCCCAAAGGGAAGGCAGCAAAGGAATGACGAGAAGAAAGGGGAGCTCCTGACACCAAAGCTATACTCGTGTGCAGAATCCTCATTCAACCTCCAGCTTCAATAGTTTGGTGTATGAAAAGGAAGCATGGTTCTTGTCCCAGGTAGCGTGCAGCCTCAGAAGTGAAATCAGTAGAAAGGGAGGTCAATAATAGCGGGTTAGAAATGGTAGATGATAGACTGTATTTTTACAAATACTTCTGTGTTATTGGTTGTTCTTCAGAACTTTGAGATAAGTTTCTTGTTTTTTGTGTTTTTGTTGTCAGGTTGATGAGGAGTATGAAAATCCTCACTCAGTGGATCGTATCCCAGTGGGAAAGCTGCCTCATCTTTGGGGTCAGTCATTGTACATCCTTAGCTGCTTATTAGCAGAGGTAATTATTTCTTGTATAGCAGATGAGTTTGTGTTTCATTTTGTTTTGAGTAGGCTTAGCCTTTAAGCACAATTTGATTGTCAGGTAGGGGTCAGTGTGTTTTCCAATGAAAACTGTGGAGGGGTGACTCTGAGCTTTCAGGAGCTTATTTGTGTTATTATGGATAACATACCATCTGTATATTATGCTAAATTGTGTGTTTCTCATCAAGGTCAGTAAGTTGCCAGATATGCTCAAGAAATACAAAGTCCATACTGACTTGACAGTTCCAGAGCTAGGATTCTGCAATTTCAGCTGCACTTGATTGCACATTTTTCTGCAGCATAAGATGCCTACAGAATTGTCCAGTGTGAGCTATGGACTTGGAAGTGAATAACTGAGTATCCCTGAGGAACTGCAGAAAAATCACTGGCATGGTAGCATTGCATTACTTGCTACAACTCTACAATAGAAAATATGGATATGCAGATTGCGTCAGTCATAATCATTTTCTTGTTGTTCCAAAAAATATTACAGCCACTACAACATAGTTTTCATTGAATGTACTTAGTGGATGGGATGGGGAAACCAGACTTTAATCTGGCTTTCCTGATAAAATGTGAAAAGCAGTTAAGAAATCTTCTAGAAATCTTCATCAAAAGCCTTTTACTTCATTTTTGTTTGTTTCCTTTCTCTCTGTCTCTAGGGATTTCTGGCTGCAGGTGAAATTGATCCCTTAAACAGAAGATTTTCCACTGGATTTAAACCTGATGTGGTGGTACAAGGTTAGGGAGTTTTAACATTCTGAATAAACTGGATTATGTGAAGGTGAAGTTCCTATTCAAGAGAATTAAGAAGGACGTGTTTTGAAATGATACTGATCTTTGCATGGCACATGGATGCTTTGTTGATACTGTGAGAAAGTGGTTGTTTGTCAAGCTGCTTTTCTTCTAGGAGGAAAGATCAGCTTTAACAAATCTTTTAAAAAAACAGTCATGATTTTAAGACTGGTCAGAGACTGGAAAGGACTTACTGAAAAGGAAGGTTGTGATGGGTAATAGCAGAAAGAGGAGGGCTGACAGGAAACCATTCAGTTCAGTTAGGATTTTGTGCAGCCCCTTTTCAGGGGACCCAAGAAAGCAAGGGGTGGGGCAGATCTCTGTGTTCACAGAGGTGAGGAGTGAGCTAAAGAGCAGAGGGCAGCCAGACTTACACCTGGTTTTTGTCTGCGTCAGGGTGCATCTGCTGCTTTCATCAATGCAGGAGCAGCCACAACTGCATACTTGAGGGCAAACACCAACTAATTGGGCATAAAAGCTTTCCTAGCGCCTGTGTCATCCTGGAAAAGTAATCAGCTCGTTTAGCAGGAGGAGCCTTCAGTGGTATTGCAAGCTGAGCAAAAGCTTGTTTATCTTTTGTTGTTGTCATAGTGGTGACATTTTGCTACTCTAAAATGCGTAATTTCCCTTAGATGCATAAATGCATGCTTATTTTTAGCATTCTTTGACTGCTATTTATAATGCAGAGAGTATGAATTGTCAGTCCCAAACCAATAAGCCAGCTCACAAGGGCAAAAACAAGTGTAAAATCAGGCCTTGGATTGTAAATTCCTCCAATCTGGCAATCTGGGGACTTTTTTTTTCCTACCTCTTTCATTGTACGGCCTTTGGAACATTTATTGTCATAATCCTAACATACTTGTTCACCATTGACCTAGCTGTAACCATTGATGTGCTGTATTAAAACAAAGATTTTCAAGTAGGATTTCCCCTTGCAAGCCCCATCTCCTGAAAGTGACTGCACAATCCAAACTGTGTGAAATTGAAGAGAAATGATATCTAACCTCCGAACTAGCACTGCTTTGAGCAGGAGGTTGGATTAGAGACCCTGTGAGATCCCTTCCAACTTGAGCTACCATACAATCCGGAATGGAACAGAATGACAATATGTATGGGGAAGTAGAGAGCCAAAAGCTCTCTGAGGTCCTGTTAGATCTCATGAAGACATAAATTAAGAAAGAAGTAAAACCCTTGTGCATTTTTAGACAACTACACGATAGCTGGGAGGTGACAGTAAAGGCAGGCAATTACAAAGAATAACCTTGGCTCTTACAAGTGTTTCTGATTTCTGTTATGCAGTAACTGTTCTGGCAGAAACTAATCAAATTAAGAATCTTTTGCAAGACCATGGAATCAACGTTCAGAGCATTGCTGATATCCATCCACTCAGAGTGCAGCCAGCTCGCATCCTAAGTAATCTCTACACCATGCTAGGTAGGTATTTAAATATCTATTGCCATACTGGGTATTTTTATATTTCTTGCACCCTGCCACAATTTCTTTGATTTAAAAACAAACAAACCAAGACGAAATAAAACCCCGCATTTGTGTGAAGAAGGTTAACAAAATTAGAACAACTGTCTCAAAAACTGAGATCTTATTCTTCCAAAAAGAAAAATCATTAGGCTATCAGGTTCTTGCTGTTGTTTCTTCCAACCCTGAACCAAATGGAGCTCACAGAAGCTCTCTGTCTGCAAATCCAGAAACCTTTAAGGCTTTTATAGCCCCAGGACTATATATAAAGTTCCAGTTTCTCAGCAGTGACCCTAGACGCCTGTGGTCCCTCTGAGCCTGCCAATTTGATTAACTTAATGCACAAAACCTCAAACTTCTTTTAGTTAAGTTGAAAATCTGATAAACCTTCAGCCACCACTGGCTCTTCTGGTAATACTTGTTGGAATGAAAGGGGTTTTGGTGAAAATTTGTTGCCTGTATTCCTAATTGAACTTACTTTTACAACTTCAAGCAGGCCAAAAAGTCATGACTCAAATCTGTTGCTGTTACTGGAAAGTAAAACTGGGATGGAGTGGATCAGCATTGGTAGATTCCTTTGCAGTATGGACAAGGAAAGCTGGCTGTATCATGCTTCTCTGTCAGTCTTGAGCATGTTTCTGTGGTCATGTAGTTTATGGATAACGTGGAAGAAGATAGCTTATGCTTTTATTTGTTTTTCAGTGTTATGTGGTTTTTGTTTTTTTAACAGAAGGTAAGAGGGCCTTCAAGTAAGTGTTAGACATTGAGCCTTATATGTGAAGAAGGGAGCTTGCATATATGGTTTGGGGAAAGTAATTTGTTTTCTTATTACAAGGAATTTCTAACAAGTTTAACATTTACAGGGCTTTGCTGATGTTTGCAGTTATTCTGTAGAAGTTTGAAATAGCTTTCTTTCACTAGTGGGGGTGAGTAGGATAACTTGACACAGAGATGTACTGTTTTCAACAGTGACTTCTTTGGTAATGTTCACAAGGATTTCTTTTCAGGCATTCAGTTGCTGGGCTTGTGTTCCTTGTCAGATAGATTCAAGTCAGCTCCTGGATGTTGGAGCAAAAGCTGCAATGCAGAACACTAGCTTATAAGCTGCAGTGAGAAGAGTGGGGCTTATTAGCTCCATGAAAGGAATCAAAATTTGTTCTTCAGCCTTTTACAGTTAAGAATTTTAAGGTTTTGTAATGAAAGTACTGCAGTTTGTTACTTGTTGATGGTCTGCTTTTTGAAGACGTAGTTTTTGGTGGTGAAGCTTTGGGTGCTGAGCAATGATTGTGATCAGAATACTTAATTTCATGGTCAGTGAAGCCAAACTTTTAATCAGGCTTTTGAAGTACCCTGACTACTGTATTGATGGTTGCTACAAAACATACCACTCTGTAGCATCTCACTCTTATCTGTCTATTGCCTTGCTGCAACAAATGAAATAGGTCTCCATGTCTAAGATGGCTGTTGCAGAAAACCAGAGAGGAAGTGTTAGATGATATTTTTTTCCTCTTGTCAGGTCGGAATGAGAACATGAAATTAAGTGGACGGCCACACCGACACATTGGAGTGCTGGGTACCTCCAAGCTGTATGTGATAAGAAACCAAATATTTGCTTTTACCCCTCAGGTGAGCATCTAAATCTGGCAGGGAAATCCCTGTATATTTAATGGCTAATCATTAGGGAAGTACTTTGCTTTCATGTGCTATCATTCCATTTTAGATAGAGCAGGGCTAATAAAGCAGATGTACTTTGCTTTGTGTTTTTATTTTTTTAAGAGCTTTGGATGATCAGAGTATTAAGACTACTGATAAATCTTTCTTCCATCATACAGCATCTAGCTTCTTTGGCTTTTGGCTTAGATTTGTTACTGATCCCTGCCTGAACCAACATTCTGATGAAATAATTCGGAAATAGGTCACTTAACATTTTCTTTCTACTGATTTCTTAGATGGAAAATGTACATTCACTTAAGTATGCCAAGTACTATAATCCCCACGACACTAAGACATAATCTTTCCCTTGTTGAAAGGGTCACTGATGTTGAGTAAAGGACATTATTTGTTTTCTGCTTAGTGTGCTTTTCATTGTAGCTGGAAGTTTGGATCCTCCCAGAATTAGTGGCTCTTTTCATACATATAATGAAATACTACACACTTCTTGTAGCCTTACTGTAGTAGTTGTTACTGGAAGGCCAGTGGGTCATCTACTCCATCCATGTGCAACTGGAACAGGATAAAGAATGCTCACAGCCTGCTGACCTTATGTTTGATTAATATAGTCTTCAAATTCCAGCAAAAGAGATTCAGTGGGCTCAACTGACATGGCTTCTGCAGTGCTGCATAATGTCCAGATTTAATCATATTTTTTCTGCAAGTAATGTTCCTTCGTGTTCTTCCTCCAGTCAATTGACTGCAGCAGGCTTTGTAAGATATTTTGTATGCAGGAGGATTGCCTGTTGTGTTGTGTTGTTCCACCACACCAGTATCCATTTTTACAAATTAGGGAAAAGTTTCTCAGAGATGTTATTTAAAAACAAAACCAAAATAAAACATATCTTTATCTAGATCTTGTTATAAATATATTCAAAAATGGCATTTATCTTTGAACTGGGGACATGCTTATTCCATATTAGACTAAAACCTCCATAAAGTCTTCTGTTGTACTTTTCAGTCAGACATTACATCCTCCCCCGTTTTCTCTTTTTGATGGAGTGGAGTTTATGTTTAATTTCACTATCCTTAGGTTAGTAATTAACTCATCTTTGTTGAAGTTGAGTAATGTCCACAGATTCTCTGGTTTTGTAATTTGTACTTCATCCAATTCTGTAATGAAAACATGAGTTAGGAACGGGGCAGAGGCTTTTATTTAAATACCCTCTGAGCCTGAGAAAATGGTTAATAACTACCAGTGGAGAGCAGCTTTGGAAGCAGTTCAGCCTTTTTGGATGCTTTTCTTCATCCTACTAGTGTGACAAGCTTTGCAGAAGTCAGGATATGTCTGCCAATTCCTTCTGCGTGCTGTCTTGTTGCTCTTAAAGAGTGAAGTTAGACTGGTTTGCTGAGTTTGGTTTTGATCTGACTATTTGGTCAACTTGCTTTATTATTTGCAATCCTCTTGGTAATGGGCTTGTCTGGTCTACGTTACTGTGGCCTTCCTTTCTAAATACAGACAGTATATTTGCTTCTCTTTGGATGTCTAGACTGGTTCTTTCTGAGTTCTTAAACCTAACTACCAGTGGTTCAGGAATCATTTTGGCTGCTTCCTTAAGTTGTTCTAATTAGTTTCTTTATACTTCACCAGCTTGAATTTACATGATATTTAACATTTTCCTCCCAACCCAGGCTGAACTCCTGTCACTGTTTTAAAAGCAGTGTTACAGATCATAATTTACTACTTTTCATCTCTCATTAAAGAGGGACACTGATTCAGCTTATCTTCGCCCTCTCTTCCTATCCTCTTCCTCTCTTCATTGAAAGATCTACAGGTTCTGTATTTTCCAGTTACTTCTGATGTGTTGACAGGGTGTTTTCTCCTTGTCCATAATGGGTCTTACCAATCGATGTTTATTTTACATTCCAGCCTTTTCCCTCTTCCACCCCTCACTAATGCTTCTGTGCTTTTAACATTCATTGTGGCTGATTTGTCATACTTTTCATTGTTTTTCCAGCTTTTTAAAATTTCCATTTCTGATGATATAGTCATAATAGTCTCTTGTTGTGGTTTTTGGCCTTCCTTTGTAGTGAGAATGCCACCATTTACCACTGTACATAGAATGCATCTTTTTTTTTCCCCTACCATCTGTCAGATGTTCCTTTTCTGCTTGTCTTTCAGAGTGTTTCTAAGAGACATCCACTTGTTAATTCCTGGTCCTTAGCATGCACTTAAGCCTGTTTATTGTTTGTATTGTTGCTGTTGGTTTTTCTTTCCGCATTTAGGCTACTTTAGTCTTTCAGATAATAGACTACTGTAATTCATCACTGAGAAAATTCTCCCTCATGGGAGTTATCATCTACTTTCTGTTTGTACAGCTTGATTTTTTTTTTTTTTTTTTTAATGTAAGCCTGTAACTGTAAGAAAATACACTCCCTGCAGACACATGAATCTCTTTTTTTCCTAGTAACATGCCTGGTTAGGTTAACTCACATAATCTGTGTCTAAAATAGTTCATGTGGCTTTTGTGAATGACTTAACAGAGGACATGGAAAAAATTATAGAGAGTACTGACAACCACTTATATGCTGTATTTCTCTATTCTCTAGTTTACTGACCAGCATCACTTCTATCTGGCTCTAGACAATCAGATGATTGTGGAGATGCTCAAGATAGAACTGGCTTACCTCACGTCTTGTTGGAGGATGACAGGGAGACCAACTCTGACGTTTCCCATCACCCACACGATGCTTGGTAAAGTTGATTTTCTCTATTTCAAGTGCAGTAAATTGTTGTGGAGGAGTAGGATGTGGGTAGGTTTGAGAGGAGACAGATGGTGTGACTGTTTTAACATCTGAGTTTTAACATCAAAAGTGCAATTTAACTTTTTCAAGTGTACTGAACTTTGATGACAGGGAATCCTTCATTTTGTCTTATTCCTCCTTAATATCCCTGCATCTTCTCATCATCTCCATACTGATTCTGTCCAAATAAATTTGGTAGTAGTCCTTTTGGAACTTGTCATGAGTGGAAGGGCTTGGAGTTGATTTGATTTTGTTCCAAGGTTTTTGGAATAAACTAGTATTGATAACATTTGCAGGGTCTGTTTTAAATTTGGTGTTTGAAGAGATTATTTAAGAATGTGTTGGTAAGATTCAAACTCTTCCATTGTTCTTTTTCAGTTGACGATGGTACTGACATTCATCCAGCAGTTCTTGCCACCATACGAAAATTAGAGGATGGTTATTTCGGTGGTGCAAGGTAATGCTGTAACCCTTAAATGGTTCTGTGATTTTTTTATAATTAAATCGTATACAAGTCACAACTACATTTTAACTTGTGATAGTGATAGATCTTGTGCTGGAGCTCTACAGAGAGAGCAGTTTTAGCTTTAATTGTTATGTGGCAATCAGATGATAGCCAGACCTTAGGTGCAATGGGAAGATGGGGAGAGTTAACACCTTTGACTGCCATTAATAGATGGTGAAAATGCAAAGGCAGTTAATGTCTTTTTTTTCTTTTTTATTTTTTTTGCCTCAGTTTTCAGTATTAATTGAAGGCCTTAAGTTGTCCTGCCCTGCAAGTTGGAGGACCATCATTTGGGGAGCAGAGATTTTCCATTTGTTGACATCAAAGTTTTAGGAACTAATTGTATGAGTTGAATGTTTACAAGTCTATAGGGCCTGGTGGGACTCATGTCTCAGTACTGAGGGAATTAGTAGATATTGTAGCAGGACCCCTCTCAATTCTCTATCAAAGTTCATGGGAATCTGGGGAGGTCCCTGGTGACTGGAAACTGACCAAGATTGTGTACATTTGTAAGAAGACAGAAGACCATGGAAATTATAGACCTGTTAGTTTAACTTCAGTACCTGGAAAAATTATGGAGAAGATTAGCCTAGGTGCCAATGAAAAGCAGTTAAAGGATAGCAACAGCCATCAAACCTGCTATCACTGATTGAGGAGGAAAGTCCTGTCTCACTAATTTGGTATCCTTCTATGGTAAGATGAAGTGCTATCCATGCTAGTGGATGAAGGGAAGACAGTGGGTATTGTTTTTATGGATTTTAGCACGATGTCTAATACTGTTCCTCTCAGTATCCTTTAACTATAAGATGAACAGGTTCACATTGTGCTGGGTGATACACTGGCTGAGTGGCAGAGCTCAAAGGGCTGTAGTGAATAAGGCTGCATCTGGATGGTGGCCAGCCTCTAATAGTGTTCCTCAGGGCTCTAGTGTGTGGACAGTCCTGACAACATTTTTACTGGAGATATGGATGCAGGAGTTGCATGTACCCATAGCAGATTTGCTGATAATACATATCTGGGAGATTCTTTTGACTCTCTGGGGGTATCTAAATGCTCTATTCGATGCTCTGATCTATCTAGACTCTCTTTGAGAGGTTTAGATAGATTAGAGCATTGGGTGATCAACAGCAGTTTGAAATTTAATGTGAAGAAAATGATTCTGCTGTTGAGACAGAGTAATGCCAGATAGTTACAGACTGGGAGCTGAGTGTTGGGAGAGCGTTCCTGTGGAGAGGAATCAGAGGGTGTTGTGAGTGTTACCGTAACACAGTTAAGTGCAGTTACTAGATAGAGCAGTACTCAGCAGGATCTGCAACTATTTTTTTTGCATTTATTTTCTCCACATTGGTTATTTACTTCTTTGTAGTTACTAAAGGTAGATTTGACTGCTGGATCTCATAGGTTTTGGAGCTGTTGAAAGCTCGGTGAGCATAGCCAATAGTATCAAAATGGTGTATGTTGGCTCTGGCATACTTATATGCCATACTCCCTCTGGCGTACTTTCCTGTTTGCAGGGTGAAGATAGGCAAGCTGTCAGAATTTCTTACCACATCTTTTCATACGCATCTGAGCTTCCTGGATCCAGACTGTGATATAAAACTATTTGATGACTCTCATGGAGGCTGTTGTAGCCCTGACAGTGAATATGGAGGCTATCCAGCAGATTTCTGTGAAAAAGGTAATAGTTTTTTCACTTTATTTTTTTTTTTTTCTGTCACATTCTGTAGAGTAGACATAGAGTCTATCCAAGCATAGAGTCTGGGGTTACCTACAGCACAAAATCTGATGTATGCACAGTTCATAGTTATTCAGATCTCTCATACATCAGCTCAAGGATGGTATGTGCATGACTTAGTTTGAAGGAGATTTTGTGAATTCATCCTACATCCTCGATGTGGCATTGACCAGTAACTGCTGTGGTAAAGCTGAGTCTGAGAATCAGCAGGTGGGAGGTGTGTAGAAGATGCTAGAGGGAGTAGAGAGTGTGAGGAGTCACAGACAAATTCGTGCACAAGAGCTGATCTTTGGTCTACCAAAAAGAAAAATTCTTTTGATCTCTTTCAAAGGGAAAAACAGTTTCTAAACTTTACTGTTTAAGAACTATCAAAAATTATTTACATTTTTCTTTCCAATTTGTTCAGCTTAGAAGTCTCTTGCTTATTCTTACGTTTTCACGTGCTCTTCTGTATAAACAAGAATAGAGTGATATGTGTGAAAAAAGAAAGTACTGGTATTTTAAAGGTTTTCTTACCTTTAATACTCATTTTCTTTTATGTATGTCTCACTAGAAAGCCAGGATGAGCTGGATCAGTATATAAATGATATCCTGCAGAGTACAGCACTGAAGTCATATCTGCCTCCAACTTCAAAGACTGCTCATCAGCCGCTTGTGTTCAGTGCAAACCATTCCACACAAGAGATACTGTCAATAATGGCCAAGGCAAAGGGTTTGGAGATTCCAGGTACTTCTCTCTATTATTTGCCATGGGTGCTAAGATGGATAAGTTCAATTATTTTCAAATTCTATTATTTGAAGAAAGTTAGTAACACAAATGTGTTGTAGCTGTTAAGAAGAGAGTCTGAAGTTGTTGCTGTAGTTCCCACAGCATCCCATATCATGATGTATGTATAAATAATCTGCAGTGAATCAAAGTTAATGTTATGGAAACTAACTGATCAGATAGAATTTTAGAACATGAGTCAGTTCATTATTATTATTATTATTATTTGTCTTTCTACAAAGGCAGACAAATAATATACTTTCTTAATCCAATGAAGTTGTGGTGAAATTAAGTGTTTCAATGACATGAAACATCAGTATGCACATGTGTACTCTAAATCTATAAGAATAAATGGAGTACCAATGGAAGGCAGTGTTCCTAATAATGCTGTATTAAACTGATTGGAGGACTTCCACCCAAATAATGCTTTGACTGAATTTCTAAGTAGATTCTGACATCTATAGTGTTTTTCATGTAGATATGTAATATCCAGTATCCTGGTTAAGAGAGGGCTTCTCTCAACTTCACTGGATATTAATAAATCTTCAAACTTTAGTATTTTCTCCTATCTTTCATATGCTGCAGAATCATGTGATCCTCTGTTAAATTTGTCATATAAAGATAGCAGAGCATGAGCCTGCATTCACATTTGTCACTTCAATTGCAGCAGTTTTTCAATTAGACCATTTTGTCCATATGTTAAACATGTTTTAGCATGTTTACTGCAAAAACATTTGAAATACTTGTCAGGATCAGGTCATTCATTTGTAGAACATCCGAAGCACAGACTGCCATAAGAGATGTCAGTTCACCATGTTGTGCCTCAGACTTTGATGTGCTACTTTCAAAAGCTCTTGGACCAGGTCTGCAGGAAGGAAAAATTTCAAGTGTGAGCTTGTCTCTTGAGTTCCACACACAGCATCTTGCAAGTGTTGCCTAAGTTAACTTGACTCTCAGAGGTATTTCTGTTGTTTTTCGTAGTACAGTTGCTTCATATTTGTGGTTTTGCTTTTCTGCACAACAGCAACAAAAGTCTTTTAAGTGTTGTCATTGGCTTTGATTTCCAGCTGTTTCCATGTCTCTTCCAACTAAAGCTCTGAACACGCACCGGAAGTCCTTGAATCTTGTTGATATTCCCCTTTCCCTTGAGAAAAAGGTAAACCGTGGGATTTTTTATGCTGTTTATGTTTTTAGGACTCAATATTTTGAATCCATCTGGTTTCCAGCCAAACCGTACACTAGTTCTCATTTTGTTACCTTGACAGCAAAGCTGTCTGCCTGGGGCAATGGGTAGGGGGTGGTTGTTATTTTTTGCTGGGAAGTTTTTTTTGTTAAATAGATATTATCACATTGATATATATATTGTCTAATAAACAGTACTTGTATTAATTTCTAGCCAGGAGAGTAGCATATGAAAGGATAGCTGTCATACAGCACCAGCTGAATCCCACTACTAAGCACAAAGGGCAAGGCTGGGCTGGGTATTCTGTCCCAGTGTGTGTGACTGGCTGCTGAGGGTGGTGACATGAGGTTGTATCCAACCTGCTAGAAGATTCTGTTATATAGGCTTTGTCTGTGGAGGCAGTATTTCAGGACCATACAAATAACTGAATAGCTTGTTAAATAAAACTTGTTCTCATCTAAGAATTCACTGCAGTGTTGCATCACCTGACTAGTTAACATGCTAGTTCCAAAGCATTGGATAATTTGTGATGGCAACATCTGCATAAGTAAAGCACTGCAATTATTCAGATTGGAGACAAGACTAAAAGAACAAAAAAAACCCACCTCTAAATGTTTTCAGCAAGAAAGTGGTATCTTTCTGCTTTATTTCATTGCAAGTAGCAGTGTATGACAGGAAAAGTATGCAAATAATTTTGTTTACTTCTATGAGAATTTTTTTTTTTTTTTTGTCCCAAAAATAGCTTTCCTGGTCGATTGAACCAAATCTAGAGACAGTCCATTCTGGGTGCTGTGTTTCTGGGGATCATACTTCTTTTCATGTCTGCCAGTAGTCTGAAAAAAAAACTGCATGATATGTCTGTATTTCAAGCACAGAGTTGTGTTGCATGTCTGTGTTCTTTAATGGTGAGCTACAAATTTTATCTGCTGCTTTTGTCAAGGTCTGTTATTGATTTTCATCCCTCTTTGTTATCAGGACCATGAAAAGGTTTTGAACTTAGCTAAAGATGCTCATGGTGATTTGGATTGCAGGAAGCTTGTTGAGCAGCTGAAGGAATGCCCAACGCTCCATGATCAAGCAGATATCTTATATATCTTGCATATACTAAAGTGAGTTATCTGAGTATAGGCTTCAGCCCCTTGAGTTTGGCTACAGCTACTTGATTATTGTTGTGCAAAAGGTTGTCACTTTTCAGGACTGTGTTTTCAGGGGAGAGGTTAAAATGTTTTGTGCTTTAACGGAAACATTTTCAGTCAGCTTGACTACACAAATAATTTGCATTCAGAATACATCTGTGCAAATTTCAAAGTTGATTGACACACAATTTTGCCAAAGTGGGAGTGGAGGGATACTTAATTTTCTCATTTTCTAACTAAAGCACAGATGCAGTTTTATTTTTTCCTCTAATCCTTCCATGCTTAAGTGCATAGTTGACTAAAACTTGGTGTTCTTCAAAATGTTTCTGGAAAACAAAAAAAAAATTGCTCATTAAATGGATTTGAGCAAAATTCAAATACAGATCAACAGAATTATCTACTAAAGTGTGCTAACTGGCATTTTTTCCTTATACTGTTGGAATCTGGTAAAAAGTTGGTTTAGGTTGCAAAGACGTGCATTTATTGATCACAGATGGTCTTCCTTAATGCTGCAGAGATTGTGTTAATGTTTATCTTAGTCTTTCTCCTGTGTGGGCCTTTTCTTTGGTCTTTTTATTTTCCTAAGCAAAATAGTAACTCTCTTAAAAGGAGATCCTGAAGAATTACTTTTTGTTTGTTTGACTGTATGTAACACCCTTAGTTTACTTTCTGGAACTGTTTCACCACTGGTGTCCCTGTTGGGCTTTGGTGAAATGTGTCCCTCTAACTGGAGCTGAAAGATCATCATGTGGTGCATGGAGCCGCTGTCAACTAGAGGCACCTTTTGTTCATAATACAGCAAATTTCAAAACTGGAAAAGGAATTGAAAACTTCACTGATTCATCAATATTGACAGAAGCAGTGTGGAAGTCTAGTTAGTAGCTAAGAATAAGGCAGGGAGAAATACTCATAGAGGCCCTGTAGTATCTGAAAAAATGGCTATCATCTTTATTAGTACTGAAAAAAAGTGCTGAATTTCACTCCTAAGGAGCAACATATGGAGTGTTCTTCCATTCTTTCAATCTTCCTTGTGCTGAACTTAAAGCCAAATGGGAAATCCCCTGGCTGGTTGCTTTGTAGTCACAGGCTTATGGCCAAGTGAGATAATATGAGAGTTGCTGTTACCAAGAGGTTTCTGCCCATGTGTAGCTGATCTCTGATGAAGGACTGCCGTGTCCCATTCACTTCACCCAAATGGCTGTCACACAAATGAGAATTCAGTCAAAGTCTGGTTGTTTGTTGTGTGTTAAGACTAAGCAACTTAGTGTTTTCTGCTTTCTCTTTCTATGTCTTCCTCAAGGACCCCTTACTTGTTTGATCTAATGGAAATAATCTTCTATTTTCCTGCAGAGGCCCTGACTGGGATACACAGCTGAATGGACAATGTGGAGTCACTGTTCACTGTCTGCTCAATGAGCTCTACAGAAAGGCAGGCCTCAATCAAGAGTGGGGCTTAATCCGTTATATTTCTGGTATACTTAAAAAGAGACTGGAAGTCCTGGCAGAGGTATGAGATAGGAATAGTGCTGGTTCAGATTCCTGCCTGAAAACAGGACTACCAATGTGAGGCACAAGTGCCAGTGAGGGTTGTGCTTGCCCTTTTCTGGTCTTGCTTCACCACAAACCTAGTGCAGCATTTGTCAGTAAACACTGTTTGCTTTCCTGATCTAAAATCTTGTTACAACCTCTCTCGTCTATACTGAAAAGTGTGCTAAGGTTAGAGTGTAATGAGAATGTCAGTCTGTAAGTGATTGCGAAGGCCTCATTTAATCTCTGTTAATCCGAGCAGCTTAATTATGTGCGTTGAAAGCTGTAGTGGTCACTGGTAATTGCTTTATTGCTATTGTGGTAACATGAACACTTGGAGCTCCAGTATATCTTAGTGCTAGAAATGATGCAAAAACATGCTGCAGTGATTTCTGTCCCATTAGGCAGGCAGTCTGTAGTGTGAGTGGCAGTACAGAGGCATTATGATATCTGGGCCTGCTTAACATTAACAAAAAAGATCCGTTGTAAGGGTACAGATCTCCTTTGGAACATTACAAAACTGTTCACTCTGCTGTTTTAAGGGTTTTTTTAAAAATACTTAATCCTGCATATTTCCAAAGAACTCTTTCTCTAACTTCTGGCCATTTTCAAAGCTTTGATAATTGTACTTAGAATGGCCTGTTTTACTGACAGTTGTATTTGCAGAGAGCAGTTTGCAACAGTCACTCTGCGTGACTCCTCGTTAAGTACCTTTTCCATCCCCAAGGCAGTACATGCTTACAAAAACCTGTGTACATTAAATTGCAGAGATATTGACTAAGAACTGTCAAGGGTGAGAGTAGAGGTATATGTAGCTTTGTTATACGTTAAAGGAAGGAAAACAGAATCAGAAAAATATGAAGAACATTACTCAGTGAGGTCTTTGATTCAGAATAATGAATTGGGTAAATTAAGCACTCGCTTTTGTAGGAAGTATAAAAGATTAAAATGCTGGTACTAGAGGAATTCTGGTATACAGGGTTATTTTCTTTTTTTGCTAATACTGCCAAACTTTCCATTAATAATTTTTTTGTCTTAAATAAAAATGAAATATTTATCTTATGATAAAATCCTTTATTGATCTGCCAGTCCCACTGGAGAGCATAATAATTCTGCTGCTGATTTCAGTGTGAGGAAGCAGGCTTTCAGCCTGGGTAGACTCCTGAGGTCCTGTTAACCTCAAGGGATATTTGCCAGCTGGTTAACAGCATTCTGCTGGATCTGCATATCTAGTAGTTAATTGAAATGCACTTAGAAATTGATAAATAAATGCTTCATTTTCTGGAGTTAAAAGCTGTGTCACTTTTGCATGTCTCAGAAGAAGATCTCTTGCTTTCTGTTGTATTGCAATAGGCATGCACAGACCTCCTGTCACACCACAAGCAGCTTACAGTGGGGCTGCCACCAGAACCCCGCGAGAAAATCATTACCACGTAAGTCAGAGCTTTGTTTCAGTTGTAGAAGCAGACTGCCTTTCAGCTTCCTGCTGGTTTTATTTTTCAACTTCAGAAAGAATTACAGCCACTAAGGTAGAAAAGTCTGCGGTGCAAAGATGTTTCTGGGTGACGTGGTTCTAGTGCACGTTGAAGAGGTTGACAACAAGTGCTGGACTTATTGCTGACTGTAGTTTGCCCTCTTACAGCCCTCTGCCACCTGAGGAGCTCACAGATCTTATTTATGAAGCCAGTGGCCAAGACATCAGTATTGCTGTCCTGACACAGGTACAGAGCATGGGAAAAAAATGGTTCTTTAAGCTGTGCCCAGTGTAATGCCAGTGTTCTTCTGAGACTGGGAAAGCTGGGATGACCCATGCTTCAGCTCTTCTGAATTTGTCCTTACAGGAAATAATTATGTACCTGGCAATGTATGTCCGATCACAGCCTAGTCTTTTCATGGAGATGCTCAGGCTCCGCATTGGTCTGATAATTCAGGTGATGGCCACTGAGCTGGCTCGGAGTCTGAAATGCTCAGGTAAGAATAGTTCTATTGTGGGAGATACTTCTGGCTTTATTTTTGCTTCACCTCAGTTACTAATTTTAAATTTGTGTTAAATTCTGTTGTAAAGAATTTACATATACAGTTAAAAATTGAAAATAATTTCTGTTTGGCTTAATGAAAGATTCCTGCCTCCCTGCACTCTGTCAGTCTGAAGTAGATGTTAAATACTTAAACATCCTGACTTTCAGTGCTTGAGGTGCCGATACTGAAATTGCAAGTGTATGTATTTAGGGACTAATTTCAATGAGAATTAGGACACTAGGTATCTTCAGAATATTTGAACCTTGATTATTCAGCATTCTTGTGAGTTTTATTCAGCATAAGTTCTGTCCTGTAGTCCTTCTCGCTTGGAATCTACGTGGTTGAAAAATATTTGCTATTTGGATTTCAGCTAGTGATACTTACACCAGGAGGTCAGTAAAAACACGTACCTCATACAAACCCCAGCTGCTGCATATGCACTGCAAAAAAGCAAAATGAAGAAAATAACAAGTTGTACAGGATGAAAATACTACTCTCTACTTAAAAAAGTAGAGAGGAGAAATCATGACTGAAGTCATATCTGAAAAACCACTGATGAATTTTCCACATAAAAGGAATTCAAATTGGTCAGAGGTCAAGACAAAATAGTCATAAGAAGTGATCAAGTTAATGTGGTGAATGTATAGTCTCAAATGCAGATGCTTAGGGGCATGATCCTTGTGGCTCAGCTCATTGTTCCTAATGTATTAGCACACCCCAAGGGGGATCAATGGAAGTTTATTTTAGAAAGGCCTCACTTGGGCACCACTGATGTCTTCGACCAAACTCAATGCCTACCTCTAGGGAGATGTTTGTCCATTAGGAGAAGTTGGTAAATGGAGCCAAGTAATTTTCTGGGATAATTCTGTTTCTCCACGAGGAGCATTCAGACAGCCCTGTTTCCCCCAGAGCTGAAGCTGAGTACCAGAAGCTGCTACATTCACAGTTCAAAGCCTCTTTTTCCCATAGTCCCTTCTGTTATTTCTTTGTAAGCCACTCTCAGCTTCACTGCTGCTTTTTCCATGTTCTCCTATGGGAAATTTCTCTGTGCACTCCTGTGCCCATGTGTATGTATGAGCTTTTTCTCACACTTCGAAGCATCATCCTTTAATTAGAGAAAACACCACAAGCCTGCCATTTGCATGCATTTCTTTATGGAATAACTCTGGCTCTGTAATTTAGATCTGAGTAAGATCTTCTTGTGGGAGGTGGCTGCAGTGCCTTTTCAGTTGATCTGCTCTGTGAAGGAGCACCTGCTTCATCATAACCTTTGGTGAGATTTCACACAGCTGTGATAGGCTGCTCAGTAACATAACCGCCATCATCTCCATTCAGTGTTGCTTAGTCTTGAAATGTGTTTTCTTTGAAATGACTCTACATATTAATTTTTTTTCTAGGGAAGCATTGTCTACAAAAGTAAGTGATGGAATTTCATTCAGCCAGCAATTTAGTTAGGAAAGCCATCCATAAAGCATCCTATAGTTGCGTTTGATTTTTGTTTTTGTGTGTGTGGCTTTGTTTTGTTTTTGTGGATTTTTATTTGCTTGTTTTTGTTATTTAAACCAGGTGAAGAAGCTTCAGAGAGTTTGATGAATCTAAGCCCTTTTGATATGAAAAATCTCCTACACCATATTCTCAGTGGAAAAGAGTTTGGTGTGGAAAGAAGCTGTAAGTTATCCATTTGGGTATATGTTAAATGGGAACTGTAAATATATAGATTGTGTAGTAAGTAGGAACCTACAATCTATGCATGTAAAATAGGAGTACAGGTAATGTACGAAACAGATCTATTGCATATATCTGCTGCGGGATAAAAAAAGCACATATGATGGTAACTGTCCTACACAGGAGTAATGTTGTATCCAGGCAAACTTTTAAAATGAAAAAATTTAACGTGACCAGAAGGAAGATTGTGAAAAGGATTTGTCCATTCTGCCTCCCAGGAGTGTATCTGTGATCCCCAGTATTTCCAGCTGACACTTCAACTGTGTCTTAAATCCTCACACACTTAGTGCAACTCCAGTGTCTTTTGAAGCTATGATTGTTCCTTGTCTTTGAAGGTCAAATCCTAACATCCAGCTGTGGCTCTCTATCTCTGAATTGACGTAAACGGGTTTGAATTATTGATGTAATTTGAAAGCACGCTGTCAAAAAAAGCATTGAACACTTATGAAAGGATATGCTTTTATCTGTAACTTCTAGACACAATTTTGTCTCTTTTCCTACCAGTATAATTTCTAAAATGTTCATTTGCTTCTTTTAGTGCGACCTATGGATTCTTCTTCATCCAGCCCTGCAATTTCTATTCATGAAATGGGGCCTTCTGGAGCAACGAAAACAGAAAGAAGTGGTATTACTAAATTGAAGAGTGAGATGAAGCAGGTGAGGGTTTTCTGTCAGTGCATATCAGAAAATGTAGCTGCTCTGGAATGGCGTTTCATCGGAGTTTAGTGTTCCTTTCAGGAAGTTGTTCCAATGCCAAATAAATACATTCTTCATAAATCACAGAAATTGCTAGTCACCCTTTGGTTTAAAGCTAATAGAAGGCAGGAGGGAGATGCTTCTTCCAAAAATGAAGCCTATTCTTTGTTCTTGTTTCATGTACTGAATATTGCAACTTAGCAAATAGCAAAGTCTACTGCATTCATGGCATCAACTTTAAAACAATTTTTTATTGTCTTTAGCTATACAGAAATCAGCTGCACATTTCACATAGATTTTCACATATATGGTTTTCATTCCTGTACTCTGCACAAGTTTTTAATGTGGTCTATCTGCCTTCTAGAAAGGTACATTTGGAAGAGAAATCTTGGTGATTTTGCTTTTTCTATTCCGGTTTTGTTTTTTATGGACAGGAGAAACATACTTCATATTCTAGCAGCATCCAAGTTCAGTATTCTTAGTGACACAGCAACTGAGCTTAATGAGAGAAATGATAGAAGACACGAAGTGTTCTGGATGAGTGTGACTGATGGTTTTATTGCAGCTGGTTTTCATTTTTTTGTGTACGTGTGTTTTTACTAGTAATTTTCTTTTGCTCTGGATAAATAGGAAGGAGGTGGAGTGAAAGATATTGATGGGAATTAAGTGTATTATATTGAAAACATATTTCAAAAACACACTTTCTGCTAAGAGCTTAGCAAGCAAGAGCATTTACTCTGAGGCCATTTGTGTAAGTTTCTAGGGAAATATGGGGTGTTCTGCTTTTATATGAAACAAAAATGCTGAATGAGCTTTTGGAGAGGAGGAACATTTCTGTATAATCCTTGACACAGAGCGTTTTATGCTGATGTAAAGATGAGTTCATAATTCTTTTTTGTGATACAATTAATCAGGGAAGGCAAGGTGTGGGTGAAATTCGTGTTTTGTACCTTGTGATCACTGTGTTTGAGTTACTCTGGTGCCTTAGTGTTACTGCAGCCAAGCCTGCCTTGTCCCCTCCTGTGGTGCAGCAGTGTCTGTGAAGCTGCTGCAGGGTGCTAACTGCAGACTCTGGGTGATCTTGGTAGCTCCGTTTGGGCATGGCTGTTAGTCCAGCAGCCTACTGGGGATGTTCAACCTCAGTGCCTTTCCCAGAATGAACATGGACTGGCCGCTATGCAGCAGCATTAAATCTTAAATATAGGTGTGCATATGAGTTGAAACCCTGTGAAGTTTGTCAAGGCTGGAAAGGTACCTCCTTGCATTGCTTTTGCATTAGATAGATGTGGTTTGTTTGTTTGGTTTTTTTTGCAGGAACAAAAAAACAGCAGAAGAGTTGGCTGTTTTGCTTGTATTTCCCCTCACCGGTCCATACTTATTGCTTCACACCACATCTCAATGTATTTGTGAAATACCATCTTAATGTCATTGTGGTTGGAGGGACAACCAACTTTGTGTCAGGAAAAACATTTTGAGCACTATCACGAGACAGAGCTCTTGTGTTGAACATTTTGCGGCAGATGCTTCTGGAATATGTAAACTCAGCCTTTGCCTGTATCTGAGGCTGTCATGGCTTTCTTTTGAGTACCTGAGTTTATTCCATGCTCCTTGCCTTCGTGCAGATGGGTTACATAACCTTGTTTGTGTCTTGTTGTGTCGTGACGGTCTGTCTGATCTGTTCGTGTCTGTTTTTGTTTTGTAGTTCTTTCATGAGGGCCACTCCATGTCCAGCAGCATGTTCGCTTCCAGGGTAAAATGATATCTGCAGTTCTGTTCCTGCTCTTCACCCTACGTGTGTCTGTATATGTCTGCATACACGTGTGCAAGGACCTTAGCTCTAAACTCCTCCTGCTGCTTCTGCTCTGTGAAAGCTTCTTTCAAACCCTCTTTGTTTAGTTCATCTTCACTGGGAGCCTGTTCTCATTAGTAATCTTTTAATAGCTCAGTCTCACATTTAGATCCACTTAGCTCTTCCTAATAGTAAACAGCTGAAGCAGATAAAGCACTGTCACAGATTTAGCTACCTGATTATATATTGCAGGTGTCATCCGTATTTAAAAGTAACATAGCATTTATGCTGGCAATCTCTGGCTGATGATGACCAGCACAGTTTCAGAGTGCTGGCAGTTTCAGAGGCAGGGATTTTATAGGCTCAGGCATCTCCTCAGGCAGTCATTTTCTTTCAAGGCAGAAAATTGTAGCACTTAAGCTTTTGCTGTTAAGAAGGAATATAATTGTTTGAATATTTTACCAGTAGAAGCCTTAGCGATTTAAATTCTGAGACTCCAAATCTGTCACCAGGAGATGGAAGGTTTGCAGCTATGTGTGCACTCTGAACTGGTGATTGTGATGAGTGCACCTCTGCACTGTCCTCAGTGGCACAGCCCTCAGGTGCTCTAAATACAATTACAGAGCACCCCTAAGCACGTTGCTGCAGCCTTTCTCTTCCAACATAGCAGTGCAGAAAGAGAAGATTCAGCTGCATTTGATAAAAGTGCACAGAAGTTTTTGAATGAGATCTCTGCCTGAGTAGTCAAATTAATTACTGTTTGTGGATGGATTTCTGCTTTGCCACTGACCCTCCTGTGTCCTCTGGTGCTGCAAAATGAAATGGAGGAGATCCTGATTATCTCAGTCAGGGTGTGATAGTAAGGAATAGGGGGCATCAAGGGAACACCACCTACATCTCACTGACACCAGCAGAAGTGAAAAATGGACTTTGTTTTCACTTACTGATCTTTCTGTGGAGCGTGGCTCTGTGGAGTCACTGAGCATACCCCTTGCAAACATGCACTTTTTGGTCTTATTTCCCACCTTCCCCAGTACCCTGCTCGGGCAGTTCTGTGCTCAGAGAGGATGGGATTTCAGAAGGAACCATCAGTGAAGTCCTTCCTGGGCTGAAAGTAATGGATGTGCAAAGAAGTACAAGGGAGGCAACAGAATAGCAGAGAGCCTGGGAGAGTGAAGATGGGCAGCCTGCACATATCCTGGTGTGACAGTAACAGTGAGGATGTGGTGGCATTGCCACATCTTTGAAGATGATTTGCTGCCTAGCTTAGTCTTCAAGTCTGGTAGAGTTAAAATAGAAAACCAATCATAGAATCATTAAGATTGGAAGAGACCACTAAGATTGTCTTGTCCAACCATGAATCATGACAACAAAGGAAAACAAGGTTGATGTTTACAGGGAGTTGGGTGTGGTAACTGTATGACCACATAAACTTGGTCTTTAATCAGCGTATGTTAATGGATTGGTTTCTATGGAGGACCTCACTACAGACCCACTGACTCTTTTACTCTTACCCACTTACTCTTTTGAGCCTGAAGTCTGAATCAGACCTATCAGTAAATCCCACCACTGAATGCAGCAGTAAAGCTGCCATGTCAGCCAGCTCATACTTGTTAAAACGGCCATGCTTTGAGTTGAACCGAGCAGTTATGCCTTGTGGCACTGCTGGCTCATTTCGTTGAGAAATGATTGAAGCATGGGAGAAGTGAAGTTTGTCATGAAAGGGGAAGAGTGGAATGAGACTGCTCCATCACCTTGTATGATGCCGTGGCCTGTGGTTTTTCTCCTGGCCCTGAGCTAGCACTGTAGCAGTACAACATCTTCACAAGTAGTAGCACCCATGGGGGTAGAAAGCAACTAACTGAGGCTTTAATGTTTCTTACAGAGGAGCAGTACTCCACCATCTCCTTCCAGTACTTCTCCCACCAGTTCCAGCGGAGACATTAGTTGGGGTGACCGCAAAGGGCAGTGGCTGCGCAGAAGAAGGCTTGATGGTGCCATTAACAGAGTTCCTGTTGGCTTTTATGAGAAAGTATGGAAGATTCTTCAGAAGGTAGGTTGACAATTATAGCAGTAAGAAAACAAAGCAGCTTATGGGAAGATGGTGTTGCTGGCTAAAATTTGTCTTCAACTGTAAGACTAGTGGAAACTGGAATTATTGGTAGCAACGTATCTGTAGGAGATAGAAGGGCTTCATTAATGCAACTTCACATATTTGCTTGAAAGTGTTTTTTTTCTCTGAAAACACCGGTGCACAGTTTTTTGCTGATCAGTTGTGTTTTACCACTATTTAGCATCTCTCCTGGCCTAATGCAGGCTGTGCTCACTGCCGCTGAGGGGCACTGTAATGCAGTGCAATTCCCCTGCTCCTGCTGGAAAAGGCTGCAAGGAATTGGCTTGGAAGCTTCACTGACTCTTCCAAAATGATGAAAACTTCCTGGCTTTTCTGAGCTGTGTAACTCTTCTAGTGTTACTTGCTTCTTGTTATATGAAAAGTAATCCGTGGTAGCACCTTGAAGATCTGAGGTATGGAAATGTGTTGAAGCAGATCTCCAGGAGGGAGAAAAGGGGAATTAAGAATTTCTGTTTATTTCAAGGCAATGCACCTGTTCTGCTTTGCTGAGTGTCAATATTTGGCAGCCTGCAAAACTGAACTATTCAAGCCTACACCATTGCGGAGATACTGAGCACCTGCTTTGGTTATCGTAAAATCAGTTGTACTGAAGCTGTTAGTGTTGATGTCAGCCAAGACGAATCATATGTGACCACTAGATTTAGATGAGATCTTTCAATGCAGTGAACATCACTTGTGTACACAAAGTATTGTCCTCTTCTTAGTGATTTTTTTTGTGCCTGAGGTACCCAGATGTGCCATTCTTTAGCCTGCCACCCCTTAGGTCATATCCTTTTCTTGTGTGTCACACTCAGTGTTGCTGACACCATCTCCGTGACTGCTGGTGGCCCATTTCCAGCAACCACAACATATTGAAGTCCTTCAATTGTGGTATCCTGCATCTCAAGCACTTAACTAAATGTTGTTTCAGTGAAAAATGAGAAATAAAGGTTCTCAGTTCCATGGTTTCTTGTTATGCTTTTGCATTATGTGACCCATAGAAGGTTTTTTGTTCTTGTCTTCTGTCTGCTCCTTGCTCTGGTGGCTCTCCCAAGGAATTTCCTCCCATTCAATAGCTAGAAGGGAATATAGAGCACTGTGCAAGTGTTGTGTAAGGTTATTTCTGACAGTTGCCAGGCTACATAATAAACTCTCGAGCAAAGGTGAGGTAGTAGTTTTAACAAGTTTTGTTGTTGTACTGAAGTTTATTACATGTTGGCTTGGATCATTCAGATTTACTTGCAAGAACTATAATTTCTGTTCACTGTCAAACTGCTTTTGTTTCAGTGCCATGGTCTGTCCATTGATGGGTATGTCCTTCCTTCTTCAACCACCAGAGAGGTACAGTAAAATGCCAAAGGTGTTTCTGTCATATGGCTGAATGTTTGATTTGGCAGTGTAAGATGCAGAGCAGGATTGATGCTGCAGGGTCCTTGTAAGAACAGTCACTGTGAGAAGGGGCTGAGGTGGTGATCTTTCCTCCAGCATCTCCCTGGCTGTAAAAAGAATTTTTCCTCCACCCATGCCTGGCAGTGGATTTGGGAGGGTTTGCCCCTTTGCTGTGTCTGCTGCCTGTGTGCCTTCACCAACAGCAGTTTGCTTCTTTTGTTTCTGAGGGTGGTGGTAACAGCTGAAGAGAAGGGCTGGAATTTTCTGCCAAATATAAACCTTATTTTACAGAATGGAAGGCTTTATTTATTGCTATTGTATAAATAAATAGGCTTATGTTTTTGGTATGTCAGACTTAGTATCTAATTTTGCTGTTTAAAGGAATCAAACTAAATAAGCACAGAACTTCTAAGGCAACAGCATTTCACACAACATCCATACAGCTGTACAGTAAGAGTTAGGCTGTTCTGCAGGCAATAGAGCTGTGTGTTGGTGTTAAAGCACATCCGATCTCTATAGTAAGTTCAGTTTTGCAGTTAATGTGAGATGCCAGAGTAGTGCTTGGGAAGCAGAATGCATGAGGCTGTCACATTAAGAGCAAAGAGATGACTTTGATGGCGAGTTGACCTGATAGTGGCCTTTCAGTATCTAAAGGGGAGCTATAGGAAAGAAGAGGACAGACTCTTCAGCAGGGTCAGTGGTGATAGGACAAGGAGAAAAGGTTTCAAGCTTGAAGAGAGTAAATTTAGGTTAGATATAAGGAAAAAGACTTTTATAGTGAAGGTGACGAGGTGTTGGAACAGGTTGCCCAGAGATGTGGTGGAGACACATCTGTGGAGCCTTTCAAGGCAAGTCTGGATCAGGTCCTGGGCAACCTGATCTAGCTGTGGTGGGACATTGTTCACTGCAGAGAAGTTGGACTAGATGGCCTATAACAGTCCCTTCCAGCTCTAAGGATTCTATGATAATTTGCTAACTAAGCATCAGCAGTCCCATATACAAATAAAATATGTATGTGTGATGGGTCACAGGGCTGGAGCAGTTTCTGAAAGCTGCACAGCTGCTTGCAGGATCAGGGCCCAGTGACAGAAAGTTTCTGTAAGTGCCGAAGCTGTAGAAATGTTTTGTTTACTTCAATCAGTGCCCCCACGTGAGGAGAGGAGCTTATGGTTCAGAGCTTGGGGGGGGTGTGGGGGAACTGCTCTTTTGGGTTTGTCAGTTTTTCTTTCTTTCTCTGACTTGCCAGATGACCCCATGTGAAATCAAGTTTGCTGTACATGTGGAGTCTGTGCTGAACCACGTCCCTCAGCCTGAGTACCGGCAGCTCCTAGTGGAAGCCATTCTTGTCCTCACATTCCTGTCTGACATCGAGGTGAACAGCATTGGGGGGATCATCCATGTAGACCAAATAGTGCACATGGCCAACGACCTCTTCCTGCAGGAACTGGTGAGTCCAGAGTGCAAAGGAGGAAATCCTTCACATCTGAAATTTGTCCCCTGTTCATTTTTGTGTGTCTGATGAATTTGACCAAATTCATGCCCCAGTCAGCTGCATGCAGCTCCACCTGATTATAGAAGAACATTGAGAAAGCTAAGCACAAAGTGTTCAAATTATCAGTATTTGAGTAATCAAAAAGAAAACAAGACAAAATTTGTGAAGCGAGATGTTCCTTATATACGTGGGTTTTATCCAAATAAATAGGCAAGGGTGTTGAGGCACTGGTACAGGTTGCCCAGAGAGATGGTCAGTGGCCTGTCTGTAGAGATATTCAAGGTCAGGCTGGACGGGGCTGTGAGCACCCTGATTGAGCTGTAAGTGTCCCTTTTCATTGCAGGGCAGTTGGACCAGATAGTCTTCAAAAGCCCCTTCCATCTCAAACCATTCTGTGATTCTGTGTGTGTATACTGTAATGAAGGCTTCAATGAGGGAAGGGAGGATTGCTTTCTGTATTCAGCACAAATGCAAAATCATCATTTTAATTCTGATGGGGTCTTTTAATTCTGAATAAATAAGCATAACTGCCTAACTTTCCCTATATCTTTTCTCTGTATCTTTTCAGAAATCATACGGAGCTACGGGTGGTATCTTGGAGAAGGATGTGGCCACAGGAATTTGTCACTTCTTTTATGATAGTGCCCCAAGTGGGGCCTACGGGACCATGACGTACCTGACAAAAGCCATAATTATTTATTTGCAGGATTTCCTGCCTAGCACAGGCTGTGTGATGCAGTAAGCAATGTCTCACTAGGGAAAAGAGGCTAGGAAGCTTCTCCCTGTTTTGCTGCCATGAGCTGCCTGTTTGCTGCGTGTCAGCAGATACACCAGTCACAGTGTTATGTTACCTGCACACCTACCTGAGGGGGACAGGTGGGTGGAATATGGCCTCATTTTAAGGGAGGGTGTGAGAAAGAGCAAATAACGAGGCTTATTCTGCCTAAACTGCATAAATGTAATTCGTATTAAATTAGCAAGAATTAGTTCTGCCAAGGGGGAAACAGATTACTCTGTGGAGATCAAAAGGCATAATAAAACGAGGGAGCTGAATCTCAGGCACAGAGTTTCCCAAATAAGGGAAATAATGGAACTCATTAGTTTTTCTCCTGCCAATCTGTAAATCTACATTGCTGTGAATCACTAATGTGCAGTGTGAAACATCCAGGGGTAATGTAAATGAAAGGAATTGGGAGAACTGGAAACAACCAGGTGGTATTTTTAATACACATTCACCCTGATTCTCATCTCGTTTGCACCTCGTTAGTGCAGGGCTAGCGCCGGTAGAGACAAATGTCTTACAATAGCCACTAATTTGAGATGATAGCAGCTCTCAGGGAGATGTCTTTCGCTTTAATCTGAACAAAGCTGCTTCCTTCCCTCCACAGGCACAGTCTCAAGACTCCAACTGCTCCGAGGTGACAGGGAATTTTATGCTGTGTTCTTTTTCTCTGAACAGAGAAAGATAGATCTCAGCCACTTAAGCACCCTTCCATCTCTCCTGATCGTTTCCCTTGCAAATAGCCTCGGTGCTGAGAATGGCGTAATGGCCGCCCTTCCAGTGCAGGGAGAGTTTATAGAAAGCTTTGATTTTTCCTCTCTGTCTTTGTTTCCCCCTCCACCCCTGTTTTTTTAAATTATTATTATTTTTTTCTTTGAAGGCACACTTGTCACTCATGGCTAGGGATGGGCTCTCTGGAAGTCTGCCTCCAGCCATCTCCCAGTTTTGTGCCTGTTATCACCATGAGTAGGTCTACTGCAAGCAGCTGTGTGGCTGCTTTGAGCTGCTGCGACTCCTGCTGGGAAATGGCTCCACAGTCGCTTAACCTGGCAGCAGAGAGAGGTTGGATGAAAAGAGGGCAGCAAAGCCTCTGTCTCACCTGCCAGTTACTGGCACGGTGGTGCCGGGGAAGATGAGCTTGAGGTGGCAGAGCCACACCAGAGGTGCTGCTGCCACATCTGTGCTCTTGCTTGGGAGAGAGAAGGCAGGTGGGGGTGGGAAGCCTGAGGAGGTGATGCAGAAGTAACAGAAGAACTTGGCAGTCTGCGGACCCTGAAGCTTCTCCAAGGATGCTCTGGAAGAGGCAAGCAAGGTCTGTGCTAGATGTGGATAGGTTAGGATAAATAGGTGGTTTAGACTGAAACAAGGGTTTGGAACCTACAGAACATTAAACTCTCTCCCCCCCCTTTTTTTTTTTAATGGGAGTAACAGTGAGTGTCTTTGATTTAAAATTTCTGCTATGATCTAACTTACGATTTATGTTTGATAGTCATGATTAGTTATCACATGGAAGCCAGGCACTGGCAGAGGACTTAGAAGGTGCTTTGAAGAATTCGGATAGCTGCTGGTAAACAGTGGGATGCTGAAACACAGCATGAGTAGAGGGAGATCTCATTTAACTTGCAGGTCAGGTCCTGCTGCTGAGCTATGGTGGCAGTGTGGTGTCAGTTGGAGTCCCATTTAGTGCAGACCCAATTAAGCAAACAAGCTTTTGCACCAAACACTCCCACACCTGGCAGAGGATGCACCTGTGTGCTACTAAGCTGTTACAAAACAAAAGGAGTGCTGCTGGAGGTGAGGCTATGCTCCCCAGGTGAAAGCTGTCACAGCTCTACCACTAATTGGCAGTGATGGGTTTGGCTGTTGGGCTTCCCAGGGGACTGAGAGGAGGATGACATGGCCAAATTCCAGGTCTTGTTTACAGAAGGAAGGTGAAGGTAGGTTGACATGTCCTGTCTCAGAAAGAAGGGCTTCCAGCAGCTGAGGTGGTCCCCCGGGCCCTGCTTTTTCAGCCTGCCATGTGCAGCTGCCGCAAGTACTTTGTGCTTGGCTGTGTGACAGCTGCCAGGACCTGCAGGGCCAGGCTGTGGCTTGTGCAGAGGAATGTCACTGCAGCGTGTTATTTATTAGCCCCTGCAGAACACGGTGAGACATAAAAAATTTGGGATGAGAGTGATGAAAGAGCCTTATCTGGATCTGTTTGGATTTAAGCACATGTAACTGGGCCGTGCGTGGCTCCCCGTTTTGCACTTTGGTGGCTTTTCTTCCTGGCATGGCGTGCTTTGCAGTTATCTCCCCTCCTCTACTCTCTCCTTCTGCTGGGGGTGAGGGTGCCCCAGGCTACCTGCAGCAGCTGCTGGGTGTTGCTTTTGGTTGGATGACTCAGTTCCTCTTGTGCTGCAGCTCTGCAGCCCTAAAAGCAGTGTATGCTAAGTGCTGCATTGCGACCTTCCCTCCTCTCTCAAGGTGAGCATCCTTCATCTGAATCCTCCACTCTTCAAACTGTTGTGCTCTGTTCCACGTAGGTTGTCAAAATACAGGCAAGAAACAGACCGCAAACTTACACATTATGTGAAAGCTCAAGCTTTATTTTTGTGATCTACTGTATGTGAAGATGCTTTGGCTTAAGCCCTGATTAAGGTGAGAAGTTAGGATCACTTATTAACCCCCAAACCTAACAACTGCAGCAAAAGTAACCAGTGCTAAGTACAAATCTGTGGCAGATATAGACACCTTTCCTTTTAAGTTGGGTCCATAAACCTCAAAGAGGAAAACTAGTAATGTGGAATGCTTTAATTACATCGTGCAAAGAACAAGATTAAATATGCAGAACTGCTTATTTTAATGAGAAGGTTCTTCCCTGTTTTCCTCACCTGGAGTCCACAGAAAGCCTGTTTTTCCTGTTACACATCCCCAAGGAGAGACTGGTATGTTCTCTGTGATCATCGATGCTGCTTCTTAGCTCTAAGGGCTGCTGGGATAAATTTACCAGAGCATCTCTTGCCGTGGCACTGTAGCTGCTACCTTGGTAGCATTCACAGATCAGGGTGGTGGAGGAAATGACACCAAAGGTGAGGATAAGACACTGATGTGGCAGTGACACAGCATTGAGTGGTCATCCCTTCTGCTTTCCTCACTAGAAGGTATGCATCATCCCAAAGGGATTAAACAGGTTTACACAGTGACCGCAGCGCTTACCATTTATTGTTTGTCAGTCTGGAAATTGTTTTGCTAGGCTGCTGTGACTACAGCAGGAAGGTGAGCTCCCCTGACCCCCCCAAGAAGTTCTGCCCTTTCCCTAGGCTGCCTTGTTCTCTAGTTTGCGAACCACATGAAAGGCCTCTAAAAATTCATTGAAGTCAATATAGCCATCTTTGTTGTAGTCTATGCTCTGGGCTAACTTGTCAATGGCTTCATCATGTGAATAAATACCCAGGTAAGAACTGAAGATTTTCCAGGTTTTGCGGAACTCATCAGGTGAAATTAGACCTACAGGAAACAGAAGACAGTTTGCTTTTTCCAGTACTTTTCCCCTTCCTACATCCACACTCACATGAACACTCCTCCACTTCCAGGAAGTCACCTGCTCAGCAGGGCTTCCGTGGGATTTTTTTGTTATTTCACAACTCAACTACAGTTCAAGTGCAGAAGGGAGAAAGCCATCAAAGTGACAACAGTACTGGAAACTGCGTGAAGACTTCTTGAGTTAGATACCGTCCCTTATATGGGTACAGCATGACTGCTTAAATTAGCCTTCACTAATTCAGAAAAATGACATCACCTCTGGTTCCTCTCTATATAGAAGCCTTAAAAGGAGGAAACACAGTGGGGAAAAATAACCAGTACAGGCTTCTAAGGGTCACGACTGTGAGTTACTGAGCCTTACCTGACTGATCTTCATCCATGATGTTGAAGATCACCTGCAGATCTCTTCTGTATTTGCACAGCGTTTCCACCAAAGTTGGCTGAACCTGGTTTTGAAATCATGTACGGGAAACCATTTAGACTTTGGGTTTAGGTTAGCTTAACTGACAGAACATGTACTATTATCCTAATCTATTTTACTAGTTTAACTTGCCAAATGTTAGGGAAAAAATCCTTATGCAAAAGTTCAAAGGAATGGTGCTTTGTGTGTCTTGCCCCAAATCAGCTAAAACCTGCCACATATGGTGGGGTGGGGGCAGGTGAAGGAGCCCTTCAAGCCTCCTGCTTTCAGTAATTATTTGTGGAAAAAATGATAATCTGGGGAAAATGCTGTATATCACTTACTCATGAAACTTTCATTAGACATATAGGAATGGGTCCTGCTGCATAGAAAAAATGGTGTTGAGAGCTAAGTACCAAAGCACTGTGCATTCATGCAGTAGCAACTGGACTCTGTAGAAGAGACCTCATCTATCATGAAACACCTAAAAGCTCACCTCCAACTGTGACTTCATCTTACAGGTGCCAGAAGCAGCTCTGAGCACATCTGAAAAAGCTCATCTCAAAAGAGTGCTCACGGTAGGATTTGTCGCATAGCTCCTCAGCTACCTTATCAAAATGCCCTTGAGAGTCAATGGAATGTACAAAGCAGTTCTAGCATGTGATTCATCCGGCCTATTTTAAGTCTACCTTAGCAGGGAATGATGATTTGTGCCTTTAGAAATGCTTATTTCTCTCCAGTAACTATAAGAGGAAGCTAGGTAACTAGTTCAGATGCAGATCTCTACTGGAGTGGCCAAACCACTGCCTTGTGCATCAAGCTGCACTGAAAGCTGTTTCTCCAAGATTTGGAAGGATGTGTTTTCCTTCTTACCTGATGCATAGGACGAGCTGTGTCCATACAGTAAAAACATGACATGTAGTCAACGTTTCCATCTGGATCTGTCTTCACTAACCGAGACTTCAGTGTCCTCCAGGGCAGTTTGAGTTGTAAGACTGACTCCATCACTGCTGCCCAGTCACTGACAGAAATCCTGCCTGCTGGGAGGGGTCAGCTCATGGTTACAAGCAGTGCGTGACGCAGCACAGATGAGACCCAGCAACCCCAGCGTGCCTTCTGACATTGTTTTACAACATTCACAAAACATAAATGTTTTTTCCTAAGCAAGGTAATAAAAACAGTGAGGTCAGACGAGGCATTTCCAGAGGTCCCTTCCCACTGCAACAATTTTGTGATTCTATTATGACTATCAGCATGCTTTAATGCCTTTGGAGAAAAACAAATTATGCTATGAAGAGTACTTCAGATGTGAGTCGAGTTGCAGCAATAAAGACAGACATATGTGACTGAAAAGCCAACAAGCCAGAAATATCTTCTTCAGTTGTTCAGCAGCCAGAGAAACAGTACCACCACCCTGGGGGCACAGATGACAAACTAGTCAGATGAGAAGCCGTCAGGAGGAAAAGTATTTTTGCTAGATGTTGTATTTTTGTTACAAGTCAGCCATGACCTCTTCCTATATAAAAGGTTCATGATAAATGTTCAATTTATCACTGAGCTTTCTTCAGCTGATGGGTGAGCATTCCCTTCTAGTGGACTAGCTGCTTAGCTTCACTGAAATAACTCCCAGGCTTAGAAGACTAGTTCTCTCAGAGGCCCCAGTTCCCTGGCTGATACCTGAAGATGCCCCAGTGAGCTTCTGGAGCCATACTCAACTCAAACTTTGCCAACTCAAACTTTGCCTGGTGGCAAACACTGATTCTTTATTTGCTCACGTGTTTCAGTTCTATTGTTCCTCCTACTTAAAGCTCCCCAGGTTGTTCTCTAGGGCTAAGTGTCCACTAACAGACATCCTGCACTGGTCAGAGAGAACACAAGACCGACCAGGCTCTGCCTTCCTCCAGCCTTACAAAAAAGCAGGCAGGACCCTTCTGCCACCATGAACATTCAGAAGCTGTTTTCCCTGTGGTGGTGAGCGGACAGACAGATGGTGTTACCTGTGCTGTTGCGGTCATACTTTGCAAAGGTGTCCATGAGTTTTTGCTTGTGAACAAAAATCCTCTCTTGTAAGGTTTGTAAAGCAGACTGTTCAATTGTTTTCACCCTGGAACAAAAAAGAAATCAAAAGCAGATCCTTAAAGGATATTAATCCTCCAGCAACTTATGCATTTCAACATTCATTATCAAATTCTGTTCTTTAACAGGCAGTGTTGTTACGGTGATCCTAAAAGACAACATGCAAGAAAAATAAAACAAAGCCCTAGAAGAATAATCTGAACTTAAGAGATAATCAAGTTTATGCAGGTAATTCTAAGCTGCTTTGCTCCAGTAAATCTGGCCACAGTGCTAGGCATAGCAAAGCTGCAATGATGAACTTTTTGGACTCCACTCATAGCAGGATTTCTCTGGATTAACGCTGTAGCCTTAAAGCAGACCTGACGGACAGGTGCAGGCTCTTCAGGGTCCCTGACAATAGTCCACTCTTAGCATTTAACACTTCTAATTGCCTTTGGAAATTTCTCACAAAACCTGGAGGTACTTAAAATGCATTTTTAAGCGTTGATTTTTAAAAAGGAAAACAGAAACAGAAGATAAATTGTGAGATTGATGTGAACTGTCATGTGAACATTACTGTGAACGTGCTGAAGGAATAGCACAGGGCTGCATCAGGGTGGGGGTCAGGGAAAGGGGCTGCACCACAGGGCGGTGGGCACGGCCCCAGTGCTGCAGTTCAAGGAGTGTCTGGACAGCGCTCTCAGACGTTGGGTTTGGTTTTGGGTGGTGCTGTGTGGAGCCAGGGGTTGGACTCCATGATCCTTGTGGTCCCTTTCAACTCGGGACATTCTGTGACTCTATCCAATTACAATGAAGCTACAGATCTGTGGTGGTCATGCTCACCATACACACAATGCATCTTTACCTCTCCCAGTTTTTCCGCTTGTCAGTGCTCGTGCAGACTTGGTACTGTATAAAGTGGGGAACCAGGTCAGGATTCATTCGGATGTATGCTCCCCGGTTGCTCCCCTCTTCATAATAGTTAGAAGCAGAAAATATAGTGATAACCTGGAGCAAAAAGAGAATTTGGATTGGCTAGAATAATATTTCTTGAGACTGATTGCTAAAAATGATCTTAGAAAAACCTGCATGTTACAAAATGAAGTGTCGGTGTGTAAAGCCAGAAATCAATACTGATGCCATTCACCAAACTGCTTGTACTTTTCCAATCAGAACTCCACACCAGTGCTTTTGGCCTGCCACAGCTCAGAGGGCAGCATGATAGCATGCTGCAGTGGATACATCTGAGACACAGTTCGTTTTCAGGATTTTTTCATGGCCTCTCAATAGAGCATGTTAGCAAGCAAGGCCAGAAGAGAAATTAAGTTAAAAAGCTTCTAGAGCCTAGGAACATCTCTGTGCTGTATATGTACACATAATTGTCCCCGTGGATTTTGTTGATGTTGATGAGTAATGAGCCAGTCCCCACTCCCTAAAGTTCCAGAAGACTTCTGTGTTTGTCAGAATTCCATAATCCGTTCTAACGTCTATTAATTTAGTGCACAATTCCCCCAAACCCATTTGAAGAAGTCACTCATATTCTTAATTAACTCTGCTGACAAGTCTATTGTGGATGTGCCTGTGCAAATCACGTGCTTTCCACGGCAGTCCCTTACCTTCCCATCATGAGTGAGGTCGTAGCCGTCCGGCTTAAATTCATGAGACCTGATTAGCATCTTCAGATTATACTTTTTAAGCAGCTGGTCAGTAGTGTCAGGGCCAAAGCAACAACCTCCTCCTCGACGCTGGTTCAGAGTACAGCCGTGTTGTTTTTTTGGATCGCTCCAGAGAATGTCCAGGACCTAGGAAGAGCAAACTCAAGAAGGACTGATACTAGGTGAGGACTGACAGGCTACAGATGCCTGAACTAGTGGCCATACCAAAAACCCCAGGCTACTGAGAGAAAACACCCAAAAGAACAAGCTTTTCTTCCTTTCTTTCAGCTGTGCATTCCTTTGGGCTGAAACTTTTGTTCTTCTAAATTACAAAACATATTTAGAGTATGTGTTAACCTTTTCAGATGCAATATCTTCTCAGAGATGTATATCTCCTGTTATGAATGAAGTTTGCAGACAGGTAGATGCATCAGGTACAGTGCATGGGCAAGGAGAGCAAAAGCCACCTACACATGTGAGAGGCGATTCTTATTTCCCAGCACTGAGGTCACCCATGTCAGTGGTTTTATCTAAACTAAGCTTGGGCATACCTGTTCTAAACACGGTAAGAGCTGCCCTCACAGCAGCTGTATTGTCTTTGTTTAGCTTGTGTTCCACAACAACATTTTACATGTTGGCATTTTAACAGAGTCAGAGACATGAGGATGAATTCTCAAGGTTCAAATGTATTAATTCCAGCCTGTAGCAAACACTGGGCAAAATGTTTCTGTTCATATCTCCTTGGAAAGGGTTTATGGAGATGCATTCTATTTCCCATTTGCTGGAGAGTGTCAGATTAAGGGGGTTGTTCCTGCCCAGTATGTTAGTTTTGAGGTCAGATGCATATCTTGGGAAATCACATTTTCAGAGATTTGCTTCTCTAGAGGCAAAATGAAGCTGTCTGCTCTGTACAGCAGCTGTCTGAAGTTCAGAAAAATAAATATACACAACTCAATTTTGAGCTTCTAAATTAATATGCAAATTAAGCTTTCCGAATTGTCACGATTTATTAAATTACAGCATGACAAGCAGCATATTGCCTCTGATATTCAAGAGGAAACTAACAGCCAGAGGACAAAATTTTCCTGCTCTGAGTAATCAGCCTGTAGGTCTCTGGAATGGGGCTTTTTGGAAACTATTGGCATCCAGCTGCGAAAACCATGGCCAAAGAAAGGTGCATACTATCACAATTGGTGGCCAAGTCTGACCTATTTTAACTGACAACTATGTACGTACCAAGAGACCTACCACACGGGGGCATGCAAACACATCTCATACAGAGTTTCTTCCTCCTAATGGCTGAGAACCAAAACCACGGAGTAAATTGTATTTTCGAGGCATAAAATCACAAATGTATATTACCAGGTGTACAAAAAGCAGCTAAATAACAACTAGCTGGCTACTATACTCCCCAGAGCAATGGGTTTCCTATATAGAGACAGACCTCCCAGACTCAGAGGTGCCCTCTTAACGTAGCCCCTGCCACTGTCATAACTGGGTCTCGGCATCAGGCTGTCTTTGGTTTCACCTACTTGTTTCCGCTCCTCCTCGGTGAGTTCTGGATGTGAACTCCATCGGAAAAGCTCAGAGTAGCTCAGTGAGATGCCTTGTATTTTCACTTGTTTTTTTCTGTCTAACTTTGGTAGCTTCATCAATGTTTTCAGCTTAAAAAAATAAATACAGAACATTGGAAAAGTTACCAGAAAATAAAGATGATCCATTCCCTTTTCCCCTACCAAATCTTTAATCCTCATAATGCTCTGAACTCTCAGGTCTGGTGGTAGCTGCAGGTGTTTGGCATCAGCAAACTGCATCTGTCAGGCACCAACCTCCTTGGATGTGCTGGCACATCCCTGTCATGGAACATCACTCATTGCAAGCCACACTCAGTCACAAGATCTCACTGCACAGCAAGGACAGCACTTGGGCTCAGGGTAGATCCCAAAGTGCCCAGCTTTGCTGGAAACTGAAAATGCACATATAATATAGAGGATGGAAATGCACCCACCGCTGCTCTGATACAGTAGCATGCTGCTAGGTTAATTCAGCTGGAATCAGTGGAGTACCAGGAATATAGCTACAAAATTCATGAAGTAGTACATCAGTCCTTTCACTGTTAAATATGTTTAATTGAGACGTATGGGCATCTGCTTTTTTGGAGCTGCGTGCTGTGGTTCCGACAAGGCCTTTTCATGCAGGTTTCTCCAGGGAATATCTGTTCTCTTTTGATATTTCCTCATGCTATCTCCTTTTAGAATACCACCAAAAACATTCAACAATTTAACAACAAACAACAACTGATGCAAAAAATTATTTCCTGGTGCACTGACCGGGATTTGAAGACCTCTCAGCTGCCACTTGTACCAATTAAAAAAACATCGGTCAGTCCAGAGTGATACTGCCCTGAGCTGTGGCCTGTGCATGTCTCATTAGCAATACTCTCCCCTGGCAGCACTGTCAACCTGTTAATTCTGCAGTGCATCCAATACAACCAGCCCAGCCTAGGTGAAAGTATGACAACAGCTTGTCCCAAAGCTGAGACACCTGCATCTATAGCTAGGCACCCAAATTCAGTGTGCTAGGCTCAGTTTCATTGCCCTTCTTCACACCTTTACGAAACAAACTGAGCTACAATTGAATGATCAGTAAAATTGTTATTTCTGTGCTAGAAATTGTGAGGGTGAGATTCCACAGGCACTAGGAACACAGTGCAACTGTGTGGAGCCAGGGTTTGGACACAATAATCCTTATGGGTCTCTTTCAACTTGGGACATTCCACGGATCTATGAATTGCTGAAATACCTATATCTTGTGCCATCTGGGATGCTCTGCATGCCTGTGAACCAAGCCTAATGGAAATCCATGGAAGAGATCTGTGAGGACAACTTTCTCCAGAGGCAATGGAAATCCCCTGTGGCTTTGGGAGATCTTCCATAGAGACCTGCACTGGAGACCTGTATCTGATGAATGGTAAAGCTTCAACTCATCTCTTGGGTCTACATCAATCATAAGGAGCCTAAGCACCCAGCTTACAAACATTCACCTTCATTTAGTTGTATAAATCTTCCAGATCAAAACCTACACCATTTTCCAACGATTTGAAAAGCTGTATTTGCTCATCATTTCAGAATAAAAACCACATGACTCCATCTTCTAAATTTAGGAACAGCAGTCGTTCCTGCTTCCTCAAGGCCAGCTTTCGAGGCCTGCTCCTGCTGGAAGGGCTCTCCCACATGTGCTGCCATGGGAGCACTGCAGGGTGCAGAGCTTCCTACACAGAGCAGATGGCAACCACACAGCCCCGGGACAACAGGCGGTGCTAAAAAGATGCAGCTACATTGGTTTCTGAAGTGTTTAGAAATGCCTGTGAATTAAGATCTTTGCATACTTTTTGGCTCGTGTGTCATCACTGCGGATGGAGGTATCTGACGTGTGTTCAACTATTTTAAGGTCAGAAGACCCACATCGTTTTACAGCAGCCAATTAGCTCCCAAAACCTACTGAAACCTCCCTTTCTAAATACTGATTCTGAAGAAAAACAAGACTCTTTGTTCCTTACTCGCTTTAGAAAGTAGCGATTTCTTTCTTCCTGCAATCAACTTGATTTTAGCGTTCTTACTGCTATGGTATTTAAAGAAAATAAAAGTACCATCACACGAAAATGCTCACTTACCTTATTTCTCTCAAGTAAATTCAGGGAATCCAAATCTGTGGAGTCTGAAATTCCTCCATGTACAATAAGCACTTTGTTATTAACTAAAGTGGCAAGGGGAAGCCAGCTGAAAACGTCTCGCAGATGGTACAGAATTGTCATGCCATGGACCTGCAAAATGTACTCTTAGATTAGATGCTACTGGGGGAACATTCTGTTACTTTTTAGCTCTACATTTTGTTGAGGTGCCTGCAAACACCTATATGAACAGTTCCACCCAAGGGGACACACTGCACTGCAACACCAGCCAATAGGATCTGAAATTCATGCCAAGAGCCACTCAGCTGTCCCTGCAGCATTTCATTTTCCTTTCACTTTTACCTCTTCTTGTGCTTCTGAGTGGCCTCACCAATGTTATTTATTTCATCCTGTGGATCGCTGAGCACAAAAGGTTGACAGTTAAAAGTTATTTTGTCAGTTATTCCACTGAAAAGCCAAAATAATTGTAACTACATCATTAAAGTCATTCTGTACTACACCTAAACTGGTTGGAAGTCTCCTTCTTCAGACAGGTTTCATTTTACGTCTGCAATACTAAAAGAAAATACAGGGAAAATGGGAAGAGTCTTACCTTATACTTCTTCAAAACTTCTTTAGTGAAGCCATATCTGAAAACAGGACAGCATCATGAACTGGGTGTGTATGGGTTTTTCTTTTTGCACTGTGGTGATTGCCAAGAACTTTCCATCCCTCTTTTTCTGCTTTCTGTCTCACTTTAGTATAAAAGAGCTTTCTTCTATTTTGTCTCAAGAATGAAGTTAAACCAATTCTTGCGATCGAGAACAAAGTCCAGACCAATAATTTTTAAGCAGCGTTATTTCCCACTTAAAATAAATAGCTTAACAGCTTGCCTTTGGGATGCCAGGAGAATTTTCAAGGAACCCAACTGATGCTGGATGTTTCCCACAAAACCTCCACAGACAGCGCCATCTATCACATCTCTTTTCCTCCACAAGGGACAAAGAGTCTAATACCTCATTCTTTTAACACTAAAGCACCCTTGCTGCAGGGGGCGTTTCCACAACACCCTAATTTTCATCATTTAACTAAAATACAGTCCTTCCATCCATCCCCTGCCCCCAGGGTGCTCTGAAAGTCTCAGTGACACACCGAATTCGATGGACTATGATTAGAAATGCCTATTCAAGTGTCTAAACATAACGAGGATGTTCTTTGCTTAAGCATCCTGAAGATACAAAGCTCCACCAGAATACCCAGTAAAACACTACTGGTTTAGAGATCAGATGTTGGCACAATGAAGGACTAGATATGCTTCCCTCTCATCCCTTTAAACCTACTTCATGTTTAAGATGTAGTCTTCATGGTTTCCTCTGTTCAAGTGAAAATCATTTGGGTAGATAAGAAGAAACACAAATAGGATTATAAGTATTTCCATAGAGTTTTTTCCTCTGTCAACAAAATCACCATTAAAGACATAAGGGTTGTTTTCTGAAGGCAGACCATTCTGCAGAAGGAAACAAAAACAAGATTTTCAGAGACTGCAGTGCTGCTGTAGTACTTTACTATAGTCCTTTACTGTAGTAAAGGAAATATCATTTCAAATGAGATCACCTTGCTAGAAACCCTGTAATAAACAAATGAATTAAAAAATACATCTTGCATAATACAGAGCTATTAGGGAACAGATGACCTCTCTAATTGTTCTTATGATGCTGCCTCTAATCCTTTCCTATACCTATTAAATTAAATTGAAAGGGACGAGTAAGAACATTACTATTGTAATAAAACATTCTTTTCTGTTAATGCAACTGTTGCCAGGAAGTTATGCTCTTGCAAATAGAAGGGACTTATTCATTTTGAGTGTATGACATGAAAAATTACCTTCTGATACAAATCTGAAGGTCCTTATGTTTCCTTATCCAATAAGAAATTAGATTTCAGATATTTACATTGTTTGCAGTCTCTGCTTCCAGAACTCCTAAGAAATACTAGAGCCCAGACCTTAATACAGGATGCTGAAGAAACTTTTTTTTCCAGTTGCTTTAATCCTGAAAACTCCCCTTCCTGGGGAGACTGCACATACACATACTTATTACCTTATCTTTTTTCTGGAGATTCAGAGCAATGTTTTATTGTGAATAGCAACTTACCAAAAGCTACTACTGTGAATCGATGGTACGTGTTGTAAGACTAGTTATCCACATGTCAATAGGTGCCACCAGCCTACAAAAGGCATAGCAGTGACTACACGTAGCTTCATCATTTCCAGTCATGAGTACTGGAAATATTCTTCATTTTTGACTTGCCAGGTAAAGGAAACCTCTGTTTTCACAACTGGCATGGACAAGAATAACCAACAGAACATCTACAAAATGTTGTGACAACAGAGGCCACTCTTACAAGGTCAGACATCATTGCAAAGCATCCTACTTCACAAATATGGCTGCTGCCCCAGCACTGCTTGTGGTGCAGCCTCTGACATATCAAAAAGGTGAACAAGGCTCTCTAAGATTAGCAACTTGCTGCTGGGTATCATTACTGTACCTGCTGGATTAGTGATTAACTAACTTCTGGTTTTTGCTCACATTCTCTACATCTTCGGGCTATTTCTATCATTAGCAGCCATTTACCAATCTAGCTTAGCAATACAGGCCTTAAAATCCAAGTGCTTGAACAAATTTAGAGATAACAGAGCAGTTACCCCCAGGATAGCTCTGCTTTACTTCCCAGGTCTGGTTTATGAAACTGATGTGAATCATACTCTGGTTCTGTTTCAATATGCAGTTCCAAAAGGGAAGGTTGCCTAATTAAAATAACAGCTAAAAGACTACAGGCCAAGGACTGGCAACGTGTAATTGGTTAATAAGAAAAGCAGAGGCCAGAAGAGGCCTGATTTTGTTTCAGCAGGCTCCAGGTATGTCGCTGGACAAAACCACCAAGCTTCCAGCCAGCCAGCCAGTATCAGATATTATGTGTGAAGACCTTGGAAGCAGAGGGAAATTACATCATTTAAATATCTGGTTTAGTTTGTGTCTGTCTCCACCCAGTGCAAGGATCAGACAAAAACCTTTTCCTTCAGAAAATTCAGATCTGCCAAATGAAAGATGGTGACTCAAACTAAAGATAAAGGGGAAACTAAATACAGGAAAACTGCGTCTTCAGTTGAATACACAATTGTGGAAAAGAAAGCCTGGGGCTTAACTTTTTTTCACATCAGTAAAACAAATCTATGCTTTTTAACTTGAAAAGTGAGTGGCAGTTCAAGGATATGGACAAGCTACCCAAGGTATTTCCTTTTTATGCAGACTATGTAGTTATTTTCAAGATTACAAATGTTTTTAAACAGATAGCATCCTTTTGTTTTCTGTAAACAAATAATAATGAAAAACACCTTATCAATGGAAGGGTACAAAAAAGCCTCTGCATTTCAGTCTTGAGGACCAGAATTATCCATAGTGTAGTGTCAGTTCAGGAACTGTTAGCTCCAGAGTTCAGACCTTAGTCAGCAAGGAATAGAAAACATGAGCCAAACATTTGAGACATGGAAAGGAACCTCCCTAGGTTCATACTCTAGCTCTACAGTTGGAAGCAAGCATATTTCCTGAATCTCCTCTCCTGCAGTGAGCAGAAGGATAAAGAGAATGAAAAGCTATGACAAAGACACCATCCAAGTTGTTCCATGGTTTGTATGCGTGTGTGTGGCACACATGGACAGTTTTAAGTGATAACAACTATTAGATGCTAATAAATATTCTGTAAACCAAAATGCTACGCCACAGACTGCCTGCTTACCTTGTGGAATACCAGTAAAAGATCATCCAGATTTCCATGTAAGTCTCCTACAGGAAATAAAAACATATACATATATTTAATCATGGAAGAGGGAAAAACTGGAATTTTATAGGACTAGAATTATGTTAGTCCTAAGAAGGTTTTCCTCGTGTTTTCATTATTAATTTGAATTTTCCTTAATAACTTGCCCTACATTAGCATTATATCAGCTTCATTTTAAGGTACATGAAGAAGTGGCTTAATAAAGTCTAGCAATTAAATATTTAAAAGGGCAGACAAGCTCTCCAAGCTAGATCCAAAGATCAGATCTGCAACCTAGGTAAGAGGTCACTCAGGGAAATGGAAGATGGGCCAACACATTATCAGCCTGTAACACAAATTAATACTTCTATGTCTTCCATGCAAATTTTTGTTGATGGCAAGCCTGCTGAAGGTACTCTATGGATTCCTTTGGGTGATGACAGATTTTAAAAGGTGTGGCCACAAACACTTCAGAAGCATATTTAATTGGCATTATTTGTTTAAAATTAGAAGGAAATTGGGGGAGGCACCTTGCTTTGAGGAAAATGATAATTTTGGACCAATTAGCTTCAAAAATGGGTCTTCCATATTCTGCAGAGGAGCTATCTGGTTGCAAAAGCTGTTAGCTCCAATGGCAGGAAGGGGAACACTTCAGATGCTACTTGCACAGCACAAATGAGATACGCAAACAACAGAGGGGTGCTTTATTACTGATTAGTAAGCCACACCCTGCATAGCAAGCAAATGTGAGTCTGTTTCCTGCATTCAGAGAGAGATTTTGGTTGGTTTGGTTAACAAATTATTGTTTATAAGAAAATATTATTTAAACGAGCCCTTTCCTGGTAAGCAAAGTTGGTGCACGACCACATCTGAGAACCATCAATTGCTGTTTTACATGTGGCATAGATGTCTCCCCTACAATGCAGCACAGACACAGCTGTCAGAACGGATGTCACCACTCCTATTCTGTTCTGCAGCTACTGCTACCTGTGGCACACTTGGATACCACATCCATTCATTCATAATCTATGAAAACATAATAAAACAGATGGCAATGAGCTCTTAATTTTTCACCTTGTGACACGTCACATCATTCTGTGAGACTAATTTTTTTGGTTATATGACGACCACTGTATCCTTTTGGGTCCCTTTAGTAACAAGGTTTATTATACATTTCAATTTGTTTTTGATGGTCATACTATTAACAAAGGGCCTTATCTGCTTTTTCTACTACACTTTCATTAAAATCATTGCTGAGTAAACTCTCATGATAAAGTCTTTTTTTCAGTGGTGAGAATCACAGTACTCAGAGTGGCATTTTAGAAATGGAACTGCAGGAATATTTAAGCTGCACGGCAGTGTTAGCTGAATTGATACTGACTCATTCAGAAACTTTTAACAAGAGAAAAGAGGAGGGCAGGGACTTCCCTAAATATACCTGGTGTGATGCAGAGCCTTTTTTTAAATGGTGCTTTTTTGTTTGTTTTTTGTTTCCATGTATGCGTTTGTTAAAGAAGAAAAAAAAAAGGAGAAATTCCCACCTCACTCTTCAACTAGTTAGAATATCAACCTTTGGCCCAAAGCAGCTATATTCCCAGTTCTATTCTTACCACAGATGGTTATCTCCTTGAAGTAGGAAACTGAAACATGGGTGATATTTGGCTTCTCCTTGAGAAGTTTTCTGGTCTCATCTAACAGCTGCAGTACATAGCGGGGATGAAGCAGCTGTGAGGAAAACCACAGGGAGAAGAGGAAGATATTTTAGGAGAAGCTCAAAATATGCTTTATTAGCACTACACACATATTGTGAAGGAAGGTGTATCACATCATTGATACTACAGACCTCTCTAAACATGGATATAGGCTGCTTGGTTTAGTGCTGGGAATTAGGAGTAGCTCTGTATTCACTTCCCAATGAACGGAAAAGGGGCCCTTGATAAACCTGCTGTTCATATTTTCCCATTTTATTTCTACATCGCGTTTCTACTCTTCTCATGTACAAAAACAGTAAGAGAATGGGCAGTGGAGCACTCAGAAGTATGGCATAAGTTCATCCCCTGAACATAGCTTAACAAAAAAAAGGGATCTAATTCTAAACAAAATGAAAAACAGACAAATTAATTACAAAAATAAACCTACAAAAACCCCATCCAAAGACCATAAATGATATTTCAGCAAATTACACAAATAATAAAGAGAAGGAAACTCCAGTGAAGGTTGACTTGTTTAGAGTTACCTTCCAGCTCACTGTGAAGACATTATATGAATGAAATATTCAAGCTCCAAAGATTACTCTTTTCAGAGGGCATGTAGCTTCTGGCTCCTGTGCTCTTCTGTTCTCTGCCAAAGCTTGGTCAGTCTGTGGTTTTTACAACATTTAATTCAAACACTGATGGTTGGCCTACAGACTGACTTGTCAAGATGAATTTTCTTGAAATAAACAAAAGAGGGCAATTATGTGTAATCATTTCCTTATTAAATGCCAGCCACAGCAAAGTGAAGCCTTGAGTGGGCACATTTCTCATGTGCTTTACATTGTGCTACTTGTAAGATCAGCCTTCACTGAAAATTAGGGGAAAAATAAAATATTATTCAGTAAATTGAAAGCAAAGAGTGACTGTTAAATAGCACACTGTTGAGCACAAATGACCACGAGTTCAAACAAAACTGTGCCATGTAAAGCAGTGGCAGGCAGAGCTTATGAAATCTATGCTAGCACATTAGCCATACTTTATATTCACTCTCTTCAGGGTCCTGTACATTAGAATCAGATTATTAATCCCTGCAACTCAATTTGTCTTTAAAACATTGAAGGGAAAAATAAAAGGACCTCAGCACCTTTCACAGTCCTGTCAGCATCCTTACTGACACCCTGACTGGCAGCTGCTGAGGGTTCCCACTGCACATTCACTATAATCTTTGTTCAGGAAGAGATGCTCACCAACCCCTGCCCCTCCCAGCACTGGCAGTGCTGCAGCTACACAGTGATTCAAACCCAGGGACTGAGAAGTTCTTTGGGTTTTGTCAAGGTTACCTCCTGGCCAGAATAGATTCCTACAGCAGCTCACCGTGTACCTGTGTGATCAATGAGGGTTTGCAGGAAAGAGCAATGGGATGGAAGGGAAGGTGGAAACATCTCCCTGGGCACCAGCTCAGTCCTTTATTGCATTCAAGTGACAGGGGGGCTCCAAGTGGATAGAGATGTGAGACAAGAAAAGCAAACAAACAAAAAGTAGTTGCAGTGTACCTGTCGATTCTTGAGCGCGTTAAGAAGAGCCTTAGCATGTGCAATATTGAGGGGAAATGAGAGTCTTGGTCCACGATAGGAGTCTGGAACATCAATCTTTTCATACTCAATTACATATGAGTCTGCACCAGGAGAAACATGGGAGCTGGTGGAAGTGTGAGCAACTGCAATGAGAGGGAAGAGAAATGGGAACGTAGATGCTCCAGCAGTCCTATAAAGCTTAGCAACATGAGGGGAACAGGAGAACGTAGTAGATGCTCTCTTCATTGCAGTGCTGGAGGAGCCAGCTCCTGCCATGTACAGCAGAGCGGCTCCAGGTCTCCCCACACTGATCCACAGCGCTAAACAAAAACAGAAATAAACACAAACAAAACTGGCAAAAACACTGTCCTAACAGGCAGCAGCTGTGGTCAGGATGCAAAATACTTTGTACTGGAGTTGTGGAGCAGTCTGTTCTGTTAGGAAATGAGAATACAACCTGCCATAGACTTTATCCTCCCGCAGAGCAAGGAGATTCAGAAGCCTTCACTGACCATCCAGTGACCATCTGTTTATAGTTCCAGATTATGCTGTTAATACGGGTTTTAAAGAGTTGCTTTTACCTTCTACATAAAAATAGGCTAACTACCAGCAGCACACTGAATATTTTAAAAGCCAGCAGCTAAGCAGTGTTCCTTCACAGCAGACTGCAAAGCACTCTTTTCTCATACAACAGAGAGACAACAACAGCTGCCATAAAACCACTGAAAGACATAAAGTAAACCAAAACAGCTTCTCCTGATTTTCCTGAACATGGAGAAAGCAGGAGCATTGCTCACTGCTTCAATCCAATATTTTCTTAGCGTACCCTGGATACATAATAGTGAAAACTGATTTCAGCGCAGTGCAAGGACTGTCTCCTTGCAGACAGTCTTTGTCATCTCTTATTCTAACAGAGAGAGCCTGAGCCCTAAAGGACAGTGTTCTGGAGGCTGCTGTTGCAGAGCTGCTTGCATGAGACTCTTGTTGGAAACACTTTCTGCCATTTCTCAGACCATCCTAATTTCCACTCGCCAGTTCTGGCCAAAGGTTCCCTTCAGCTTTCTCCTCCAGAGCCAGCAGCCCTCCCAGTGTCCCCAGTCATGCAGACACCTGCCCATTCTGCTCTGTCCCTCCTGCCCACAGCAGGAGACCCTTCCCATCCCCTTTGAGAACAGACCTGCCTTCCTCACTGCCTCTGCTCCCTGCTGGCAGGTGCTCAGGCTGGGAAAGCCAATCTCCTTCCCCAGAGGGCATTACTCTGCAAAGTATACCCCATTTTCAGGATGAGAAATCAAAAAATCAGTCGTGATCACAAACCTGGGAGCATTCTTACATTTCCTCAGCCAGTCTTTCAGCTAGATTTTAAGGGTTCTTCCTGCACAGGATGTCTCATTTGGGAGCAAGGAGTACTTCTTCCTGTAATGGATGTTCTGCTGCAGCCTGGTGATTAGTGTGCTCTGGCCTGTGAGCAACCCACCTTGCCATAAGACCCATGCAGGGCTCATTTTGAAGGACTCAGCACTCATTTAGTTATCTTCCAGCCAGAGCTGTCCTGGCTCTTTCAGTCCATACTGAACAACAAGGACAACAGCCTTAGGCACACTGCATTCAAGACACCTATCCTAAGATCAGATGAAGCACCCTCTGCATCTCTTTACCAACCAGAGGGAGCACAGGGACACCTTTTGCTATGCTTTGATGCTGGAGGCCTTGCCTGAGGACAGCGAGCCCAGCCCTGGCTGCTAGCAGCCGCCATAGGGCTCCAGGCTCTGTGCAGGACAGTGACCATGCTCCTTGTTACACAAACACAAAAGCCCAGGAAGGACCTCTGGCTCCCGAGGAGTGCTCAGACACTGGACATACGTCCTGTAAAACCTTGGAAAATGGTTTTAAATCACAGGCAGAGCAAGGACAATACACACATAGCTATGCAGCATCCCAAACACAACTCTAATTGCACTGACATCTTAAAGAGGATGAGAGGATGATAAAAGTTTCAGAATATAACATAAACAACCACATCAAAAGCACCACTGTGTTAATGAGATGGTGACTGGTTTCCTCCTTTGAATAAAAGGCATTTGGAACAAGATGATTAAAAAGAGAAAAGTGGCAAGATGAACAGAGATGACAGGTATCACAAAATCCTCAGGTAGCTTTCTCATTGCATACTGTGAGGAACAGGCAACCTGTACTCAGGTAAGAATATTATAGACTAAATTCTTGGAGAAGGCTCTTGAACAAGATGCCATCACTTTAATTTAAGTGACCAAACACAGATTAAGAAAAAAAAAGAAACAGATTAAAGCGTGGTGGGCTTTAGAAAATACTTGGGAATAGCAAAGCTAATTTGAAGCCTCTCTGCTTGCCAGGTTTACACTCACAGGGGCTCTTATACTAAGACTGTGATACAGCAGAAACAGAAGCAGTTCATTAAGTAATCTTTCAGGCACAAGTTTTGCTCAAATTTCTGGGGCTGGCACAGGAACTGCAAAGGAGTGGGCAAGTAAGAGCCTGAAGTAAGAGATGCACGCAGCCAGCAGTTGGACAAACGCAACTGCAAACCACACAACAGAAGTTCAACCTGCAATTTCTCATTTAACACATCCAAAAAATCCAGTACAAAGGAGGCCCCAGGCTGTCCCTCTGTTAATATGCATCTTACAGAATCTTTCTGCACCTTTTGGGGTTTTAGTATTTCTAATGAAGGGCATTTATTAGAAAGGGAGAAAGAAAAAAAACAACAAACCACCACCACAACCACACTAAGATGAAAATAATGGAGCAACTTCAGTCCAAACAGATGAAACTTCTGCACAAACGAAACAGACAGATGATAAATGTTTTCCAATAAAACATTCTTTATCACATGCACCAGCTTTAACCACCTGCATGACTGCTAATACCTGCCAGATGAAGGACCAGGTCACTCATGCAGTGGTGGCAACAGACTGCCCAAGCCCCAGAAAGTCACTGGAGCACTAAGGTCCTATTAGTTCCTTCTGTCAACAAGCACAGTTAAAAAAGTAGATAAATCAGCTGTAAAATTTGTTTTAATATGATAACAAAATAGAGATGAACACAATTGTACCAAATCTAAGACTATCACTACAACTTTCTGACTCACTCAGGTGAAAAAGGTAAACAGAGGTGTGCCATTAGCATCCAGAAGCAGTTTCCATAAAGAAAATCAAATGCTGCTCACTTCAAGTTTGCCATTTCCTCCCCAAGAAGTTAAATACTTTTTTGCACCAACAGGTGGTAATGGAAAAAAAATAATCAAAGGAAGGGTAACTGTATCATCAGTCTTAGCTTTGCAGCAAGGCTCAAATGTCATTTCTTTTTGTGCAGAACACGCAGAGGCACTCTAAATTACTGAAGAGAGAAGAACTACAGTTTCTAACAGCTGTCATTAGAACACTGAACCACACACCGTTTTGGTGGCTGAACCAGATGAAGGAGAAGGCATATTGTCTCGTAATTCAATAGGATGGAGTCAACACTTAACAGGACCAAATTCTTACTGTGGTATTTGGAAAAGCAAACCTCAGTCCCAGCATGTGCCACAAGTTCTAAACATCACACTGACATTATCTCACATTACCTTTTCCCATATAAGGTTTTCAAACAATCTCTGTGTTACTTTGATTTTTCTCCTTACCTTCACCACGATGAACACAGTGCTCCAGCATGAATGTGAAAAAGTTGGACAGCTGGATAAGGAAAAAAGCAAACAAGCACTGATCAGTTTAGGGGATTCAGCAAGCATTAACATTCTTTTTCCTTAGTCAGGTACCATCAATTTCCGATTTAGAGGGAGCTCAGACACTATTATATGTTCCTAGAGCATTATCTCTAACTAAATGAGAAGGTTGACAGCATATGATCACATACAAAATTCCAAAGCTACATCATGCTGCTGACATTTGGGTGTCATTCATCTTGCCCATCATTCAGACTATTTGTCTAAGCTTCCTTTATGGTCAAGAGAAAGAAACAGATATAATTCACCTAACTCACTTTATACTGATGCTAGACTTAACACAAAGCCCAGTAAGTTCCTAATCCTGGTACTGACTCTCAAGAAAGCCCGGGCTGATGTGCTGAGATACTGAAAACTCTATTTCTCTATTGCAGAGAGCTTGCCTTGCTGATTCTTTTAAGATCACCCATGCAATGCCTTAATGTAAGGGGCTTAACATAACTGCCTGTACAGGAAGAACTGAAGATTACCCACCTGTGTTTGCTCTTGCTCATCAGCATATTCGATTGACTCAAAGATAGTGAGAGAATAGCGGCGGCGGATCTCTAGCTGGGCTTTTTTACAGCGGTACCACCTCTGGATTAACACAGTAGCTTTTATGGCTGTGAAAAGAGAAAGCAATGGATCACACATAATTCTTTCTTGACTTGTTCCTTATCTCTTGTCCTTCCCTCTTTTCCCATACATTCAACAGGATGCCAGTAAATGAGTAGACAGAGCCAGAAGTGTCAAACCTCTGCCTCCAGCCCTCAGCTAACACCTCACTTCAGGGAGTTTCCCTGGCTACCCAGCCCTGAGTAGCTCAGCCTAACACACAAAAAGGTCTGTACGCTTTTGATCTTGGGAGAACGAGTCAAAGCAGCTGCAGGGCAATGTTACTTAAGCAACAAGGCCCAAAGGAATACAGTGATGTGAACTCCTGACACTCCAAGAACCACTGCCTGTTTCTGAGCAGGAAAAAACAGATAATCAGGAGAAAAAAAAAAAATCAGGAAAAAAACCCCAAAACAATACACAAAATGCTCTCCAGAACTCCAGGGTTTGATACAATCATCACTGGAACTTTGCGGAAGAGAAAAAAAGAGAAAAGCGAGAACAATACTGACACCCTAACTGTGCTGGTATTTGGCTGCAGCTGCCAAAATGAACAGCTGATGCTAAAACCAAACCAAAGCAACAAATGACAGCCAACACTTCGCACAGATGCTTATGCTTTTTCCTGCAAAGAAAAGCTCTGCACTGGAGAAACACTGGTTTGCAGTCATCAATTATTTCAGCTGATCACAAACCTCACTTTTTTTAGGATTATGAGACTAGGATGAGTGGCACCCTCTGCATGGGAACGATTTCTTACTCATATAACTGTCAGATTAAGAAAATAAAAACCTCTGCAGAAGCACAATTCTCATAATATGCATAACATTACGGAAGCTTTTTCATATATAAAAGCACTTTTAGATGCCATAATAGCATGCTGTTTCCTCGTTTTACCACTAATGTGGTAAAATTAGTACTATGTAATACAATTAAAGTGCTAAAGTTCTCAAGTCCAGACAAAGCCAAAATCAGTAAAGACTGCAGAAATCTTACCCCTCCTAAATGAAAAAGGTACAGCTCTTGCACGAGTGGGAGCACACTCCCTACCATACATAACCTCTAGGGTCTAAATCGCTTCCCCTCACCAGACCTGACAGCAAGCCTGTCACCAGCTTTTCTGGTTAGAAGAGTTCCTATGGGGCAGAGCAGAGCCACCAGCATAGAAACTAATTTCTAACATCAGAGCCATTACAATCCCAATAATGCTCATCTGGGCTGCTCAGTGTCTGACCCCGTGCACTTAACGTGGCACAACCCCACAGGTATCAGGCAGGAATATGTTGATAACTGTGCTTAATGTTGCAAATCTACCTAAATATTTCCTCTCTTTTATATATATTATTATTTTTAATTGTACTTATTACTATGTTGTTATTGTCAGGATTAAACCAGAACATAATTTTCACACTAGGCTACAATGTATCTGTAAAATAAAATATAATTTGTGGAAGGTGACTCCACCAGCAAGTACCTGTTAAAATCACATTATTAATGCATTAGAGGGATTCAGACTGCAGATACAATGACAGTCCTGCATAACTTTACTACTGCTGAAGAGCAGAAAGACTGCCATCCAGCAACTGGAGAGGGCAAGTATAAGAAAGACAGAGAGCTGTTGGAGAGGGTCCAGAGGAGAACCACACAAATGATCAGGTGCTGGAGCACCTCTCCTGCAAAGACAGGCTGAGGGAGCTGGGCTTGTTCAGCCTGGAGAAAAGAAGGCAGCAGGGTGACCTCATGGCAGCCTTTCAGTACGTAAAGGGAGCCTATAAACAGGAGGGGAATCAACTCTTTGACAGGGTAGATAACAGCAGGACAAGGGGAAATGGTGTTAAGTTGAAGGAAGGTAGATTTAGGTTGGATGTCAGGGGGAAGTTCTTTACAGAGAGAGTGGTGAGGTGCTGGAACAGGCTGCCCAGAGAGGCTGTGGATGCCCTGTCCCTGGTGGTGTTCAAGACCAGGTTGGACGGGGCCCTGGGCAGCCTGGTCTAGTATTAAATGCTAGGTTGGTGACCTTGCATGTGGCAGGAGGGTTGGAACTTGATAATCATTGGGGTCCCTTCCAACCTAAGCCATTCTATGATTCCATGATTCTGTGCAAAACCCCCATGTGCTCAAAACTAGGATGTGCTTTGTTGAAAAGCAGGGGGCCAATACATCAAGTTTTTAATTGAATCTTTGTGCAAGTGCTGTGAGGATTTTCCATCAACAGTCTCAAAGGCTTGCAGGGAGAATTTCAGGCCACACACCTTGTATGGCAGAAGATCAATTTGGAAAGGCATAGTTGTAGAGTAAAAGAGTTATAGTAGCTCTGTTTAGTTGCATCCATTTCAATACCAGGATCACCCAGCAGCAGGGAAACTGGGGCAGTCTTCTTAGGAACCTCATGTTGTGGAAGGCCACAAAAGGCCTCCTCAATCCTTCATCCTATATACTTCGCCAGTGAGAGCACACGTGAGCACATCTGAAATATGACTTCTGTATGAATTTTTTCCAACCTCATGTGTAAGATGCTAGAGGTGCTCTGCAGTTGCCCTGACCTCAACTGGCATCTGAAAGTTATGCACTCCTTTAATTAGAGACAATATTTGTGAAGTAATTTTATCTCAACAAGCGTTTGACAACAGGACTGGTGGGAAATAATATCTTGCAATCCTCTTGCAGTGCTATGGAGAGAACAACTTTGGACGTGGAAATGATGGCAGTGCTCACCTGTTTCATTATATTTGTGTTTACTGTAATCTGCAGAAGAGTTGCACCCCATGGTGCTAACGGTGCACTCCATTTCTGGTTTTAATCACTGCTGGAAGGAAGCATGTCTCTCTCAGCCATTGGTGTTAAACGTGTCTGCTGTGCACTTCTTCCAGCCACAAGGAAGGCTCCTGTGATCCTCACACCACCACTAAGAGGAAGAGAGGAAAATACACACGCTTGGCAATAGAGAATATAAAGTACCTATAGCCACCCATAATGACTGTGAAGCACATCCTGCAAAAACAATACCAAATAAACCATACCTATTTTGTACTCCCCCCCCCCCCAAAAATAACCAGCCCTCTTAACGCCCTTCTTGACTGAAAAGGTGCCCTACCATCCCATTTACCACCTTACACCTCCCTGTTCCAATGCTGATAAACGCTTTGTTTACAGATCCTTACAGATGCTGGATGAATGGAAATTCCCACCATTGACTGATACACAACACAATAAAAACCACCACCAACTGCACAGGGACCATATATATAATGGTGCCATGGCAAATTGCTTCCTAAACAGATTTCACTGAAATAAAGCACCAAGTTTTCTGTTGCATTTTTACAGAAACATTCTAACAAAAAAAATTTGGTTTCATAAAAAAAAAAAAAAAAAAAAAAAAAAAAAAGTACAGGGCATTTTGTAGCGTGGCTTTCTGGGTTTATATCCTGGCACTTACTCATCCCCTCACTCGATGGGATCAAACATTAATGCCATATGCTTCCAAATCAACAAGTTCAAAAGACTAACATCCCCCTGAAATACAAAATAGGTTAATTTCTAGGTAACAAAACATCATGAATGCTCTGAGAGAGACTGAATTTTGTTTTAGCTGAGGATTTCTTATGTGATCACAGTGATCACTCTCCTCTGTCTCCTGGGGTATGTTTCCCTCTAGTAATTCTAACACATCCCAATTACTGCATTTGTTCTTTTTGTTTCATTGATACTCATTCTTCTTTTATCTGGGTTTTAAAACAAAGAAGAAATCCCTTAGCATAAAATGAATGCTTAACTGCTTTTGCTTTTTCTTAATTAGCAAAAGGAGGATAAGAGACAGGAAAATGTATAACTGCTTTGTTTTCTGCTTCAATAGTCAGAATGCCTTTATTGTTGTGAGACTGTTTCCAGCTTGTATGTATTTATTAATCAATCATATTACATTTATACCCTATTTTCAGCATCCCACAACACATGGGTATCCCACACTTGAGCTAGGTCTATCATCATCCAAGTCAGTATTTATTTCAGTAAAGGACTTGAGGGGTTTTCTTCCTCATGATGGATTATGCTTTTCTTCCCTCTGAAGTGAAACTGAAATCCAAAAAAAGTCCTGTTACAGTAAGTTTAAGCCAATCAGTGGTTTTAATAGCATCAAATACAGCACTCTGAGACTGCTAAAAGCTTAACAGACAATTGTTATCATTCTGAATACCGTCTCCTCACGTGCCCCGTTTAAGAAAGTCATGAGTCTTCACTAGCTCATCTCAAACCAGCCAGCTGGAGATCTGAAGACTAAGACCGAGTACAAAACAATTAGAGCTCACAGTCTAAGCCTTCTTCCAGCATGACCACCTACATTGATGGGCAGGGCAGCATGACTCCAGCAACTAGGCAACGAGAGCCCCAAATAGAACTATCAGTGCTTCTCAGGGCTCCACACAGTCCATGGCAATCAGTGGGCTGTCCCAAGCCAGGGGCACCTGGAGGATGACTGCACCCTTCCCCTACCTCTAAGTTCTTCAATTTATATCCCCACTTTGAGCAAAGAAATAAAGAGAGAGGCTAGAATAGAATTTCATGCTAACAGCAGTAAATGAAGCCTTAAACACATACTCAAAGCTTGGAGGAAATCTTATACAATATCAATAAGCCCCTTAAAAATGCCTTAGCTGGCCATCAGTGAACTAATCCAGGGGAATCACCATCATCAATCCCCAGTGCCTCTATTCTACAGTGGGCACAGCAAACATTCAAATTACTACCTTGTCTCCCAGTAGTTTCTCACAACCCACATCTCCAGGCTCCAGTACAACCACATCAATTGGAGACTTGAGCAAACACAACTTCCATCCAGGCATAGTGAATTCACTTTCTGCTGTTTTGGACCAACCAAAAGACCATGACCAAGGGAACAACCCACTGTGAAAATAGCCAGCATCTCCTACAAGCAAGTGCTCTTCTTCGCTCCTAATTGAGCCGCACCCTTTCTCAAGGTGCATCAGTTCAAGCCAGCTCTGCTCCCTGCCAAACTCATAGAAAAATACCAAGCAACAACAACAAGGGCCTTCCACAGCTAAGAAGGCTGAAAAACAAGAATCTGAAACACTGAAGTGCTTTCTGTGAATGCTGCATTTGCAATGCAATGCAATGCAAAGTTCCTGGTAAACCATCATTTGCTATTACAAAAGATCCCCAAGTGTTCACAGATGAAATGCAAAGTTGGCCTTGTCTCAAGATATGGAAAAAGGTTTCCTAGATATATATTCCTAGATAAGAATTTGGGACATAGTGCTATGCTAGCATTCTGGATATTGTACCACTGATTTACCTTTAAGAGATAAGAGAGAGAGTCTGTCACATTCACTAAAAGTCAGACAATAGCTCAGATACAAGTCTAAGAAATTGTTACATTTCCCTCAGTTCAGCAGAAAGGCAATTTTGTGATAGACAGGCACCAAATACATTGCCAATCCAGTGAAGCAAAAGAAAACATTGCTCCAACCATGCCAACAGAGATGCACTAAGCAAAGCAGAAGTGGCACACCCTGCTCTGAAAGCTGAACTGCAGCATTCAGAAGTTTGGGTTTCAGAACCAGCACTGTCAAGAGCCTGATTTACAGAGATGATGAACCAGCAGCATTTGATCCGAATGTAATAGGTGCTGCCCCAAATAATTAAACCTTTAGTTCATCAGTCACAGAAAGACAAGGCTGCCTCAAAAATAGTGAAAATCTTGTGAAGATTTATAGCTGAACTTTAATGACATCAGGCTGCAGGTCCTTTGGGCAGCAAGCCATTCTTTCAAGCCTTGCTCATCTTTAAAATTTAGATAAGCCATGCTATTGTGGACAAGTGTAAGCTAGACCAAACTTGTGGATATGGAAGCCATACGAATGACAGCTGCTAAGCTTTAACTTCTCAGCTTCACTTGTTTCTTATCTTTGATAAACAAAGATTGAAAAAGTGCCCCTTTGGTTTTGGTTTGGATGAAATTCCATACGTATGCTACTTCCTCTGTAATTGTTTCAGTATCTTTCTCCAACAGTGTGCCTCCTGCCTCCCCTCCCTCCCTTTTTCAACCATACTTACTAACATACAGTTACCATCTACACCCATAAAATGTTAGAATGTATGTGTGGTTGGAGACGTAGCGAGACACGGACAGTTTTCTCCATGAAGATCAGATGGGTGGATGGGTACTTCCCACACCAGAGACTTTACTTTGATGTCTTCTTGCTACTAACATTTCAACTTCCTTCAACTCGCAAGCTTCATTCAGAATTGCTTTCCTTTGGAAACAGGGACTTCAGAGTCCTGAGAATCATGAAACATTGGTTTATGATGGATTCTCTTCTACGTAGCGCTGAGGAAATGAAGGAGGAAGGAGAAGATACCCTAGAAAAGAGAACCTTGTACATTAAATCATAACTTCCAGGTTGGTACCTGTAAAGGGACAGCTCTTCAAAACTGTCTTACTGCCAGAGCTGGGGTTGTCAAGGATAAGGATCTAGAGACGACTTAGAGATTTCATTAGCTAAAAGACTCACTCTGCAAAAAGAGGGATGAAGCTACCAATGCAGTGAAAGAGAACTTGGCTGTGGACTGCCAGAGTAATAATTCTGTAAATCAACACTTGAATTTGGCCTGCCAAATGACAGAAGAAGATCAAATATAGACAAAGCAGTGCATGCTTAAATCTGTGTTATTTTACATCCACAGGACAAACTGACATTTCTATTAAGTGAAAGAAAGAAATGAGAAAGCCTTTCTGTTTTAATAAATTTGTTTCAAATACACAGCAGACAAAAATCTTCAGCCTGCTCAGAGATGCAAGGCTAAGGCCTGTACAAAAGTGCTGGAGTCACTTCTGGCAATGGCTGCTGATAGACATCAATGCTTGGGCCAGGAATCAATATGGAATGGATGTAGTAATAATGGGAAACCAGCAAAGCCAAAGTGAAAGAGAATAGGGTGCAGACATTCCAGCTTATTAAGGTAGACTAATATTCCTGAGCCCAAAAACGTACTGCAAAAGTAAGGAAACAGAAGATCCGAAAAGGTGTGAACATGGCAATTGTTCAAACACTCAGTTCAAGAACTGCATGTAAATCCAAAAAGAATCTGTAGGAAAATGATGTGTGAAAGTTAGTTCATTCCATCTGCAGTCAATAAAGCATACATTTACACAAAGTATTTGCACTTCTTGTGTAAAAAATAAGCAAAGCAAACAGCCTCAGTTTTTGCACAGAAAGGTTGTGGGGAGAGTGTGGTAATAAAGGAAGGTGGAAAATACAAGCACACAACTAGGTGCAGATCACCCTGGATTATGAAGATGATATCATATCACTTTTCAGAAACTCTAAGAGCCTCAAAAGGAGAAGCCATTAGGAAGCCAGCAGAAAGCTCAAAATCCTGTGGCCAAATTAGTTCTAGTAAGAGGACCCAACAGGAGTGTAAAAATCAGCAACAGTTGCAGTTTCTTACCACAGAGAAAAAGGGAAATCTGAAATTATAAATTTCAGATTTATAAATTATAAATTGTCCTGCAGATAATGAGCAGAATCTTAATGACATCCCATGATATTCCCTCTCCTTACTTGAAGGGGAATACTGACCAAAACGTAAAACTCGAGAACAAATGTATGGAAATTTGAGCCAACTTACAAATTAAATTCATGCTTCAGATGAAATTTATATTGGTTTTAATGAGAGTTAAGTTAAGCATCAGAACAAAGACTATCATCACATAAAGTCTTTTTCTTAAAGCAAAAAGTACAAGAAATACAGAAGTCTCAAAGTTATTTGATCTTACCCGTATTCAGAAGCTCTGGATAACTGATCCAGTCCAGGTCAAACTTGACAGCTTGAAGCACAGTGATTTTTCTCAGGGCAAAAGCACTGCCCTTCTCTCATTCACTTTGAAGACCTAGGATACAGGCAAGTTGCTCTTTAAAAGTGAGCTAAGAAAAAAAAAGATACATATCTGACTTGAAGAAATTACCTGCTTTTTTTCCACAAGAGTTACCTTCAGAAGCTTCCTCCCGAAGCAGAAGCAGTCCCTTTCTGGAACCAGAACTGCATAATGAGGGGCGCAGCTCTGCAGAACCAGCACTCCAATCCTCCCTGGGGCTCTGGAGCTCACAAAGCACTTACTCTCCACCTACTGATACAGCCTCCCGAGAGGAAATTTCTTGAGCCTCACTCCTCAGACGCAGTCAAGGGTAAATGCCATATTCATCATGATGTAGAAGTTCTTGGCTGCAGCCCTCCAGCTGTGCTGCTGGCATGCTATTGGAGATCTGTCTAGTCACCGTGCCTCCTGTATCTCAGGCAGAGAAAGGGATGGGCTGAAGTTATCGTCTGCACATCTGAAGTCACATGGTCTCTCTCCAGAGGAAAGGCCTTTCTGCTGGGATGAGGCAGTGATTTGCAATTTAGCAGACCTACCTAGCACACAGGGGATAAACACACATACAGACCGCCCAGGTATTTGGTTCCCTGATGTGACTGGTATGGTAATGAAAGCCCCTAAGGAAAGAAATACTGCCAGATTCATTTGCCAAGAGGCACTGTATGCATACACTGGTATACAGACGCTATCTGCGCACACATTCTCCCCATAAGAGTGTAATGAGTTCAGGGAACTAAGCTCATGGCTTAGTTTGTCCCTCCCCAGTGTAACTCCTAGAAAGGGGTCAGTTTGCCACTGTGGCTGACCTGTGTGGTTAGAAAGCCATGCTGCCATATACTCTGAAGTCAAACCCTGACCGCAGAGCCTGCACATCCTACCCACCTCCTTGCCTTGCTGTCTGTGGGCACTCAGCCACCTCACAGGTGCCAGGAAGGGCAGCGCCATCAAGCCCAAGGCCATTTCTTATTGCTCAGTGTTGACACAACAAGCCCCATACACTGCAATTTTGAGCACATATACTACCAAACAACTCATAAATATTAGGTACCAGAATAAGTTTGGTACTGTAATATTGCCACTATACTCTCAGGTACAGCCCTCAGCATCCATCACACCACTAACCACTCATACCCCCACTCTGTCCTTCTGCCCTCTTCTGAAAGCCAGAGAGGAGCTGCTCTCATGGTCTCCCTGTGCAGTGATGGAGCAGAGCACAGCAGCCATTTTGTGGGGTCAGTGTAAGGGCTGTGGGCCCAAAGAAGGCCACAGGTTACAATGCATGGGCTAAGGTCAGGGTTAGGATGCATATGGTGACAGGAAGCACTGTGTGGATGGGGATCACAGTACTCCTTTTGCAGCCTCTCCTCATGATGGCATTCACTAAGGCCATGTCCTGGAAATAGATGGGACAGAACAGAGACCATCAGATGAAGATCTTGATGCCCTTGCTCCAAAGCTTTAGTAATACTACAGCATGGTATTTTCAATAAATTTTTGCCATCAGTTTGGTGTCAGTTCTAAAGAACACTGTGAAGGTACTTGGACACAGTGATCAGATCATCTTCTGGGACAGACAGAGGAGTTCCCTCACTGTGATAGAATGGGCACGTTTTTTAACATGTAAAAGATACCTGAAGTGCAAAGCCAGCAAGCAGAAAGCACTGTGTGAATGCGAAAAATGCGAATATGCTTTTTTCGATTGAATGAGCTAGTTCTTTGAGTTTCTGGAGTCCCGGACACAAGCTTCCATATTCAAAGCCACTCCTTTTCCGTGGAATGAGACAGCAAATAAAATCCACACAAGGCGCCCTAATTCTGCACAGCCCAGGAGAGTTTTGATGTTTGCTTTTCTGGCAGGATGCACTTTCCCTTATCCGAGTTACAGTAGCTAATCATTTATGTATGATCACACTGTCCTGCCAAAAAGCATACAAGTAAAAATACATCATAACCTCTTTCCCCTGCACTCTGGGGATACATGTCATTTATAAAATATTTACTGCATCTGATAAATTCATCCATATTGGCTTTTAGCAAGATTTCTGCATAATGAGAGGCCATAAGGCTTGTTCCAATAGCCAACAAATCCATCACAGAATCACAGAATCACAGAATCACCCGGGTTGGAAGGGACCTCAAGGATCATGTAGTTCCAACCCCCCTGCCTAGCAGGGCCACCAAACACACACATTCAGAAATCTTTCATCCAAGATCAGTGGGAACAGAACCAAATCCTTAGTTGTTATCTTCCATAGGACAATGTCTCCCCAGCATGTTTTCTCTTGTTATTCATGGAAGCTGCTCATCCCTTCTCAGTGCTCTGAAGTGACCCGACAAAATGACAGTCAGATGTGTTGGAATGAGCCACCTCTCCAGATACATATAGGGATCATAGTAACATGTAGCTTTCCAAATAGCCTTTCCCATTTAAGTCCAAGGACATCAGCTGGACCTAATTAAGCCATCCTAGTTTCCACATGAGGCAAAGGGAACATACCAGTCCCACCACCAAGTCACACACATGCTGAGCTTTTTTGCTCAGCAGCTACATATCACATACTAAGGAGGTGAAAAGCATTTTAGCAAGCATCAACAGGCAGTAGGCAACAAAATTCTCTAATACGTTTTTGAGCAGCTGAGCAGAATTAAAAAAAAAAAAAGTTATGCTGCCAGTGCAAAAATCAGGAGACTCCTTTACAGGCAGCCCTTGAAGTAACAGCATGTGTTATGTTCCCCAAACGCTTTGGAAACACCAACCTCCTGAGCCAGCCTTCATGCAGGCATTCCACATGCATAATTCAAAATCTGCTTCAGGCTCATGTCTCGGAAGCACCCACTACAAAGTGATGCAACCAACATTTTTCAAAAAGGCTGAAGATGATCACAGTGGGAGTGAATGTGCTCCTTCTGCACCGTGGTTCCCCTCCTCTTACCCTATCAAGCTTAGGAAAGTATTTTTATGTGATCCAGCCATGTATTTTAAAGCACTGGCCAGGGGACAAGTCCCCAGCTGAGCGATCTGTCAGTAACAGAAGGAATAAAAAGAAGAGATAAAGGAGAAAAAAACACACAGTCACGTTATCTGGCTTTTTCCTATCAAAATCAGTGTGATGACTGAAGCCTGTTGGTAAATGAGCCTTGCAAGGTTAGCGTGGGTAAATGGGAAAAGACATTTCCCTCAGTGGACATTTCTGGGACACAAAGACAACAGACAAAAGACATCAAACTTAGCATCCCTGGCAAAAAGAACACAAAACCAGAAACATGAGCCAAGAAAGGGCGAGAAACTACACAGGAACACCATGGAATCACCAGGGCACTCCCTGTAAAAATGAGAACAATGTAAAAAATTAAAGAAAAAGCCACCAAAAATCCACAAAGAGATCTGCAGAAAAAATCAGCGGAATGCTCTGGAAAGCAGTGCCTAATGGCATAATTTGCAGTCTCAGCCTATACTTGGAGCCTATGGAGACGACAGCCAACTACAACACTCAGATTTCGCCACCTCTTTGTGAACCAACGCAGGGAAAGAGACGGGCACGAGAACTGCCTAAGGAAAGCAGGGTTTGCGTTTTGTTAGCGTGCTGCAGCACAAGCTGCACCGACTGAAGTAAAACCCACAGTTTTGACAGGAAAAAACTTGACCTGCTCAGGCATACTGCTCCTCCCTCCTTCCTCCCTCCCCCCCCCCCCCACAAACTGCCCCTCCCGGCCAAACCGCCAGGGGAGGGAACCGCCCCTCCGCGCGCTCCTCCAATGGTCTGTTCCCTCCATGTGGGCGGGACCGAAGGCGGGGGGAGCGAAGAGCGCAGCATTTCATCAATAGGTGGAGCGCCACAACGGCCTGTTTCCGTAGCGGTTCCATAGTGTAGTGGTTATCACGTCTGCTTTACACGCAGAAGGTCCTGGGTTCGAGCCCCAGTGGAACCAGCGGGAGTACCTTTTGTTCCTTTCAGGTTAGTTACGTTTAGTTTAGGCCTCCTCTTTTTCTTCCAAAATGGGCAACTTTATTAAAAAGTGCAGGCCCTCCGTGAAGTGGAGGAAGAACGATGTGTGGAGCTGGGAGCAGAAGGGCCCACCAGTCAGGAGAGCCCTGCTAACTGGAATCCCTGTGTTACTTGTATGCTCTCATCTCAGTGCACAAGTGACACAACTTGCTGAGAGGCAGCCCTGAGCCCACCGTAAGCCTTGTGCAACAGCACCTTTTCTAACAGTCCAAACATAATTTAGACAGTGTTACTGCAGGACTTGATTTTTCACCCTAAGAAACACATCAGGACCATAGAATAAGTCCCTTAAGATCATCAAGGACACCCATCACATATCACTGCCAAGTCTGCCACAAACCATGGTGTTTAATGCCTTGTCCTCACACCTCCTGAACAACCTCCAGGAATGAGGACTCCACCAACTCCACTTTTTCTGTGAAGAAATTCTTCCTCATATCCAACTAAGCCTCCTCTGCTGCAACTTGAGGCCATTTCTTTGTGTCCTATCACTTGGTGTCTGAGAAAAGAGAACAAACCCCACCTTGCTTCAACCTCCTTGCGGGCAGCTGTGAAGAGCAATACGGTCTCCCCTGAGCCTCCTTTCTCCAGACTGAACAATCCCAATTCCCTCAGCCACACCCCATAACTTGTTCACCTCAGAGCAATTCCACTGTTGCATACAGCCCATCATCTCGTTCTGCATGTGCAAGCCTTTAGGTGATCATTGGGTATGGATGCTGCCACAGCACCTGTCTGTGCATGGGAGCCCCAGCAGGGCCTGGGGTGAAGAGGTCTCTGCAGGAGGAAGAGGCACACCAGGGCTGAACAGGCCCAACTAAGACTGAGATCTCCACTCTGAGCCCTATTTCTAGGGTAAAATGCCTGTCATAGCAGGGTTGCTTTCAGGTTACAGGTCTAAAGCTGTCCACTACATTTAGAATTTTCCACTGTAGTATACGAAAGCCATCAGGGAAGGTACTTCCCATCGTCCCTCCATGATGACTCCATGGTGCCCAGCGTGCTGATGGCAGCCACAAGTCCCTGAGGTGTGGCAGGGGACTGGGCCTGCTCCTGGTGGGCAGCACCAGGTAACTAGTCATGTGTTTTTTGCACTGAGGTGCTTTTTTTTTTCAGAAGAGGACATAAGCCCACACTCAGACTCCTTGAAATAATATTTTATTCTAAGAACCAGATCTTCAGCATGGGCAGATCATTATCACTCCATCCACCTCAATGGAATCCAGCTCTTGAAGGTCTGACTCATGCTCCAAAAGCACTGGCAGTTTTCCTCTTTCAGCATGTCAGTATCTTACATCTGAGAGATGCCTACAATTCACACGTACACATATAAATGTGCATTTTGTACGTTCCCTAGCTGTGCTAAGACCAAT